CATTTCGGGCAGTCGCGAAAACCTAACCTATTAACGCCACTTGTAAATTGTCATAAACATGGCAGTTTCAAAAATTTCTTAATACCATTCGTCAAAAAACAAAATAAGAATATCAATAACAATAATTCATACTATCACACCTTGCCAATTGGACAAAAAGCATTGGCAGAATCCATTAACCATGGGAAAGCCACCAAATTAAGAAGAAGAAGTTTATAACTACGAGTAAATACTTTTTTAGAATGTATGAAATTAGAATAAATTGGTAATATTAAATTAAATTATTCTTTTAAATAAAACACTTTAACGGTTTAAAACGCGATATATTAGTTAAACTTATTTGAAAATGATTTTTAACTTTGGCCCGACGTTTCGGATGCTTTGCAGCAGCCGTGGTCACGGGGAGACTAAAGATGGAGGATGTCTCTGATGTCAAAGTAAAAAATTGCTACGCTAGCGCCATCTGTTCCGTCGAAGTTGGTATTTAATGAAACTGGTCGGGTCCTTACAGAATTGACTAACGGTGTCTTCGCGTTTTCTGGTATGCTGTTTATTGGGATCCATAGTTTTTAATATAGGTGTTTGATTATTTGAGGCCATCCTCTCTATTGAAATGTTTCCTCAAATTCGCGTTTTAAACCGTTAATGTATTTTATTTAAACGTGTACTACTCGCGTAAACTATAGACAGTATTTAAATTACTCTTTTGTCCACCAACTATAGTAAGCTTTAATAAGCATATCTTTGAAATTGTAATGACACATCCATTAGTGATGAGTCTAAAATAATAAAACTACAAATAATTAAACGGCTATAAACGTGAGTTATAGGTGTGCGATACAGACAATTAAAACCGGCTTAGTTTAGATAACTTCTAAAACGTTTACATTCACTATTTTATCGATTCTAAATCTTAATAATATCTTTATCGACTCAAAACAATTAAATAAACGAATAAAATTTTAAATGTTGAATCCATTCACTTCTTTTATAGCTAATAAATGTTGTCCAGTAATGTATTGACTGTAGTTTACTCCAATAACACATTTAAATAAAACCCTATTAAGACTTTAAAACGCAAAATTTATTGCTTAAAGTATTTTCTATTTATTTTAACTATGACCCAACGTTTTGGGTGCTTTACAGCAGAGGTAGTAGGTCTTCTGTCGGGCCACAGTTAAAATAAGTTTTGCCTGTAGTTTACTCGAGTAAAATACAGGTAAAATACATTTAGATAAAACAATTTTTACGGTTTAGAACGCGAAATATATAAGTAGTTAACTCTTTTTTTAAATAAATTCAATCATAGCCAGACGTTTCGGATTTGCAGCAGCTGTGGTCACGGAGGGGACAATATATTTCGCGTTTTAAACCGTTAAAAGTGGTTAACATTAATTTAGTAATCCTTGTGCTTATATCCTGCTAACACTAAAGCAGTGTGGTGGGCTCTATGCGTCTAAGCCTCTCTTATGAGAGAGAAAGCGTGTACCCAACTGTGGGAACATTTAGGCCGGTCGATGTTTTATCGTTAAACTCAACATGTGTTCAATTTTCTCAAACATAATAATGTTTAATATATTTTATTAATCTGGACGAATTCTGACATAACACATTACAGGAATTAATTGGCTGAGTTTCCACTCATTTGCAATGAATAGAGTAAATTATAATACATACGTGTGTTTTCTGTTCACAGGTGTATAGAAGGTATTCCCGTTTGGGAACTGGGGATTTGTTTTATCGATTGATTGCGCGTTCGACCCATTTCAGCTTTGGAAGTTTGGAAATGCAGAGATCGAGGATGGAGGTTTGTGACGCGGAGAAAATTTCAGTATTCATACCACCTCTATTTAATATTTAGATTTTTTTACGAAATCCAACATTTATATAAAACACTTTATGGTAACTACGCCCTGACATTTCGGATGCTTAGCAGCAGCTGTAGACACATTTAACTAATATATATCTGGTTTTAAACGTAAGAAGTGTTTTATTTAAATTGTGTACTACTCGCGTAAACTACAGACAGGAATCCAACCTGTTTTAGAAAAAAATATATATTTGAATAGGCACATAGCTTATCTTTCGTGGCACTGTACATGTTGCTACGCGGACCTCTACGCTGGTTCTACACTTTCGTAGACGGTCTACAATGAAGTTAGAATAATTTAGATGTATTATTCAAATTTGGAACGCTTATACTTTGCCTTATGTAGAATGACAAGTTGACGATTTATAATGGTTCCTATGTAATCGTTTGTGATTTTATTCGATTGTTAAATTGTTATTTCCCTAATGTTAGGATCGATAGTTCATATAAAAATTGGAATGAATAAAAAAAACGTTACTTCAATATAGTCACGCGTTTAAATAAAACACTTTAACGGTTTAAAACGCGATATATTGGTTAAACGTATTTGAAAATGATTTTTAACTTCGTCCCGACGTTTCGGATGCTTTGCAGCAGCCCGGGGAGACTGGTTCGAGTCTCCCCGTGACCACGGCTGCTGTGTGTTTTATTTAAATGTGTACTACTCGCGTAAACTATAGACAGTATTTAGTCATGCGTTATTAGATAAAAAAAGGATAAAAATATTACGAGTTTTATAGTAGTTTAGGCGACAAGTTAACGACAACATTTAACGGTTTAAAACGCGAGACACATTAGTTTCATTATTTTAATAACGGCCCCTACGTTTCAGCTGACACTTACCATTGAAATATTTATTCATATTATGTGAATTATGAAACTTATCATGCTATGTTTAGCAAACTATAATTCCAATTTTGAACACGATGACGTATGTAAGATTTGGAATGTTCAGAATTGTACTATTCATAGTGTAATTAGTGCTTGGAAACTATTTTCGTATTTTGGAATGACTAATATGCCGCATATATGAACTGATGTTATGAATAATTTCACAAATATTCGCGTGTTTATATAAATGATGTTTCGCCATTCACAACACAATCTGTCTTAATGTAAATCATTAAATATCTTCGTCTTTGAATTATTTTGTAAATGAAATTTTAACAAGTATATGTCCATTGGGACCGCCTCTCTAGCTAAATGGTTATAACGTATTGCCTAGCATTGCATTAAGCGCGATATGTCCTGAGTTCGAATCCCAGGGAAACATGAAATTGTTTCGGTCAGGCAGGGCACATAAGTCTTATCAACTACTTGCCCGTTAAAAGGACGGATCGGTGAAACGGACACAGAAATGTGTTCGCCCCATGCCCCACGAGGGAGAAACGGGCTTTTACCCACTTTTTATATCTCCCTTGGAGGATAATTATTACAATTTTATCTGAATAATCCAATGTTTTCGTGATGTCTTCTATTGAAATCAAACAACATCTGATCTAATTATCCTTTTTAAATGAAAAACGTAACGGTTTAAAACGCGAAATAAATATATTAAATTATTTACAATTTATTTTATGTATGATTCGACGACCTTAACGAGTCCCAACTGCTGAAAAGCATAAAACGTCGGACCATAATTAAATAATTTGTAAGTTAACTAGTATATTTAGCATTTTAAACCGTTCAAAGTGTTTTATTTAAATGTTTACTATTCGCATAACTTACAGACAATATTGAATTGTCTACTGTGTTTGTTCTTTTTTGTGTACTGTATTTTCATTAATAAACTATTGATCTCTTACGTTTTGTTTGTATATCTTTACCTATACTAAAATACATATAGTTCTTATATTTGGAATATCTTTTGTTTATATCTATATGTATTCTCATTAAACCTTCGCTTTGGTGTAGCTGAAATAGACTTATTTGTGGAGATCTTTTCCCTTTTAAAACTATTACCAATGGACATTCAGTAAGATAAACTTTTTGTACTAAGCAATGTATCGGTAACGGATTATGGATACCGTCATCACCGGGCTTCAATTTAGTTTATAAATATTTTGCATGGTGTTTGACGTCTGGAAATTCCGTCCGGGTCACGAACCACCGTCCTGAAGTGTCATCTGAACATTTCCTAGCGTCCAAAGCGAAAATAGGTCGACGTGCATTTCATCTTGTTTAGATGTTACGCCTGGGGTACTTCAAGTGGACCCCAAGCTGTCTGTAAAGAAGCCAAACCACACGTGCAGCTTTCGCCAGCGCCGCAGCGCGAGTGAAAGCTAAGCTCCGCTGCTCCCTGCAGCGGCTGGGAGGCGGCATCCGCCTAAAATGGGGTGATCGTGAATGCTCGTATCGTATTGCCGGTATAAAAAGCGCGCAGGCGCCCCGCCGCCGGTCAGAACGGCTCCAAACGTAAGTGCGCGCGCGTCCGTGCGTCTATCTGTGTGTGTAACCGCGAGTGTTGTGACGTCACGCTAAGGTGTGTGTGTGCTCGAATGGTGGTGGACCTTCAGTGATCAATGGACTATTAAGGAATTCTGATTATCGCGAACGTGTTGCCTGTAAAGCGGTTCGATTCTCCGCCCAGGTATACTTTCAAATCGATTTTGATAAATAGTTGAAGATAGAATTTATACGTGCAATTTATGTAATTAAAATTCCAAGTAAACTTCCAATTAATTTATACATAACATTTTCTATGTTAAAATGAGATAAAACAATTCTAAAAGTGGCACCTATCAAAATACCTCTACCGATGTTACAATAAATCAAACGATAGGAAGTAATAAATCAGTCGCGTTGAATGTAGATCGAAGATCAGAATTCTTGAATCGTCCGTTGCCATAAAAGCTCCGGCGGTCCGCTTGGCGCCTGTCCAGGCATTCCTGTGACGTAACATCCGCGAAGGGCCGCGTAATCCAATAAAAACTCGAGCGCACATCACATTACGCAAAGCTCGGCTCTGGCACTCGCCCAAACGGGGTACTCACGTTACAGCCACAAATAGACGCGCGGGCCTCCAGCCGTACCATCGCGCTGTGACCTAACCGTTCCGTGTTCCTCAGGAAGGCTCCAGGGCTCTGTTCTCGTGTCTCAACTAGCCCAGAAGTCTCGTTAGCCCTCCGACATGCCGAAGCCAATCGTACAAGAGGGAGAGGACCCTGATCCGACCCCATACCTGTTCGTCTCGCTCGAACAGAAACGTATCGACCAGAGCAAGCCATACGATGGTAAAAAGGCCTGCTGGGTTCCGGACGAGAAGGAGGGCTTCCTGCAGGGGGAAATTAAGGCCACCAAGGGTGATCTGGTGACCGTCAACCTGCCTGGAGGCGAGGTAATTATCGCCGCGTCGTCTGCGGCTGATGTGATGTGGTGCATCGACCTGGTGTTGCCTTGACCTTTGAAGCGTCAGCTGCAGATGACGGAATTGGAGAGTTAGGTTTAGTTTGAAGAACAGTAGATGATAAATTATATGATGGTGATGTAAATCAATAGATTCCAACGGGTTCGTTGGTCAAATAGCAGCAATGCATGGCTAATCAACGGGCCGTGGGTTCGGTCCCCATCGGGTCCACGATGTTTCTAATCAATTTGTAATATCTGAAACATGTTGGACTTCCGTCCGTCACGAACCACAGTCAGATGAAAAAGCGAAGCTCAATCGTGTTTCAGTCTGTGGATTTCCGAATATTCAAAGCCAGAACAGGTCGACAGTGCATCTGGTGTAGATGTTATATGGCTGGGGTTTACCTCCCATCAAGAGATCCCCATGCTTGACTAACCACCTCTATCATTAAAAAACTTAACGCTTATATTGAATGAGCAGGAGAAGACGTTAAAGAAGGAGCTCATCTCCCAAGTGAACCCCCCTAAATTCGAGAAAGTCGAGGACATGGCGGACCTGACCTATTTGAACGAGGCGGCCGTACTCCACAACCTTCGACAACGATACTATGCGAAACTGATCTACGTGAGTAGGCGCACAGCGCCATATCCACTATCTTTATCTCATCAATAATCTTCTCCCGCAGACGAAAGACTTCAAGAAGGACCTCGTCGCCCAGGTGAACCCCCCCAAATACGAGAAATGTGAAGATATGTCAAACTTGACATACCTCAACGACGCTTCCGTTTTGTATAACTTGAAGCAAAGATATTACCATAAGCTTATTTACGTAAGTCGGTCAGCGAGGAGTTGCAGCGTTGCAGTGTGCATGAACCCCCCTCGCCCCTCTGTGCCCCTACCCCTCTTCCCCCATCAATCTTTACCCCCGTGTATGTCGGATGTTCGAAGTGAATTCTAATAGCGATACATTAGTGCTGTCTCGATCTCAATTAGCTAGTTATAAATATATCGCCGGCTCTTAGACTATTCTCGGCCTGCTTTATGTTTGATATTTTTAGTCTGGCCAAGTTTCATTCATTCAACGAAAATTGTGTTTATGTTGAATGATGTTTTCGTGTACTTCTTTAAGGCGTTCCTTCGTCCCTTGTTAATTTAAGTATATTTTTTTAAAGTATCATCACTTAGATGGAAAAACTATAGCGCTTTTATAATTCTTCACTTGTTAAAGATTCTTTATTTTAAGAATATATAGTAAGCGTAGTTTTTGAAAAATCGAAATCTTCGTATTAAAAATTCATTAAATAAGTAATTTACACTGTAGTTTAACGCGAGTAAACATTTAAATACACTATAACTGTTTAAAACGCAAAATGTGTTTAAAAAGTTTAACGAATACCTTTCGCGTTTTAAACCGTTATAAATTGTTTTATTAAAATTTTGTATAAATCAATTTTAAAGAATTCCTTTAATTGTAGTTTCGTAAAGTTTTAGTTGTAGCTTGGTTCGTATTAAAATTAAGTGTATTCAAATTTCGAACGACATCTCCCCTCGATCCCTGGTCCCTGGTCAGCCGATCTTGAACCCTCGTACACAGGACAAGTCGGTGCGCAGATAGACAGTCGTCACATCGTGTCACTAACATATTTGTTAGATTTATAGATCTTTATGTTGTATCTAACTTTCAAGGTCGACTCGAGCAAAAGACATAGAGAAATGTCCACGCTCACTCTTCAGAATTTCTTGGGGTTGTGTGCGTCATGGAATTTTCTACAATGTAGGTCGTGGGTTCGACATTCACCGGGTCAAATATATTTTTTATCTATTTATAATATCTGAAACATATTGGACTTTGGCAATCTGGATATTAAATGTCCACATATGAAAAAGTCGTAAAGTTTAATTCGAAGCTAAAATAGGCCGGCAGTGCATCATATTTAGATTTTATACGGCTGGGGATTTCACCCATTAAGGGCGCCCCAGGTTTGTGACTTCCTCTGTCATAAACAAAGTTGATATAAACGCCATCTAGCGGATGTTTGCTCTTATTATAACAAAGTGATGTAGAAAATTCTATGACTTGGTTCTGCAGAGCAAAGTATCAATACAGTACTCCTCTGCGCAGTGTCTTTGTTTTACGATTTGTTTGTTCGATATTTGAAAATTACGATCGTTTACCATTTATGATACTTTAGTCGTTAGAATAGCTTGGATCTTGCAATAATTATCACGGAGACACCACACTTTAAATTCAGTGAGTCAAAGATTTCTTTAGATAAATTAAAAATGTATTTTTTAACTTAAAACCGATGAAGCATTTTAAATTGTAACTTTGTGTATATTGCTTCTCCTATTAGAGTACTAGAAGTGGACATTTGGACCACGGATTAAACGAAAAAAATATGCCAGAATATTGTTATTTCTCAAAATTTAAATTATCATGATAGAATATACTGTCTGTAGCATACGCGAGTAGTACACATTTAAATAAAACACTTTAACGGTTTAAAACGCGGTATATATTAGGTAAACCTTATTTGAAAAATATTTTAACTACAGCCCGACGTTTCGGATGCTTTGTAGCAGCCGTGGTCACGGGGAGAGTAAAAATGGAGGGTGTCTTTGACATCAAAGTTAAGACCCCCGAGGCCACGGCGTACTTAAAGTTTTCAAATAAGTTTAACTAATATATATCGCGTTTTAAAGCGTTAAAGTGTTTTCAAAACAATGCAATTCACCAAAATCAATCACCCGTGATGATTATTGCAAGTTGTCACCCGATGATGAATGTGTATATAATATGTTCTTCATCACCACAGACGTACTCGGGTCTCTTCTGTGTGGCTATCAACCCCTACAAGAGATTCCCCGTGTACACGACACGATGTGCCAGGCTCTACCGTGGCAAGCGTCGTTCGGAAGTGCCGCCACACATCTTCGCTATTTCCGATGGAGCCTATGTCAACATGTTAACCAACCACGAGAATCAATCTATGTTGATTACGTACGTATAATATGTTCTTTGTATCTGCACTCTATGCGCGTTATTTAAAACGGTTTTGAACGGTTTGAAACGCCCAGGTACTTAAACAAATAATAATGTACTTAAATCAAACAAGAGGTCATAAAATAGTTTACTTACTTTCAACAAGATATGGTTTATCAACTAAGTAACGATGTTTCATGTTAAATAAAACATGTTAAACGGTTTAAAATAAAAATATTCCATTTAACACATTATTGCCGCCTTTACGACCAAGACTAAAGCGAAATGAACCATAAAAGGGATATAATAACATTTCGCGTTTTTAACCGTTTAAAATGTTTAATGATTATCCGCGTATTTAATTAGTATTGTACGTTATAATTCACGCTACTTCTAAATTTATTTATTGTTCAGTTATTAAAAACGAAATTATTGTTTCAACAATACCTTCGAATTTACGTAGTTGATAGTCTTACGGAGTTATTAAATAAAACTACCCTCTTCTCGAACAGCGGAGAGTCTGGTGCTGGTAAGACTGAGAACACGAAGAAGGTAATTGCTTACTTCGCCACCGTTGGTGCGTCGCAGAAGAAGGACCCCGAAAAGGAGAAGAAGGGCTCGCTTGAAGACCAGGTCGTACAGACTAACCCCGTTCTTGAAGCCTTTGGTAACGCCAAGACCGTCCGTAACGACAACTCTTCACGTTTCGTGAGTATATTTGTCATTTCCCGCTGCTGGGACTTTGTGTAGTTTTTTTTATTTATTCATTTATAATATTCTACCATCATAGAATATATGCGATTAAAATTATTATACTGCTGAGATAAAACTATTACATTATTGCTTAAATAATTAAACAAATAAAATATCTCATACAATGATATTTTAATTTAAGTAGCAGCTGGTCGTATAATAAATTTTTATCTTAATGTTCGAGAAAAAATTATTTGTTTATTTTTAATATAATACACGACAAATATGAATCAGTAAGTTCGATTTGCCACGAAGATGATTGTCGAAATAATTCTCAAATTGTCAAGCATGTTTGAGAAAATTGTTTTTTTAACGCTATCTGTAATATCAGACACGTCATATATTTTGGCGTCCTTTTGTATAGTGATGGAGTTTAAAATAATTCTGTCTGTCTCTCCCAGGGTAAATTCATCCGTATCCACTTCGGTCCATCCGGAAAACTGGCTGGAGCTGATATTGAAACTTGTAAGTATTCCATTTTCAAAACTTTTTAAAAACAGTTACAGATTAAAAACTTAGAAATAGATAATGACAATATAAGTGATATTAGAGAATATAAAGTCGTAGTCTTTACTAAAATTCTTGTATTTTTAACTACGTACAGACCTAAATAAAACACTTTAACGGTTTAACACGCGGTATATTAGTTAAACTTATTTGAAAATTATTTTTAACTTCGGCCCGACGTTTCGGATGCTTTGCAGCAGCCGTTGTCACGGGGAGACCACGGCTCGCTATTCTCGCTCACTATCGCGTTTTAAACCGTTAAAGTGTTTTATTTAAATGTGTACTACTCGCGTAAACTATAGACAGTATTTACGTACAGACTTCTAAATACTGAACAACTAAATGATAAAAAAAATGAATTATTACAGTTATCAGTCACAAATAAATTAGTTTATATATAGAATTAATTAAAGATTAAAAGATACAAGACCACAGGCTTCGAAGCCATTTAATGGCATACTTTTATACTCTAACCGACCGATTTTTGTAAATTTCTGATACTTCGCACCACGAACTATAGCTAATGACGTATAACGTTTTATAAATTCTAAAATTTAAATAAAATTATTTAAACAGTTTAAAACGCGAGGTATATTCTTTAACATTTTTCCGTTTTTTTTTCTTAATTTTGTTATAATTTTAAAATTACTTAAAACTAGGCAACGGGAGTTCGTCTGAGTCTTAGTAGTACTTTAGTACTTGAGACTTGAGCGTTGGTTAACTCATATTGCTTTATTATTTATAAAACACACCAAAGAAAATACATATTAATAAGGAAAAATTCTTACGTACTAAGTTATAAATAAAATAACTCTTAATTACAAAGACTGGTTTTCTCTCCGCAGACCTGCTAGAAAAGGCCCGTGTCATCTCCCAACAGGCGCTCGAGCGTTCCTACCACATCTTCTACCAGATGATGTCCGGATCCGTCGCCGGACTTAAGGGTATGTGTCGAAGTCAAGAGAGAGAAAAATGAGATTAAAAGAGATAAATTTGTTGTTAGTTGTTGTTAAAATGTCATGAGTAACAGGTTTCAAAGATTTTTAACTGTATATTTAAAAAGGTACTCCTAAATTCTAGGAATGCACACTCAACATGCTCCTAATGTATATATAAGAGTGTTTATATGTCCCCCAATATATGTGTGCCCCCGATACCTTGTAGATGGATATTAACTATGGTTTTCAAAATCTAGCTATGTGTTTGCTGTCCAACGACATATATGATTATCACATCGTATCGCAAGGAAAGACCACTATTCCCAATGTCGATGACGGAGAAGAATGTGTTCTGACTGACGTAAGTGTAGCCCATAGAGGCAGTAGTCCAAGGAGGTGCACCGCATACAACCGGTCACCGCATCTTATCATTGAACTGATGAAGATGCTATCGTAGACCCTGTTAGACCATGGCATGCCCCTCTTCTGTACCTCTCCAGCTGACTGTGATTGGTGTCCTTTTATAGCCACCTGTCTTTTGTCCAACGACATCATGGACTACAACATCGTGGCCCAGGGCAAGACTGTCATCCCGGGAGTCGATGACGGCGAGGAAATGAAACTCACAGACGTACGTCCAGTTTACGAACGCTGGCTCGTCATTCATTCTTCTGTCCATCTGTCCGCTTGCTTCGCTTGCGGCTCTGCCGCGTGTGTTTGTCAGATGTTTATGTTTACAGAGCTTACTTTGCTAAGCAATCGCGTTTCGGATTATCCGGTCATATGCAACGGCACGACGCGGATACCCGGAGTCAACGACGCTGAACAGTTCGATCTGACCGTCGTAAGTGTTGAGCTGGCACGGAGCGTGCAGTGCACTCCATTCGTGAAAAGATCTACTAGGTTAAATTCCAATATTTGTCAGTTGAATTCCATAATTGTAGTTCAATTCCGTACAGTATTTGCACAATAGTAGCATCTGCTACTAAAGTAAACAATGTAAAAACATCTGATAAGCACATAGCTCGCTCCCTGTAGTTCAAGTTTGTAGCACCGATTTGCTCACTCAAAATAATTATGTCTCCTAGCACAGGCACTCCCCGGTCTCCTCTTAACCATACACAGACACGACACGATTAGGCGTAGGGGTGTAGGGTTTATATACTGGACGACAAGTGCCATAATTCTTGATTTGTTGGCCGACAGAAATGTGTTTGTTGTCAAACGACATATACGATTACATGATCGTCGCCCAGGGTAAGATTACCATCCCCAACGTCGACGACGGCGAGGAATGTACTCTGACTGATGTAAGTGCTGTACCCGTCGAGTGACCCTTAGAGCCCTAAAGGATCTACTTGTATTCGTCACCCTTAGATGACCAAAAAAAAAGAGAAAAAAGAACCCTTAGCTAACGTAAAAGAATTTGGAGATATTTAGACCATTAGAATAGAGGAGAAAAGTCCAGCTGTGTTATAAGTTATGTTGTCCAATTTCCTGTGCACAGAGCGCTACTATATCATCAGCTATGCCATTTTAATGCTTCACTTCTTTAATCATCATCATCTGTGTTTTTACTTACAATTGTTGTTTAACATTATTTTTTATATGTCAACTTTAAAGATACATCTATAGATATATCAATTGGAAAAAAAAATCAACAATAAATATGTTTTTGTAAAAAGTCTTTGTATGTATATTAATAGCTTTCTCAGATCACATATATGTACAGAATGGTTTCTATGTGATTTCTAATATCTATATTAAACTGTAGCAAGCCTTCGACATCCTTGGTTTCACCCAAGAGGAGAAGGACAACGTGTACAAGATCACCGCCGCTGTTATGCACATGGGTGGCATGAAGTTCAAGCAGAGGGGTCGTGAGGAGCAGGCTGAGGCTGATGGAACTGAGGTATGTATTTATGGATACAACTTACGCATCATATTCTTCAATAGAATCATCAACATAGATAACAATCTAGATCTTAAATATTACTTCATTCTTTTTCTTCTGTACATTTTCTACACTTTTAATTTTGTTTAAAGGATGGTGAGAAGGTCGCCAAATTGCTCGGCGTTGACTGCCCTGACCTATACAAGAACTTGTTGAAGCCCCGCATCAAGGTCGGAAACGAGTTCGTGACCCAGGGTCGTAACAAGGACCAGGTCACCAACTCCATTGGTGCCCTCTGTAAGGGTGTGTTCGACAGGCTCTTCAAGTGGCTGGTCAAGAAGTGTAACGAGACTCTAGATACCAAGCAGAAGAGGCAGCACTTCATTGGTGTACTGGATATTGCCGGTTTCGAGATCTTCGACGTAAGTATTGGCGATGATAGGTGAAAATTAATAGTTGATGAAGATGGAATTTCAAGTAAGGTGATCGATTAAGGGTAACTTGATAATATTTGGATTCGAATTGTAACATACGATGCCCTAAATGTCGACTGAATATTTATTGAAATATCTGTATTAGTTTTAATATTTTTTATTTCAGCTTAGCTTATAAGAGTTCTAATCTACATATTGAAATAGGGATCAGATAATAATGCTTATTTACTCTTTAGTACAATGGTTTCGAACAACTTTGCATTAACTTCACAAATGAGAAACTGCAACAATTCTTCAACCACCACATGTTTGTGTTGGAACAAGAGGAGTACCAGAAGGAGGGCATCCACTGGGAGTTCATTGATTTCGGAATGGACTTGCTCGCCTGCATTGACCTTATCGAAAAGGTATCCGCAGTGTGGTGGACGCCACCCTCCCTCGACTTGGATGTTTCTGGTGTTTGTTTACCACTAATCGTCTTACCTCTAACCCGTTGTCTGTCATGTCTCATTGGTCGTATTATTAGTACAATGGTTTCGAGCAACTCTGCATTAACTTCACGAACGAGCGGCTGCAGCAGTTCTTTAACCATCATATGTTCGTACTGGAACAAGAGGAATACAAGAAGGAGGGCATCACGTGGGCCTTCATCGACTTCGGAATGGACTTGCTGGCTTGTATCGATCTTATAGAGAAGGTAATAGTCGTCGTCAGTAGCAGAGAGTGGTAGCTCACGCCGACCGCAGCCCCCGCCAGCAGAGGACACGTCTATGGAGATAGACCTCGCTTCAGCGTCTAGCGCGATTTGCATAGGGACCAAACCTAACTACGGAATGTAATCCGAATACAAGCAACCGCGGAATGTGATCCGCTGTCGTATTTCCTAAGCACTAACCTTTTCAATTAATTATCTCCCTGCAGTTCAATGGTTTTGAACAACTCTGCATTAATTTCACCAACGAGAAACTGCAGCAGTTCTTTAACCACCACATGTTCGTACTGGAACAAGAGGAGTACCAGCGCGAAGGAATCGAGTGGACTTTCATTGACTTTGGCATGGACCTCCAACATTGCATTGACCTTATTGAAAAGGTAGATGGCGGTTAAGCAACAATGAACGCTTGCGACGCCATCGTCCGTGAGCAAAGTCTAAGGCTTTCCATAACTTGGACGTCTGACGCTTTTCTCTACGGACGGACAAATGCTATCCTGTGTCGTGTTATCTGAGTGTTTGTTGTGTACCTACTCTATGAAACCTACACACCCTAACACATCCACACACACCTTACTAACGAATAAATCTCGTCTTTTTTTATGTCGCGTCCATCTTGGGGCCAGATGAACGGGTTTAATCAGCTTTGTGTTAATTTTACAAATGAGAAGTTGCAACAGTATTATAATCATTATATGTTCATTCTTGAACAAGAGGAATATGAGAGGGAAGGCATACAGTGGGCCTTCATTGACTTTGGTATGGATCTCCAACCAACGATAGATTTAATTGAGAAGGTATTATACTCTCTACGCTGTAGATGATATGGCAATAGCACTGCCGTAGCTTACGCGAGTAGTGCACATTTGAATAAATCAATTTTAACTGTTTGAAGCGCGACATATATTAACTCATTTTTAACGGGCTCGTTGTAATGGTAGCAATGTTTGGATCCCACCGGATCCAATATGTTTCTAATCGATTTATAATTGTTGTGAAACATGTTGGACGTTTGGAAATCTGGATACTAAATAGGTGGTAATTCCGTTCGGATCACGATTAACCGCTCACCGATGAAAAAGTTCCAAATCACGTTTTGGTTACAGTTTGTGGATTTCCGAACATCCAAAGCCGAAATGGGCTTGTTGATTGGAGGGTATTTCACCCTATCCCAAAAAAAAAACACTTGCTGTTTTGACAACGGATTGTTGTTAAGGATAAGTTAATATATCGGGTTTAAAACAGTTAAATGTTTTATTTAAATGGCAATATTAATCAAAATGTTTACTAGTCTGCACAAAGTCTAAATTAAAACAATTATTATAATAGAGCTTTGTTTCAAAATATAGATTTTTTAGAATCTACAATAAAATGACAGTAGGTCATATTTTAAATAAATATATATTATGTATTATTCATAGTTATAAAATAGAAAAAGAGGTTAGGTAATTTTTAAATTAATTTTTTCAGTGCCTAATAATATAATAAAAGTATGATTTTTATTAACTTTAATACGGTTAGGGCGAGGCAAATAACATTTCACTTATGCAAAACAATATTTAACACAAAACAAGAGATGCATGTTGCTTGATATGTTACGCTTCTTAGGTTATAAGACAACAGACATACATTGACGCAAAATAATGTCTCATGATGAATTTTAAATTCTACTCTATACTAGAAACTCAAAAGTACAAGACATGCTCACTACTAAGGGTTCCGTATAATTGGTTAAAACAAATGACATATAGTCTTATATTTTATTTTTGAAAACTAATAATTTTCACATACACAGCGTAATTGATAGAAAAAAAATTGTCTAGTTATCTCAGTTCTTTTGACAGTCAGACGTACAGACAGTGTAGTTAGTAATAAAACCCATTTTTCAAGTACGGAACCCTGAAAGCTATTTAAAACATCCTGTTTACACTTCTATCACGTACTTGCATTCAACATGAGACGAGAATTTATTTCCCGGAACTAATGCCCCCGGTCCGGTTACAGCCCATGGGTATCCTCTCCATCCTTGAGGAAGAGTCTATGTTCCCGAAAGCCACCGACCAGACCTTCGTTGAGAAGTTGAACAACAACCACTTGGGCAAATCTGCTCCCTACCTGAAGCCCAAACCCCCCAAGCCCGGTTGCCAGGCCGCCCACTTCGCGATTGGTCACTACGCCGGTAACGTAAGTATTAACTTGATCTTCATTTGTTTTTCGTTTGCCATAAGCAAGGAGGCAGGTGACAAATATCTCAAAGTCTTTAGGAACTTCTGGAAGGGTAACGCTTTACGGCACCAGTCTATCAACTTTAGTCGGGCATCCCAAGAAGCACACTTAATATTTAGAAGATAGACCGGTTTCTCAATGATATCCTTTTGGTGCACGAAGAATAGAACCCGACCCCTGAATAGAACGAGCATTCTCTTAAATCATTTTACTGTAGAAGCTATGAGATCTTTAATATTTGGACTAATATCAGGATGAAATAATCATCTTGATTTAAAAATCGAAAATAAATTGAAAAAAAATTATCGACTCGGGCAGAACTTGAACTCGCATCGTCAGCGTTCTGTGCTGTTGCTCTACCAATTGAGCTACCGAGTCCTATACCTCACCGTCGATTTTTTTCAACTTATTGATACATGCACCTCTCGCGCCATGTAATTTCAACCTTAACACTTGCGTATTAAGGTTCAACGTCTTATGCTTACAGCTTAAGAAATAATCATCTCGAGTGCAACGGACATAGTTGTATGTCCATCCCTCGATGAGAGATGATCTTACTCAACATATTTTATTTGACCAGGTCGGCTACAACATCACCGGATGGCTTGAGAAGAACAAGGACCCCCTTAACGACACCGTTGTCGACCAGTTCAAGAAGGGATCCAACAAATTGCTGGTTGAGATCTTCGCAGACCACCCTGGTCAATCTGGTGATGCCGGTGCTGGTGGTGGTGGCAAGGGTACGTTATTACCTCATATTACTTGAACTTATTTCTTTCTTCTTCTTCTCGTATAACTATTTCTTACTTATCGTGTACTGTACTCACTTATATCTGTCAGAAATCTTATTTAAAATTGGTTGGGAAATATTTTACAGTAATATTACTTAGTAATTTGGGAAACATGACATGCAATTTAAATTTTCATCATATCATTAAATATAATGTTTACGAGAGAGGTGTACATTAAATTAAACACATTTTCGGCAGTTTAAAACGAGCAATATATACGCAGTGTCATCTGTTGGTGAAAATAAAAAAAACATCGTATAGTTAAAAATATATGAATAAATATCGCATTTGAAACGATTAACAATGTTTTAAGAAAGACAAACTATATTTGTTAATAATTTTTACCTATTAGTCAAAGTTTACACAAGAAATGATCTGTAAAGTTCGTGTTTTAAACCGTTGGAAGTGATTTATTTAACATGTTTATTCTTTACAATTAAAGAGCGGTTACAGAATCACATCGCCACTATCAAAATCTCATTATGATTATTTCTGTTTTCCTCCACATATTTTACAGGTGAATTGATACCAAATTTTATTTGTAAAAAAAGACAACAGCACAAACTTACATAATGCCACTGTTATAAAACTTTATCGTGACAGGATTCGCACCCACGACTACATATAATCGATGGTACAGATAAAGTGTATGTCCTAAATATAAAAGTTTATTTTCTGTGTCTGAAACATTGGTCTGCGAAATAGGGGCTGGTGGCAAACGTGCCAAGGGTTCCGCCTTCCAGACTGTATCATCACTCTACAGGGTAAACAGCAACTCGTCTTCGTTACTAGCTTCTGTATCACGTGGCTTTTGTCCTCGTCTTTCACTCCAGATGGGCTAGTATGCGCGCTGCGACATTTGTCTCTCGATTCGACACACGCGTTTTGAGCTGTCATTCGAAAGTAATGTCAAAATTTCGACAAGTATAAATCAATTGGTAAAACATGAATAGCTCGTCAATCTATTTGTAGCGATGTGTAGTGTAGTATCTAATGGGTCGTAGATTCGATTTTCACCAACACCAAATGGTAATTTTGCTAAGAAAAAGACTTTCAAAATGGGTTAAATTTGGATTATTAAAGCTTAAAATAGATTGCCAGCCCATCTTGTTTGCTGGATATTTTACCTTCCATGAGATTACTTCGGTTGTCTGTCCTTTTCTGTCATACAAATTAGCGTCGATAAAACGATAGACAAAACTTTCTCTAAGCGCGCATGCTAGGCCGGCTAGAGTGTAGCATATGTCCACGTCTATCAGCTCTTGTAGTGTCCGAAGTATCGTCAGTTCTTGTCCTGTTCAATAATGTCTCTGTGTTCGTCTTTGCATTAACTTTTGCTTGTTAATATAATCCAGGCGGTCGTGGTAAGAAGGGAGGCGGTTTCGCTACTGTGTCGTCCGCATACAGGGTATAGAATATGGTTAAATTATATTTGTTACCACAGAGTATAATTCTACATAGATGTAGCTCTGCTCTACTATATCTATAGAAGATATAGCAAATGGGGTTATGACCACCATAGATTATAATACATTATATCGTGTGAATCATTTAAAATTATTCATAACCGGTTGATGCCGGAATACTTCAAATCGTAAAATTTGTTACCGCAAACGTTTTTAGTAAAACTAATTGTGTTGTGTGTGTGCTCCTAACAAAGTTCTATGTTATAAACAGTGTTCATAGTATCATCAATATACCGTTTCACGCATATCATTGGAGTGTTGCTTTATATGTGTTTTAGATGTCAAATCCAAAAGGGGAGAGTGGGGAAAATTGGAATTTTAAAATGTATTACTTACAATCTTAAATGTCTACAGGACAGACATGTTTGTGTTGATTTTAAAATGTAAGCGCAATATCACGTTAGTGGAAGCAATGAGTTCGATTCTCACCAGGTCCGATTTGTTTCTAACAATAGAGAGAGAAAATGGAGGGAAGGCATATCGAAATTCAAAATCATGAAACACCGACAGATGGAATAGGCCAAATTTCAAAGCGTAAATAGGTAAGTAGCTGGTTAAATTCACCAAAAAGAGAACCTTATATTGGTCTGACCTTTTCTGGCCTTAAAAATTAACTAACTACAAGTATTATAACTTACGTTTCAATGCTAGGAACAACTGAACAACTTGATGACAACACTGAGATCCACTCAGCCTCACTTCGTACGTTGTATCATCCCCAACGAATTGAAACAGGCCGGTGAGTACAGAATTAAACCTAGCTATTTCCTAGATCCAGGTTACTGATAAAAATAACATCGCATAGAATTTATAATGCCCGACTGCGCTTACAAGCTGCGCGGGCGTCGGTGACCGATATATTTACATTTTCAAGTTTATTTCATGCATGATCCAATAAAATGCAATTAGAAGAAACTTCTTTAAGTCTTATAAGATGTAAATAAAAAAAAAAAAATTTTACACTACCTCTATAATGTAATGTTAAACTTGCTACCAAGTTCTAAGCTCGAATCCTGGAGAAACTACATTTTAATACCCCCATACAGTTTTCTGATTAATTTCCTTTATAGGTCACTGAAACGGACATAGAAATGTGTTCGCCCCGTGCTCAAGCCCAACGAGGGGTTAAGGGATCTTGCCCACTAATTGTACTTAAAGCGTGATTTTTTGTCAGGTCTCATCGACTCTCACCTTGTGATGCACCAGCTGACCTGTAACGGTGTGCTCGAGGGTATCCGTATCTGTCGTAAAGGTTTCCCCAACAGGATGGTCTACCCCGACTTCAAGCTCCGGTAAGAAGCAAAGACCTTCGAACGGGCGCCAGTCGGCCTCGTAAAACTAAAAATTTATTTCATATTTCAGCCACCGATCTGATAAATATATTTTAGTGCGCGAGTCTAAACAAAATTCTTTTAGCTCTGGAATATTCGAGTTATTTTCGTACTGCAACACCTGCCTCTGACGTCATTCGCAGTTATGCACATAATTTACAATTTTAAAACGTGTCAATGACTAGTGACGCGAACACCTGGACGTTTCACAATTTCACATAGTTTTAACTTTATATTTAATGGGCAGTTACATGATTCTTGCGCCAGCCATCATGCAGGCGGAGAAAGACCCTAAGGAAGCAGCTAGGAAATGTTTGGAAGCAGTGAACCTTGACCCCGACAGTTATCGTATCGGTCACACCAAGGCAAGGCTTCAAGAACATCGATTTAGACTTTTTACCCCTTCCAATAAGGCTCTAGAGAATAGAGTTACCTTTACATGAAGTATTCTAGTTCCAGGTCTTAGTTCTCATTTACACGGATATATAATATCGCGTGGTTAAGGTGTTCCAGGATAAACCTGACATCTGGCGTTGACGAAATACGTCAGAGATTCTCAATCTATTGTGTTCAATATCCTCACTGTGTGATTTCATTGTTCTGATAATGTAGCTACAAGATCCTGGCCCCACAAGCCGTCGCCAAGGAATCCGATCCTAAGAAAATTGCCCAGATTATTCTGGAAACGACCGGGTTGGATGTTGAGTCGTACCGTCTAGGTCACACCAAGGCATGTTATCTTTTGACTGCGTGGTCTGAATATTTGCGATAGATGTGTGTTTGACCCCGTAGGACTAAGTAGTGCTTGTATCATGAGAACCCCGACATCATGGTTCATAATCTCAAATCCTTGCAGAGCCCTCGCTACTATGGCTCAGTGCTAACATTCCTTTAGAATCCCAATTCTCCTATATGACACTTCTTGACTCAGCCTGTCAAGTTGAGAATTGGGCTTCTGTTACTCATTACTTGTGTGCTCCTAAACGCAGATACAAAATTCTGTGCCCGAACCTGGTCAAAGAGCCAATCTCACCGGAGAAAGCCACCGAGAAAATTCTCGAACATACCGGCTTGGACTCGGAGTCTTTCAGGCTTGGAAAGACAAAGGTAGTGATGGAAATCACTATGTCTTCTATCCTTTTCGCACGACCTAATTTTCCTTTCATACACTAATCAACTTTGTTTTCTGTTAACTTTTAGACTAAGTATTGCTTCTTAATATTATTTGCACACGCATTACTTGTAATGTCCGACCGAAGGCTAAAATCCGTGGATTACTTTCATATACTTTGGCTTATTTCAATTTCGAATAAGATTATTTAAAATTGTCTTAACGAAGGAAATAGTTTGTACGTGGCTGATAATTAGCACTAGAGTTATAGTTAACTTAAAAACGAGTATTATAATTTAAAATAAGTGAAATAATAATTATGTTTCATTTCGGTCGGTCGACTTAAATCTTTAAATTTCGAATAAGTTTGTTTTGCTTAATTTAACGATCGATGTGGGCAAACAGGTGTTCTTCCGCGCTGGTGTCCTGGGTCAGATGGAAGAATTACGTGACGACAGGCTGTCCAAGATTGTATCTTGGCTCCAGTCTTACATCCGTGGTTACTTGTCCCGTAAGGAATTCAAGAGGATGCAGGAACAGAGGTAAAATGAAAAACATATATCTGCATATATTTGGGCAAATGTTAAAAATAGGTTATCAATGTTATTACTTGTCGTAGAATCGCTCTCCAAGTTGTCCAGCGCAACTTGCGCAAATACCTGCAACTCCGCACCTGGCCATGGTGGAAACTGTGGCAGAGGGTCAAGCCCCTCCTCAACGTCACCCGTATCGAGGATGAGATCGCGGTGAGTACTTCCGTGCACCTGACGCGCTCTGATCAAATGATGACCCATTAAATATTTCGCGGTGAGAGCGTGAATCAGGACCCTGGAAATAGAACAGCCGCGCCCACCTGGCGGTTACGTGACACCGCCGCACCTGCCGCGTCCATTTCTGGAACCGCCCCACTCCAGCGGTCTCGGCTTATCCGTACACAATGTAAAGTGTGGAGGCGAACACCGTGCGCTGGAAAACTCCAGCGGCACTTAGTAGCGGGACGGTCGGCGCGCGCGCACCCCTGCCTTCACTCACGAACGAACCGAAATATTGCATTCCTATTTTTTTTTTAATTTTGATGCTGTAAATAATTTAATATGGCAGCGGCTCACTTATCGATTTGGGACGGTGTGGATAAAGGTGAAGTGATTTTGCAGAAACTCGAAGAGAAGGCACAGAAGGCTCAGGAGGCTTTCGAGAAGGAGGAGAAACTCCGCAAGGAGGTTGAGGCACTCAACAGCAAGTTGCTCGAGGAGAAACAGGCTCTGCTGGCCAACCTTGAGGGAGAGAAGGGATCTCTTTCTGAAGTGCAGGACCGCGCCAACAAATTGCAGGCGCAAAAGGGCGATTTGGAGAACCAACTTAGGGTGAGTCACACAAGTTTTTCATCACGTCTACACTACAAATCTTTTTTGGGACACCCTTGTAAGTTATCATAAATTTAGAAACACTGATTCAGAATATCTTTTTCATGACACATACTATCCGTCATAGTCTATGTTAGATTTTTCAACGTTTTCGCATTTATTTTATTAGTAAAATTAAAATAACTTATCGAACCAAATATAGTTCCCGTTGAAGTGTAACATTGTTGCGAATCGTGTTACATACCACATGTTTTGTTAACTGAGGTTTCTTAAATAAACAAGCTTGTTTATATTAGATGGCGTGAAAAGTTTAAAATTATATTGCACGTCTGCAACATTTACAGTTTTATTGCAACGATAACTATTATTGCTGTAATTACGTTGCGATGGAGTCAAACCAGACGCTACCCACCGTAGTTTAGTTTCATCCAATGAGAATTTAATTAGAACTTCATTCATTTCATAGGACACACAAGACCGTCTCACACAAGAGGAGGATGCCCGCAACCAGCTCTTCCAAGCTAAGAAGAAGTTGGAGCAAGAAATCTCCGGACTCAAGAAGGATGTCGAGGACCTCGAACTGTCAGTCCAGAAGTCTGAACAGGACAAGGCAACCAAGGACCACCAAATCCGCAACTTGAACGATGAGATCGCCCACCAAGATGAACTCATCAACAAGTTGAACAAGGAGAAGAAATTGCAGGGTGAGAGCAACCAGAAGACCTCCGAGGAGCTCCAGGCCGCCGAAGACAAGGTCAACCACCTCAACAAGGTCAAGCAAAAGCTCGAGCAGACCCTCGACGAGCTTGAGGACTCTCTCGAACGCGAAAAGAAACTGCGCGGAGACGTCGAGAAGCAGAGGAGGAAGGTTGAGGGTGACCTCAAGCTTACCCAGGAGGCCGTCGCCGACCTCGAACGCAACAAGAAGGAACTGGAACAGACCATCCAGCGCAAGGACAAGGAAATCTCATCCCTCACCGCCAAGCTCGAGGATGAACAATCGTTGGTCAGCAAGCTCCAGAAACAGATCAAGGAACTGCAGGCCCGTATCGAAGAGCTCGAAGAGGAGGTCGAATCCGAACGTCAAGCTCGCGCCAAGGCTGAGAAGCAGCGTGCTGACTTGGCTCGTGAGCTCGAGGAGCTCGGTGAGCGTCTGGAGGAAGCCGGTGGCGCCACCTCTGCCCAGATTGAGCTCAACAAGAAGCGTGAGGCTGAGCTCAGCAAACTCCGTCGCGACTTGGAGGAGGCTAACATCCAACACGAGTCCACCCTGGCCAGTCTTCGCAAGAAGCACAACGATGCCGTCGCCGAGATGGGTGAACAGCTCGACCAGCTTAACAAACTAAAGGCCAAGTGAGTAAAGCTTTCAATTATAGTAATTAATTTGTCAAATGAAAGATGAACTGGCTAGTTGGTCTAATGGATGGCTAATCAACGGGGCGTGGGTTCGATCCCCACCGGATTCAACATGTTTCAAATTTTTCTGAAACATGACTTCATCTAGAAATCATGATATCAAATACAAGAACGACGTCCACAGATGAAAGAAGCCGTGAAGTTTAATAGCGTTTCGATTTCAGTATGTGGATTTCCGAATATCCAAAAATAAAAAAGTCGACAGCGCATCTTGTTTAGATCTTACATGGCTTGGGTATTTTACCCCCCATTAAATGGACTCCATGCTTGTCTGTCGCTCACTAACTTAAAAAAAAACTACTTATTCACAATCGTCGTAAAGTATGAAGTATTTGAATATATTAGAATAATAGTAAGCCAAAAGTAGTATAAAAAGGAACTATTCTATTCTATTCTATAAGTATTCTAGGAACGACTTTTCTTTAAAAATGAATGTTGTTACACAAATTATGCGCGTAGTGCGAGGATTTTCAAAACATCTTAAAAATAGCGAAGTGTTGAACTGGAATGACGCAATATCAGTAGAGGATATTAATAAAATGCAATATCTAGGGCTGAGCACGACCGTGCGTCATGTTACAACGAGCTAAACAACACACGCGCAGCTATTGACCAAGTTGCAAGGGAGAAGGTAACAGGCCCTTTAGGCATGTCTGCCGCTCGGGGTGAACCTGCATGACCTAATCTTCACACGCGACAAACATGACATTACATATATGGTCGTTCCATGATCCGTTTAAACACGTGTCGTTCGAAAAACTGCATCGTGATCCATTCACATGATCTGAATCATTTGATCCAGGTCTATTTATTAGGTCGTCAACTTTTGCAGCTGAGATTGCAGTTTATGGTGACTCATTTTGGATCTTGAATTTGAACGGATCTTTTGATCCGTTGAATCGTAAACGTCATACATAATTTCGTCCCAACAGGCACTTCCATATCCACGGGACCATGTCATTAAACCTTTTTGTTGTATTCTATGTATCCAGGGCTGAGAAAGAGCGCTCGCAATACTTTAGCGAAGTCAATGACCTTCGTGCCGGTCTCGACCATTTGTCCAACGAAAAGGTATACGACGCTAAAAACGGTTTTCGCCAGCCGCTGCAGCTTCAACGCTTACAACTGAACACAAACAGCTCATACGAACAACTCATCTATCCAACTAATAAATATAATAGCAATAATGATTCATCTTACCCCAACATTATCTATTTCAGAAGAGCGCATGAATGCCGCTTGTGTTAAAAAATTCACTTCATAACAATAAATTAAATTATGAAAGCATGGACTTATCAATAACATATCTTATATTGTACACAATATAAACTATAATACTTAAATTGTATTATCATATAAAAACACTAACAATAATAGTGCAAAGTTATGATAAAGATGTTTTAACGATTAAAATTATAAATTCAGGTATCATACCAATATTTAGAATTGATGTTGAAAAGGTTTGTACCAATATAACACGGTCTAATAGTGTGTTTCCAAACATAGGCTGCCCAGGAGAAGATTGTCAAGCAGATGCAACACCAACTTAACGAGGTACAGAACAAGGCTGATGAAGCCAACCGCACCCTCAATGATCTGGACGCTGCTAAGAAGAAGCTCTCGATCGAGAACTCCGACCTTCTCAGACAGCTGGAGGAGGCTGAATCCCAGGTGTCTCAGCTCTCCAAGATCAAGGTGTCCCTCACCACACAGTTGGAAGACACCAAGAGGCTTGCCGATGAAGAATCCAGGGTTAGTTTTCACTTATGTGAACTATGTATGACAATTTATTGTATTGAGATTACATACAAAATATAATATAACAACCAGTTACTGATATGTTCCTTTTTTTAACCAGGAACGCGCTACCCTCCTTGGCAAGTTCCGCAACTTGGAACACGACCTTGACAACATTCGTGAACAAGTTGAGGAGGAAGCCGAGGGCAAGGCTGACCTACAACGTCAACTGTCCAAGGCTAACGCTGAAGCTCAATTGTGGCGCTCCAAATACGAATCCGAGGGTGTCGCTCGCTCTGAGGAACTCGAGGAGGCCAAGCGCAAGCTCCAGGCTCGCCTCGCAGAAGCCGAGGAGACCATTGAATCCCTCAACCAGAAGGTTGTTGCTCTCGAAAAGACCAAGCAGCGCCTGGCTACCGAAGTCGAAGACCTACAGCTCGAGGTCGACAGAGCCACAGCCATCGCCAACGCTGCAGAGAAGAAACAGAAGGCATTTGACAAGATCATCGGTGAATGGAAACTCAAGGTTGACGACCTTGCCGCTGAACTTGACGCCAGCCAGAAGGAATGCCGCAACTACTCCACCGAATTGTTCCGCCTTAAGGGTGCCTACGAGGAAGGTCAAGAACAACTCGAGGCTGTCCGCCGTGAGAACAAGAACCTCGCCGATGAAGTCAAGGACTTGCTCGACCAAATCGGTGAAGGTGGCCGCAACATTCACGAAATTGAGAAGGCCAGGAAGCGTCTCGAAGCTGAGAAGGACGAACTCCAAGCCGCTCTCGAAGAAGCTGAGGCTGCTCTTGAACAAGAAGAGAACAAGGTCCTGCGCGCTCAACTTGAACTGTCTCAGGTCAGACAAGAGATCGATAGGAGGATCCAAGAGAAGGAGGAGGAATTCGAAAACACCCGCAAGAACCACCAACGCGCCCTCGACTCTATGCAAGCTTCCCTTGAAGCCGAAGCCAAGGGTAAGGCTGAGGCGCTGCGCATGAAGAAGAAGCTTGAGGCTGACATCAACGAGCTTGAAATCGCTCTCGACCACGCCAACAAGGCTAACGCTGAAGCACAAAAGAACATCAAACGCTACCAGCAACAAATCAAGGACCTCCAGACCGCTCTTGAAGAGGAACAGCGCGCCCGTGACGACGCCCGTGAACAACTCGGAATCTCTGAACGCCGCGCCAACGCCCTCCAGAATGAACTCGAGGAATCTCGCACACTTCTCGAACAGGCCGACCGTGCTCGTCGTCAAGCTGAACAAGAACTTGGTGACGCCCACGAGCAACTCAACGAACTCTCCGCCCAGAGCGCATCCCTGTCCGCTGCCAAGAGGAAACTCGAGTCAGAATTACAGACCCTGCACTCAGACCTTGACGAGCTCCTCAACGAGGCCAAGAACTCAGAAGAGAAGGCGAAGAAGGCGATGGTCGACGCCGCCAGACTGGCCGACGAACTCCGCGCTGAACAAGAGCACGCACAGACACAGGAGAAACTCCGCAAGGCCCTTGAACAACAGATCAAGGAACTGCAAGTCAGGCTCGACGAGGCTGAGGCCAACGCACTCAAGGGAGGCAAGAAGGCCATCCAGAAACTCGAACAGAGGGTACGAGAACTCGAAAACGAACTGGACGGTGAACAGAGGAGACACGCCGATGCCCAGAAGAACCTCCGTAAGGCCGAGAGGCGCATCAAGGAGCTGACGTTCCAGGCCGAGGAGGACCGCAAGAACCACGAGCGTATGCAAGACCTGGTCGACAAACTTCAACAGAAGATCAAGACCTACAAGAGGCAGATCGAGGAAGCCGAAGAGATCGCCGCCCTCAACTTGGCCAAATTCCGCAAGGCACAGCAGGAGTTGGAGGAGGCGGAGGAGAGGGCAGACCTCGCCGAGCAGGCCATCAGCAAATTCCGCGGCAAGGGACGCGCGGGATCCACTGCGAGAGGAGTCAGTCCGGCGGTGAGTAACTTCTCTGTTCTGTATGATCAAAATGACAAACAGCCACTTGCAAGAAGCTCATCGTTAAAATTACAGCAGCTAAAAACATAATATTGGTTAAAAAATAATTATAACAATGAACTTAGTTTATATTAAAAGGACAAGGAGGGTACCCTTGGTAGCACTTTAGTAATTGGTTACTTTAAAAATTTCTGTCTAAATGTTTTGCTTTGTAAAACCTTTCTTGCAAGTGTTTGCGCTATATTATAATTATACCAAGACGGCAGGTTCTTAAGCAATATTTATTTCTCTCAGGCGTCCATTAAGGGACGTGTCTAGATCAGCACCGCAGTAAATGTAAGTCGTTTGCCCTGGACAACCCTAGAACTGCACCAAGTACAGTGCCCAAATCGAAAGCTCTAATGAATTGAGAATGAGAAAATCCTATCGATTTTAGTATCTACAGATCCAGGCATGCACCTGCATGTAATATAATATATGAATTCTTAAGTAATATCTACAATTTGCGGTACTATAAATAATTATTATTACTTATATTAGTCTCCTCCTAAAGCACTTCCTGGTTTAAACCTGTTAAAAACTGTTTTTTTTTTAGTTTTTTACTGTCCATTAAACTTACGCGAGTTCCACATTTAAATAATATACTTTTAATGGTTTAAATCGTAAAATGTATTAGTTAAACTAATTTACAAAATATTTCAACTACGGCCCGACGTTTCAAACGCTATACAGGAGTCGTGGTCACGGGGAGTGTAAATGTTTAACTAATAAATTTCGCATTATGAACCGTTGAAAATGGTTTATTTAAATTAGTTATTATTAACGTTTGTAAGCGATTTCTTCTAGGCAACCCAAAATTTTGTGTCCTATAGTCTGTTGCATAGACTTTTCAAAACAAATTCCCTATTTAGATACTTTACTATTTTTCACATTCCTCGTGATGGCCTTAAATAAATTAAAAATCGATTTTTTTACAACACGGGCATAGCTTCCACACCCAGAGCGTTCCGTGCCTTTGCTGAAACTAATTGAGCTACTGCGTCCTACACGCCAACGTCGAATTTTAACTTTTCGCGAAATGTAAATTCAACCTTAACACTTGCGTATAAGGTTCAACGTGGCTTAGACAAGATAAATTATTGAGTATTCGATTTTTAATTTACACAATCACTGTCTTGCTACCACAGACTGTATTTAAAGAGTGTTATTAAATGTGTCTGTCTTTTACAGCCCCCGCGTTCGCGCCCCGCCCTCGACGGCTTCGGCACCTTCCCACCAAGGTTCGACCTGGCGCCCGAAGATTTCTAAACGTTCCATAAACAATTTTGACGGACTGTAAAATTTACAACACCAGTGTATTCGCGTGAACGATGTACTGTTTGAAAATGTATAGATCCATACTGTATACACTATTGTTTTTACGAAGTATTTTGTAATTGTTGATATTTATTGAGCGGTGTGCGCGCGAGCGGTGCGCACGCGCCGCGATCTACGAGACACACCTAACACCTACAGGACCGGCCTGCGCGCCGCTCGCTCGCACATCACGCTCGCCTCCAATAAAGCGATATCGTTGTCAGAAAAATACTATTGTCTTTTATTTTACGTCTTTCAACCGTTTGAAGCACAGTTCTTTCAAATTTACTAGCAACCCTAACTAATACAGATACCTTACTACAGATTGTTCTTTTAAACCTTTACAGTTTTTTTGTATTAAGGCAATACAAACACATTTTGTTTCGACTACAAGGTGTGTTGTCGACCTATCTTCGCTTCGCTTTGAAAGCAAAACACGATTAAACTTCATGGCCTTTTCATTCGTGGACGGTAGTGGTGACCCGGGCGGAATTTTGATATAACTACCAACCACTTAATATTTACCCACATTTCCAACGATGTCTACGATATTTTCGAAAAACTATAAGTTAATCAGAAACTAGAATGTTGGCCTCGCTGGAAATAAAATCCACGACTCGTCGATTATCCTAGCCCTACATTGCTGAAAGCGTTACATATAATTATGGTTCCTGGATTTAAAATAACATAAATTCGCATCCAAAAATTGCGTAAAATCACTTCGTAAATAAGCTATTTTCAATAAATATAATGGATAAAAATGGTTATTTTGGGATGTATGGGCGTTGTGTAGTTTTTAAGGTCTAAGAATAAATAGGGACGGATAGACAGCGACAGCACCCACGCAAGTCTGCAACATCCCTAATATTTCTTAAGTAAACTCGTCTTAGGCAATCTGTGTATAATTCACACAATAAAATACAAATTTATTTATTTTTTTATTGTTTTAAAAATCTAAAAAAAAGGTCACGTGATTAATGCACAACCCCTAAGCATGAATAATTTTCCCCGTTTTCTCTAAATTTCCCGCTGTTTCTTCGCTGCTATTAGTCGCAGCGTGATCATTTGTAGTCTAGGCCTTCCTCGCTAACTACTCTAACCGAAACAAAATAATTAATTCATTTCACCAGTAGTTCCTGAGATTAGCGTGTTCAAACAAACAAACGAACCCTTCAGGTTTATATATTAGTATAGATTGAAGTAGAAGAAATAATTAAAAAAAAAATCTTTTTAAATAAGCTGCATACAACACAATGTAAGTTTACATATATATTTCGCGTTCGAAACCGTTAAAAGTTACTTTCACAGCCGTAAACTGTAATTTCGATTTCAGTCTGTAAATTTCCGAATATCCAAAGTCAAAATAGATCTACAGTGCGTCTTGTTTAAATATTATCACTTAAGTAAACCTTCCATCAAGTGCAGTTTTTTACTTTGACCTCAAAGTACCCCCCCATCCCCATTTTAACTAGTATCCCTGTGAAATAGTTTTCAAACGAGCTTAACTAATATACTTTGCGTTTGAAACCGTTAAAGTGTTTTATTTAAACGTGTACTACTGGCGTAAACTACAGACAGTTTCCTAATCTATACTTAATATATAAAGCTGAAGAGTTCGTTTGTTTGTTTGATCGGCTAATCTCAGGAACTACCGGTTCGAATTGAAAAATTATTTTTGGGTTGGTTAGATCAAATAAACATCGCCCTGTGTCTAATACAAGCGAAGATAGAGCGAGAAATGCGAAAAAAATGGGAAATTATTCATAATTATGGGTTTCCGAGGCGTACGCTGCAAAATCGGTTCAAGATAAATACTGTCTATAGCTTACGCGAGTAGTACACATTTAAATAAAACACTTAAACGGTTTAAAACGCGATATATTAGTTAAACTTACTGGAAAATGATTTTTAACTTCGGCCCGACGTTTCGGACGCTTTGCAGCAGCCGTGGCCACGGGGAGAAACGTCGGGCCGAAGTTAAAAATCATTTCAAATAAGTTTAACTAATTTATCGCGTTTTAAACCGTTAAAGTGTTTTATTTAAATTAATCGCTTCAAGATACCCAAAAAATATGTATGAGAGTTTATGTTGGTTCATTAAATGATATAAAAAAAGCCCGCGGCGCTACATGTCTATCTTTTGAGATTCAATGCAAGAACGACGGGAAGGGACGCGGCCGACATCGTGGGTAACAGCTTAACCTTATAAAGAAGAAGGAGTTTGCAACAACGAATTTGGATGCCCAAAATAAAAATATCGGACGCAGTCGCTGGCATAGCTAGTCTATCATAACTTTAAATCTAATTTGAAAAATACCCTCATAATCTTTCCACGCAGACGTGGTCGCGAGCGAAGGCTAGTTATATGAACGGCTTTAATATAATTACCACGTATTAGTTCTAATGTGCGTAATTAGTTTTATCTTATAATTTAATCGTTTCCGGCGAAACAAAGGCTTCAGGTAACAGCTGGAACCAACCCAAAAGGTCACTGAACTGATCAACAATACAACGCGATTACACGAAAATTAGGGCATTCACACACTAGACCTAGAGTATTTTTGAATCTAGCGATTACGCGAGTAAATAAATATAGGACTATATAATCAAATCAATTATTATGTAACAAAGAATAAAACTGTTTTAGACTGTTTAAATTTCAATATTTTTAATATAATGGCATTATATTAATTTAAAATAGATGTTAGAAAAACGGTTGAAATAAAACGCAGGAAATATTATGTTAGTTAACTTATTTACAATTAGTAGGTAGTACCAATTTAAATAAAACGCTTTAACGCGATGGATATGAGTTAAACTTATTTGAAAATTATTTAAACTACGGCCCGACGTTGCAAATGCTTTGCAGCAGTCGTCTCACCGTGACCACGGCGGATTTTATAAAAATATGGACTTTTAAAGGGGAAAAAATGGCAAAAACCCAAAATAAGATTGTGAGCAACCTTTGCTACTAGGCGGCGACCACGGGCTTCGTCTGAAAGTCAGGATATCAAATCGAAATTCCGTCCGTGTCACAAACCGATGTCCACACATAAAAAAGGCATGAAGTTTAATCACGTTTCAATTTCCGAATATAATTTAAAAAAACAAAGTGTCCCTTTCAAAGAAGGTGTCCTACTGAATCAAACGGTTTTTTTCAGCTCGACCCGTACTGAATTTATTAAGTTCAAAGTTTGAAATTGATATTAAACACCTTCCCGTCGTCACATTGATCTGAAATTTGGTACACACATATAATAAAATCTATAACATTATAAATCCAACATGGCCGCCGATACAAAATCAATTCAATTTTTTTTGTAGTGTTCAGTGCACATAAAAAACCGATAACCTTATTTTTTTTACGTTAATGCTTCTGAGTTTTAAACCCAGGTTTCAAACACGTTTAATTTAGCCACAGAAACAGTCAAAATAGCATAGTTAATCGCAAAAGTAGAACAATGCTCTCAAGACCTATAATGACATCAGCCAAGCGTGGAAACAAAGAATTTTATCCAATTAAACGTGACCGACACGTGTTGGAGGATACTTATACCTAGAAAATTAGTAGGGTGGTACACAGTATCGCTTACAGCCATGTGGAAGGCATTTGTATTGTACGCGGTGATCGTTTGTGGGGCGGAGGGGAAGTGCTACTGGAATGGGAAGTGCCCCTACAAATATTTCGGGACGAAGACCCCCTATGACGCGGTTAGGGGGGATATTAGGGACGTGGCTGTCTTGGACCGTGAGTGATGTTGATTTGTTATTTTTATGCAAACTTGACAGTGTACAGTTGTTAAAGATGATAATTAAAACTAATATTTTAGTGTGTTTCTAAAAAGAATCTATTAATTAAAACATTTTTAACGGTTTTAAACGCGAAAAAAATGTTAGTTAGATATTTGTAATTTAGTCAATCTATGTAATAACTAAGATTTGACTTTAAATAATGCTACTTGAATCTTACTACTTATTTATTACCTTCACTTGTAATGTGTTAAATTTAAGCTTTGTTTATTTAGAAGATTTTATATACAACCGTAAATTTCTAGATACCGAGATAGATTTTTATGACAGGAGAGGTGCCCATTCTGTAGAAGATTCGAATTTCGCAAATTTTTTACCGCCTCTGTAGCCCAATGGCTAAACATATTGCCTGTCATTGCGCTAAGCGCGAGAGGTCCTGGGTTCGAAAACCAGAGAAACAAAAAATTGTTTCGTTCGGGCAAGGCACAGAAGTGTGATCAACTACTTGCCTGTTAAAAGAACGGACCAGTGAAACGGACATAGAAATGTGTTTGCCCCATGCCGGAAAACGGGATTTATTTTTTTTTAAATCCAAAATAAATTTTACTATCACGTATATATATATATATATATATATATATATATATATGACAGATAAGCATGAGGTTAATTTTTAATGAAAGTAACACCCCGAGTCCCAAAACATATAAAAATTTATACCATATCTGTACATTACTATCATATCCTTATAGAATGTGAACCAGTAAGTGTCTGGATGATGATGCGGCACGGGACTCGGCACCCAGAGAAGAAGGACGTGGAGAAGATGAAGAATGTGGTTCCACTGATTATGGACATCCTGCAAGCGCACCAAGAGGAACGAGGGGGCATGTGTGCCCAGGTAAGAAATAAATAGTACATTACTGCAGCGGCCGGCACGAGACGCAATTGATGGACGAACGTGTTATATTAAACACGCAAGGTCCTGGGTTTGAAACCCCGGGAAACTATAAATTGTTTTAATCGAGCGGGGCATGGAAGTTTGATCAACCCATGGTGTGATGTATCAATGGGTTGTTTTGATGATGACGGTGATATGGTAGGATGTAGGTTCAAGTCCCGCCCATGACATTTTAAAATCTAAATAGATTTTTAATTTAACTATATAAATAGTATCAATCAGCCATAAATAGACACATGTGCGCCATCTTGGATTTCACATTTATTTTTAGTTGCGTGTCCTTTAGTTAGCAGATATAATTCCATGAATAACTTCAACGCATGCGCAAGAGTTCTGTCACATCACAAATTTACTCTACATGTACAGGGATGTGCCACCCGGGGTATTATAACGATTTTTTAACATCATAGACGAATTTAAGGTACACAAAAATTAAAATAAAATTTAAAAGCAACACAACAAAATTAACAAATTCTATAATTGAAAAAAATATGGCGTTATATAGATTAAAAATATACATATTTATATTTAAAAGAAGAAAAAATAGAGTATCAGTATTAAATCTCGCCCGTGTCGTCATATTTTTTTAATCGAAATAGATTTTTAATTTAATTTTAAATAATTCTTAAAAAAAACTACCAATTCGAAATAAATAAATTTCAAATTTTCTTTTCATCAAATCAAAGATTTTATACATTTCTGATTTCTGCCTTTGGGACCGTTCAAGTATTACGTAAGCACTATAGTTTGGTGGGGGGTCTTTGTTTTGCTTATTTTTGATGACATGGGGGGGTAGGGGGAGTCCAGATGATGATTACGTCATCGATATTTATTTACTTTCTGAATCAACTTTCTTATTTTTAAAATTATAATATAAAAAATACATTTTTAATTGAACAATGTTTACGTAAGCACGGGGGAGGGGGTCAAAGCTTTGCTTACTTTTGCTGACAGGGGGGATGGGGGGGGTAAATAATTGTAATAAATCTGCTTACGTAATACTTGAACGGCCCCTTTTTACTTTTTAAACTGTAAAAAATAAACGTTTAAAACCTAAGACACAGTTTTGACACAACATTTTTAATTTAAGTATAATAGCTTAATTGTTTATAACCCATAGTACAGGAAACCATACATTTTTTTTATATAAATGTAAAATTAATTGTATCTATCTTTCCCCATTAAAGAAGGTTGCTTACCCCTGCTCTAGTTAATATAACATTCCCATACAGGACATCGAAAACTTACGCAACTGGAAATGGAATGAAGATCTAGAAGCACCTCAGTCAGAGCTAACAGAAGCCGGCATCGAAGAACTTAAGTCCATCGGTCAGAGATTTGGAGACAGATTCTCCCACATCCTGGAGAACCTGGAGAAGTTCGAGGTCAGAGCGTCTATAGAACAGAGGACCCAGCAGAGCGCCCAGGCGTTTGTCAATGGATTGCAGAGGCGTAACCAAACATTAAATGTCTCCACATCTCTGGATGATGACCTGACTGCTAGGGTAAGTTTTTATCTAAAGCTGAAGGGTTTGCTTGAACGCGCTAATCTCATCTCTGAATCGAATTGAAAAAATTGTGTTGGTTGGAACATTTATCGGGGAAGGCTTTAAAAGAATGATTCCTCATTAAATGATCTTAAAAAATGTTTCAGTTTGTGTCTATGTTTTATTACCAATAATTTGTTAGAGTTGTATCAACAATGCACTAATATATTTCGTGACCATGGCTTCGTCGGGTCACGCCAGGCCATAGTTAAAATATTTTTTTAAGAACTGTAACTAATATATCGCGTTGTAAACCGTCAAAGTGTTTTATTTAAATGTGTAGTACTCGCGTAAACTGCAGAACATTAAAAACGTGTACTTAAAAAATATAGCTTACTGTCAGCGTTTCTATCTAACCACATATTTATGTATACTATTACAGCCGTACAGACACTGCAAAAAACGTTTTTACGACATCCTTATTGGACCGAAGATTCCCGAAGAAACAGACAAGTATTTACAGTCTCGTGAATTTCAAAAGGTAAGCGAAGTACAGATTGGTGCTATTTTTTTATAAAACAAATTAAACGGTTTAAAACGTGAAATGTATATACTTACTTCATATACTTATTTTTGACACTCCTTCGAGACCATGAGTGCTGTGAATCAACCGAAACGCCAGTTAGAATAAATTATAATTCACTTTAAACAATCCTTTTCGCATTTTAAACCGTTGAAAGTGTTTTATTTCAATTTTGCCCTTGTAAGCAATTCGACATATAAGCAAAAAATATTTATTATTCGCCTACTATATCCTTTTCGCGTATACTTCGGGGTTTACTAAAACTTCGCGTTTCAAACCGTTTAAATCGTTACTGTCACTTACAGGTACAAACATCTCTCCAAAAACGGATAGGCCTAACTGAGCCACTCAGCCCAGAAACAATTCTACTGATCTACGATCTGTGTCGGTTCTATCGCAGCTATTCGCCTCGACTGATGGACGCTTGGTGTGGGTTATTTACTGATGGTGATCTGAAAGTTCTGGAGTATGTGGAGGATCTCCAGCATTATTACAGGTGAGGCTTTAAACGCAAATTCTAATATCCAAAGCCAAAAGTAGATGTTGTACAGCTGGGAAAATTTCACCTCCCATCGAATGAACCCCTCGCTTGTCTGTCCGCCTCTATCGTTACTTTATTTATCTGAATGCGGTAACCTTAGGAACTACGGGTTCGAATAGAAAAAAAAGATACATCTTTGATTTCGTCGCTTGCACCGCACAAATGATTCTAGTAACCAGAAAATATGTATTCAAGAATTCTTTAAATTATCTATAAAAAGTATCCGCGACATTTTTTGTTCATCTTCCAAAATTATCTGACAAGATCGACCGGACGCGGACGACGTCGTGGGTAAAAGCTAGTCGTTAAAATCAAATGACTAGATAGTTTTACTCAATTCTGACGCATTCAAAGACTTGGACACTAGTGAAATATTAGTGAACTAGTGAACGATGTGCAACACCAAAAATTTGGATTAAATCCAAATTCTTTGAAACATTTAAGTTTTAGTCACACCGTTTATTATAAACACATCGTGATTAATGACTGTACTATGACATCTTTTTAGATCATGAAGGAGGAATCATTCTTTGATACATATTATATTTTGGGTATCTTGAACCATTTTTGCAGCAAACGCAGCGGAAGTCATCAAAGATGGATAAATCCCCCCTTTTCAGACTTACCGCTATTTCTTGGCGTTTATTGGTTGCAACGTAATTTTATTAAAGCCTATCTCGATAAATGCTCTAACCAACACAGAAAGAATTAAATACTGTCTATAGTTTACACGAGTAGTACACATTAAAAAAAAAAACACAGTTTAAAACGCGATATATTAGTTAAACTGGTCGGTCACGGTCTGTCTTCCCGCGACCACGGCTGCTGCAAAGCATCCGAAACGTCGGTCCGAAGTTAAAAATCTTTTCAAATAAGTTTAACTTATTAGTTATTATTAACGGTTTAAAACACTAAATATTTATCGTCTTTTAAACCGTTAAAGTGTTTTATTTAAACAAAAATGATTTTCAATTCGAAACAGTAGTTTCTGAGATTAGCGCGCTCAAACAAACTAACTAATTCTTCAGCGATATGTATTAGTATAGATTTTTATGGTTAATCACAGATTTTTGTTTTTTCCTGACAGGAATGGTCATGGCGACCCCATGAACGCGAAGCTGGGTGCATCCAGCCTCAAAGACTTATACGAAAGCTTCGAGTTGGGGACCCAAGGTGTGACTTCCTTCTCAGCATATTTCTCCCATGACACTATGCTGGAGATGGTGTATACCGCCCTGGGGCTATATGAGGACAAGCCCGCTATCTCCGGATTGGAGAGGACCAGAAAACGGTTGTGGCGAACGAGTTTTCTTACTCCCTTCGCTGCAAACTTTGTCGCTGTGTTGAATAAGTATGTATTACAATAAAACACTACATAAAACATTACACACACTTACTATACACACACATACACACACACTCGACTTCATACACATTCGCGTACTCATACTTTCTCTTTCGTTTTTACTCACACACTCATACTCTCTCTCTCCTTCTCACTCACACACTTAAATACGTATTTATAGATTATCGAAACGTAGACTTACGAATGACAGCAATGATTGGCTTGCTTAATTCAAAATTCCATACAGTCTGTAGTTTACGCGAGTAGTACACGGTTGGTGTAGTACACGCGAGTGAACACTTTAATTAGGTTTTAAACGAGAAAGATAAACTTATTTAAACGCGAAGACACCGTTAGTCAATTCTGCAAGGACCCGACCAGTATCGCCAAATACCAACTTCGACGTTCTACAACAGAAGGCGCTAGCGTAGCAGTTTTTATTTTGACATCAGAGACACCCTCCATCTCTAGTCTCCCTGTGACCACGGCTGCTGCAAAGCATCCGAAACGTCGGGCCATAGTTGAAATAATTTTAACTAATATATATCGCGTTTTAAACCATTAAAGAGTTTAATTTAAAGGACATTTTAATATCTCTTTTCAGATGCAACGATTCTTCAACCAGCGTGTACAACGTACAGTTCTTCGTGAACGAAATAGAAGTGCATTTGTGTTCGAAGCGCGCATGCGCATGGGATGAGTTCGTGGATAAGTTTGGCAACTTCACACAAACCGATTTGAGCTTTTGCAACGAGACACAAATTGTTGTTTAGATACGGTTTAGTCGAAATAGACTTTTGGCTAAAACATATAAATCCGATAGAGCTGAAGATTTTCAAAGGCCTTTGTTAATACGAGGGTGCTAGGGACAGAGTGGCCTATCACAAAACATGATTTCCAATAAGGAGGAAAATAAAAATGCGCAATTAACTTGGCGAAAATGAATTTGTACCATTATTTGTGTAAGAATTATATTAACATTTTTCGATTGTGTCTAACCAATTAAGCTACCGGGTTCTAGACTTGGATAGAGCAACAGCACGGAATGCTGACGATGCCGGTTCGAGACCTGCAATTTTTTTCAATTTATTTTCGATTATTAAATTATATTGTAAAAAATATTGAAGTTTTCAAATGTCAGCTTGTATAAGTAATAAGTTGGCAGTTACTTTAACATTCTTTAGGTAACTTAACTTTTAAAAATAGAATTAAGAATACTTTGTTTGAACCATTAGTGTTTAAGTTACTTTAAATTGTTAAGTATTGTCTATAGTTTATGTGAGTACAAGTTTTAATACGGTTTTAAAACAAGTGACTAATATATTTATTGTTTAAAACAGTTAAATACATTTTATTTAACATTATTTCTCACAGCTTATTTATCGTATAATTTAGGATATTTATCTCGTAGATTAAAGTTTTCTATTTTATAATTCACATTTTGTTAACAAATTACAAAATATGTTTCTCCAATATAATGCAACAACAGAGACAAATAAATAATTGAAAATATATGAGCTTTGACTTATATCCTTTTTACTATACAATACATTTAAATAAAACACTTAAACGGTTTAAAACGCGATATGTTTTAGTTAAACAGACAACATTAAAACAAAATTTGTTTGGTGTTATTTTGTATAATATTTCAACATAAACAATAATTTAAACAATGTAGATTTACGCGAGTATTATACATTTAAGTAAAACAGTTTTAACGAATTAAAACGCGAACTGTTTGACATCATACCCTCCATCTTTAGCCTCCCCATGACCACGGCTGCAAAGCGTCCGAAGCGTCGAACCGTAGTTAAAATAAATTGTAAATGGAGGATCGCACCCTCCCTCGAACGTCCCTTTGATTATAAGCCATACATTACTACCAATGACGTCAGTAATAAGAATTAAATTAATAATAATAGTTAAGATAATTTTTATACAATTTACGTACATTTCGCGTTTTAAACCGTTAAAAGTGTTATTTTTTTAAATATCTATCTCATTCTCTTTGCATTAACAAACAAAACGATAGAATTAGCAATCCAGGTAATAATTTTGATTCCGCTGCGCCCCCCGGGAGGTACTGATGCTGCGCCTCACCTGGAACTTTACAGAAGTCCAAAGACGAGTTGGTGAAGGGCTGGAAAATGGAGACGAACTGGTCCCAAGTGCAACCCCCTATGGGGCAGAGAGTTGTTGGCTTTTCATTGTTGAAGATTTGTACTTTGTAGGATACTTGGCCTGAATCTTGACACCTATAAAAGATTTCAATTTAAATAAATCATATTTAACTGTTTAGAACGCGAAATATATTATTCATTTACAATTTATCATAACTACTTTCGGATGCTTTGCAGCCGTGTTGACGAGGGTAAAATAATTGTGGTACGTGGTTTACGTGAGCATCGTACCTACATTAATATGAAACACTTATAACGGTATGAAACGCGAAACGTATAATACATTTACAATTGATCACAACTACGGCTTTCTTACTACTTTCGGAAGCTTTGCAGACGTGTTAACGAGGATAAAATAATTATGATATGTAGTTTACGCGTGTACCTATCGTATATTAATATGAAACAATTATAACGGTTTAAAATGCGAAATGTATTAGTTAAGTCAGACCTGAATCTTGACCCATAAAAGACGATGCATTATTTAAATTTAAATAAAACATTTTTAATGGTTTAAAGGAGAAATGTATTAGTTAACATATTCACAATTTATTTTAACTATGAAAACTTTAATATGTTTGAATGTCACACATCATGGCACTATATAAATATTGATAATTAATTATAAAAAAATACGATGCGGTAGCGCAATTGGTTAGAACAAAGGCACGGAACGCCGTTTTAAACAGTTAAACGTGTTTTATATAAAATACGATATTTTATTGTAATGTATTTATACAATACAATAAAATATAATATATAACTGCAGTCGTCGCTTAAAGTCCCACCTAGTATACGGCTAGCAACTAACAGTCAAAGTAACGCGTTACGTAACGAAGCGTTACTCTCCCGACTTGCGACTTACCTATTCAAGAAAACCATTAAATTGGTACAGAACGGTGCCAAGTACGTTGTTCTCCATTGTCTGGTCGGATTTCTGTACTGCGCTGTGATACTTTCAGCATCTCGGTACAGCCCTAGGGCACTGTAGACCATCCCCATCAGGGTGTCGTGGGCGAAGTACGCCACGATGTTCTTCCCATCTCCCCTTTTGGCAGCTAATAGACTCTCGTACAAGTTCTTCATCGCTGGATATCCAAGTTTTACGTTTAACTGAAAAGCGAGACTTATGTAAATAAAACACTTTGACGGTTTAAAACGCGATATATATTAGTTAAACTTATTTGAAAATTAATTTAACTACGGTCGCTTAAAACCGTCTGTAGTGTACGTGAGTAGTATACAATTAAATACAACACTTTAACGGTTTAAAACGCGATATAAACATATTTTAACTACATCTAACGTCGGGCCGTACTAAAAATAATTTTAACTAATATATATCACGTTTTAAACCGTTACAGTGTTTTATTTAAAAGATTATGATATGAGTAATCGAAAATTCCGTCCGGGTCACGAACCACAATCGACATAGGAAAAAATCGAGATGTTTCATTGCGTTTCAATTTCAGTCTATCGATTTATGAAAATTCAGCCGAAATGGGTCGATAACGCATGTCGTTTAGATGTTATGTGGCTAGGGTATTACACCTACGATCAAGTATTTCTATATACATCGATCAGTTTATTAGTCATCGATGTCTATACAATATACAGTTGCCTGGAAGAGGTCGCTGTTTAGCGATAAGACCACTTTTCATTTATAAACATAGTTCATACATTTATATTCTTGTAAACCGTGTCCACTTAGGTTATAAATAAAGTACCGAGTTTTTCTGTATTTTCTTAATGATAGAGATGGACAGAGACGCATTGGGTTCAGGGTAGTATCCCAGCCTGAAGCATCTAAATAAGGGGTCGTCCATTAATCACGTGAGGCTTGAAAGGGGAGGGTTTAAAAAAAACACGAAAATAACACAAGGGGGGGGGGGGTGTAGTAAGATATCGCGTGTGTTTATTTTTTCGTCAAACGCGCGATTTTTAAACAAATGGTGTAGACATTTTTATTATGGTCTTTAATTTCATAATATAATAAGATTATAGTCTATACCTGTATTAAAATTAAGATAATATTCAGAAAATTTTAAGATTCTTTGTAGCCACTAAAAATACACGTGATGTTTAGAAAGGGGAGGGGGGGTTGTCTTAAACCTCACTACGGCTCACTAATGGGGAGGGGGGGGTTAAAAAATTCAAAAAAAAAGATCACGTGATTAATGGACAACCCCTAAGATGCACTGTCGACCTATTTTGGTTTTGAATATACCGAAATCCACAGACTGAAACCGAGACACGATTAAACGTCTTTTACATCTGTGGACGGTAGTTCGTGACCTGGATGGAATTTCTATATTTCCAGATTTTCAGACGAAGTCCACAAGTTTCAGAAAAAATATTAATTGATTAAAAAAAATATTGGTCCCCAATAGGGATCGGATCCACGCCCCGTTGGTCATTAGCCGTAGATTGCACCAACGAGTCATTCTAAAATTAAATAATAATTAATTTATATCAACTTACGCGTGATCCATACGCATTCTTATAGTAATGTCTGACGTCGTCCCTATACTCCAGCACTAGCAGGTCCTCGGGGGAGAAGGCGGCGCACCAGGGGGATCTAAGATCTGGTGACCAAGTGCGATCGAAACGACACAGTTCATACAAGTTGTAAATATCGTCTGCGCTCAATTGCGTTGGTATTCCGAGACGCCTTTGAACATCTTCTTGAACCTGATGGAAGATTTGAACTTGATTAAAAGTAATGTATATAACAGGGAAACAGTGTCTGTGAAATGCCGTTTCCCCTCGCGGGGCATGGGGCGAACACAACTATTTCTATTTACAGGCAAGTAGTTGATCAGACTTCTGTGCCCTGCCCTGCATTAGTTCCTGAGATTAGCGCGTTCAAACAAACTCGTCAGCTTTATATTAGTATAGATATATATGTGTTTAGGAGGTATGTAGTGTTGTTATCCACTTTTGGCATCTCTTGGCAGTTCATTTACCTCTATAAAAATAACAGGTGACGCAAACTTCGATAATCTGTCGATATATTTACGTCACGCGGTTCCGCTTGTACAGTACTGCATAGATATTAATATTGGTATTGTTTACTTACTTTATATTTAAATAAAACACTTCAACGGAATAAACGCGATACATTAGTTTAAATTATTTTAATTACGACCCGATGTTTCTGATCCTTTGTAGCAGCCGCGGTCACTGGGAGACACTAATATAGTATATCGCGTTTTAACCGTTAAAGTGTTTATTTATATGTGTACACGTAAACTACAGACGGTCGCCCCGTGACCACGGCTGCTGCAAAGCATCAGAAACATCGGGTCGTAATTAAAATAATTAACAAACAAGTTTAACTAATATATATCGCGTTTTTAACTGCTAAAGTGTTTTTATTTGAACTGCGACTTACTTCTAAAAACTCCGGCGTCTTATAGAAGGCTTCAAGTTGTTCTTCTAGCAGAGGACCATTTTTCACTTCGGTCTGGTATCTGTCACAGTTGTCATATGGCTGAAAAAATATATTAATTTTTACTAATATTATAAAAGTGAAGAGTTTTGCGTTTAAAATATTTATTGTTGGATAGGCAATATAACATTACATTTCAACCAATGGGAGACAGTGGAAAATGTGGAAAAAATGGGGAATGACTTTGAGGGCTTTGGTCTAAAGTTCAGGAACCTAAAGATATGCGTAAAAAAATTGTAGCGGACCGCACAGCTGCTGACATGTAACGTCGGAATAACTAGCTGTGCTCGCCACTTCGTTCGCGTGCTATAGTTATTTTATTTATGTAAACCTCCTGGGCTTTATGATTTATAGGTTTACCCACCACGTCCACGTCTTGTCTTTCCTGCGAGTTAATCTTAAAAGATAGACTGTGGGACATTTTTAGATCATACAAAGAGAAATCATTCTTTCACACATATCTTTTTGATTCTTGAATCGTTTTAACAGCGTACGGAAGTACTATTATAATAGTCCAACCAAAACATAAAGAAATTTTTCTACCAGCGGTTCCTGAACGCGTTTAATCAAACAAACACTTCACTTCGAGCAGTGCGGATTAAGTTATTGTTATATAAATGTTTATATTGTGTGTGTGTTATCCCGTTTCCCCTGCGTGGCGCATGGGGCGAACACATTTCTGTGTCCGTTTCACTGATCCGTTCCTTAACAGACAAGTAGTTGAACAGACTTCTGTGCCCTGCCTGACTGAAACAATTTACTAACTTAAATTACTTCTTATTTTACTTTTTACAAACATAAACTCACACATTACACAAACACATTCATGCATTCAAAAAATACACAGTCTCACACACACATTTTTAGCTGATCAACGTTAATCAACATAATTATAAACTTAATGTCAATCTTTTAATGTATATAATACGGGAAAGAGCGAGGCTGCTCCAACACAAGTTAGTAATAAACTTTCTGGAATAGCCTCAATACTATTTGTAATTTAATTATTAAGAGAGAGACAATAAACATATTTTATAAACATATTTTATTTATTTATTTATTTACTGTTTCTCTAGGATTCGAACCCAGGAACTCTCGCGCATAACGCAATGCGCGTTATGCGCAAGAGGCGGTCATATTTAAATACTGACGTAAAACTAACTATAGGCTGTGTTATGACAGTACATACATAAAAATACATTTAATTAGCTATTTAGACCATGTGCTATTGAAAATATTAAAGGTAAATACTGTCTGTTGTTAACGCGAATAGTACGCATTTAAATAAAACACTTTAACGGTTTAAAACGCGATATATTAGGTAACCGTGACCACGGCTGTTCCAAAGCATCCGAAACGTCTAGTCGTAGTTAAAATAATTCTCAAATAAGTTTAACTAATATATTTCGCGTTTTAAACAGTTAAAAGTGTTTTGTTTAAATTAAAGGCAAGTATACCGAACTATTACAGGCATTAGCAACTGCTTCTGGTGTTGTAGCACTGTTGTTTTTCAAAGCTGTTATAAGTATACTCTGCTTTTGAAGTCGGTTAAAAATCACCATTTACCGTCGCATGATACAACACTTACACGTAGAACATCATCGCTTTCCCTTGGTTTGTCCAGGGTTAGATTCAGGTTCGTACCCTCACTCAGACCGTGCACAAACGCCATGGAACTCGTCACCGTTCGCTGCTTCACCGTGGATCTGAAGTAGAAGGAGTCACCAGATCCTAGAAGGAGCTGGGGATATTTCTCCTTGATCCTCACAGCCATGTTGTATATCTCTTCGTAACCAGTTCCAGTTAAGTACGAAGGTGATGTCTCCATCGTGGAATTCCATTTCCAGTTCCGAAAGTTCGCTATATCCTATTGAAAAATAACAAATATTTTATTCGTTGGTATTTGGAGAGACTAGCTGACCAGTGAACTTTGGACTTTATAAATATACTAGCTGTGCCAGCGACTTCGTCCGCGAGGAATCGTCATTTTGGGCATCCAAATTTAGTTTTTGCAAACCCCGTCCTCTTTATAAACTTAAGCTGTTAGCCATGACGCTCTATCGCGTCTCTTTCCGTCGTTCGTGCAAGTTATTCTTAAAAGATCAGGGACTTTTTTTTAGATCATTTAAAGGGGAGTCATTCTTTTAAACACATTTTTTAACAATCTTGAACCGTTTGCGCAGCTTACACATATGAAACCAACAGAGATGAAAAATTTCATTCAGTTCATATTTCCCGCTGTATCTTGGCTTCTATTAGTCGCAGCGCGATGTGTTATAGCCTTATAGCCTTTCTCGATAAATGCTCCAACCGACACAGAACGAATTTTTCAGTTCAAACTCGTAGTTCCTGAGATTAGCGCGTTCAAACAAACAAACTCTTCAGCTTTATATATTAGTATAGATCCGCGTTTCAAACCGTTTAAAGTGTTAGAGTCGCGTTGAAGTTTACGCGAGTACACATTTAAATAAGAACACTTTAACGGTTTACAACAGACGGCGCTAGCGTGGCAGGTTTGACTTTGACCCAATGACCACGTAGTTACAATAATATTTATACGTATTTAAAAATTATTCTATCTATGAACCGGCGTAAGCTATATAGCAGCCGTCGTCACGGCGAGCCTGAAGATAGAGGGTGTCCCTAATGTCAAAATTAAATCTGATACGCTAGCGCCATCTGTTGTTAGGGACACTTTAAACGTTTTGAAACAAGGAATATATTAATAAAATCGAAAATTCTGATCGTCAGGATTGCCCCCACCAATGAACTAGTAGAATAATGTAATCATTACATTAAAACAATTAACAAAACATATATTAGTAAGCGTAAACCGCAAAAATACGTTTTTTTTACGCTAACGCAAATCTAATAATAATAATTCATGAACCTGTGAACACAGTTGACTAGTGCCCATTTCGTAGTCGAACTTCTCAACAATCTCATCTTTGATTTTCCGCTGTAGATCTCGCATGTCGATGGTCCCACCCTTTCCTGGGTTCCGGTTGCCATGTCGTATCAGCGCCCATAGGCTCACAGCCTCACAACCTTTCAGACAACATACTTTTAAAATTCGTCCAAAAGTTACTTTAAATAAAGTATTTTCAACGGTTTAAAACGCGAATGTATTAGTTAAACTTAACAAATTATTTTAACTTAAATAGTTTGTAACGCTTAGCTAATAGATTTCGCTTTTTGAACCGTTAAATTTGTTTCAAATGCGTACTACTCGCTCAAACAACACACTAAATAACTGTGTTAGTTTTTGACGTTGTATTTTTATAATAGAGAACGAAAGACAATCGCGATGTTGACTTGAAGGAAGGAATATACCTGAGTCATATAACATCTTAACAAGATGCGCAGTGCCATATTCTTTTCGGAAATCCACGGACTAAAACCGACGCGAGATCAAACTTTTATATATGCATAACTGTATTCCTATCATCCATTTAATGTTTAGATTTCCAGACATGGTAGCACGTTTGGGAAAAAATTAAATTTAGAAACATCCTGGACCTGGTGGGGTCGAAACCACCACCCATCGATTATTAGCCGTACCTACCTTAAATACTGTCTATAGTTTACGCGAGTAGTACACATTTAAATAAAACACTTTAACGGTTTAAAACGCGATATATTAGAACGTCGGGCCGAAGTTAAAAATCATTTTCAAATAAGTTTAACTAATATATCGCGTTTTAAACCGTTAAAGTGTCTTATTTAAGCGTACCTACCTTTACACCATCGAGCCTCAAGTTTAATCGCGTTGCAGTTTCAGTCTGTGGATTTGCGAATATCAAAAGCCATAATAGGCCGACAGCGCATCTTCAGAAGTTATATGGCTGGGGTATTAACCTTTATCATAAAAGCAGTCCTATTTAATTGTAAAATATTGGACTACCTTTAAAAAATAAAGATTTCTTTAATGTCTACATGGATGTTTCGTCATACCCTCAAGCAATGGCCAATCTCGTATGTCCCCCCGGACTGCGTCATACGGGGTCCTGGTGGCGAAGAGGCCGAAGGGACACTGAGAATTCCAGTAGCAAGATCTCTCACTTAGAACCACTCCCAAACTTAGCACCAGTAAGAGATTCAGTACATGATACATTTTGACACTCTCGCTACAATAACGATAACATCTTTTTTATACGCCTCGTTTGGTAAAGCCGCGTCTACACTAACACATTTTTAAACGAATTAAATACTTAATTACGTAACCGAAAATTAAGTAAACACTATTGTCTGTTTACGCGAGTGGAACACATTTGAAAAACGATTTTAACGGTTTTAAACGCGAATTGTATTAGTTAACTTATTTTGCAATTTGTTTTTTCGTGTCCGATATTTCGTATGCTTTGCAGCAGTGTTAGACACAATTTTTATTTATAAATAAATAAAACATTTTTGTCGGCTTTAAACGCGTAATTTGCTGATTGAACTATAATATAGATCTATACAAGTACACATTTGAAAAACGATTTTAACGGTTTAAAACGCGAAATTTATTAGTTAACTTATTTTGCAATTTCTTTTTTAGACCAATATTTCGTATGCTTGAAGCAGCCGTGTTTATATTAAAATAAAACATTGTTGACGGTTACAAATGTCGATTGAACTACAACATAGATATCCAATATAACGCGTTTTATACCGTTAAGTCTTACAACTCGCGTAAACCAAAACACTTAATAACTCCGATAACTCGTCAACACAGACTGCGAACGAGATAAAATATTCGTATACAAGTTTTCCCCGTCGATAAGCGAACGAGTACTTGTTCCCACGCGCGGAAACTCGTTCGTCATTTATCACTGAAGGCCGTTCATATTTCCTCCACTTGAATCATTATGGCTTCCATGATAAAGTATGTTTTAAAAAAGAAGGAAAATTTGAGCATCGTCTTCGATTTGAAAAAAACATCGAACCCGGTCACGAATGGTGCCACAGATGAAAAAGTCGTGGAGTTTAATCGCGTCTCGATTTCCGAATATCCAAAGACAAAAGAGGTCAGCAGTGAAACCTATGTTTGTCTCTCCTCCTCTATAATAAAAAAAGAACAAGAGATAGGGTCGCGATCGACGCCGGCGCATATTTTGAAGTAGTTTTATGTTATTTCATGTGAAACTGGGTAGTTTTAAATGAACTGTAGCAGAGCCAGACTATATCACAGTCTATGGTTCGCGTTTATGATTGTCACTGTTTGCTAATATGATGGTTAGCGGCTGGCATGGCTGGCACAGCTGGCTTGGCTGGCATTGGCTGGGCTTGTATAGCTAGCACCCCATCTTAGGCAGCGCGTTACACATGTATATTACTAGCTGGTGCCCGCGACTTCGTCTACGCAGGATTAGGCTTACGTAGTATCGCGCATTTAAACTAAATGATGTCTATCATATATTACATACTTATTATATATTATTATTATATTGGAAACTTATAACAGTTACTGTTTAAAACGCAAAATACAATAAGAAACCTCAGGTCGTACTTAAAATTAAATTACTAATATGTTCCGCGTTTCCATCAGTTGAAGATGTTTTAAATAAATTACTTTTACACGTTTAAATAAAACACGCGTTTTAAACCGTTAAAGTATATTATTTAAATGTCTCCTACTCGCGTAAACTACAGAGAGTATTTACTTTTAAGCGGTCTCCTCGTGACCACGACCGCTGCAAAGCATTCAAACCGTCAGGTTGTTTAAAAAATAAGTTAACTAATATATTGGTCGTTTTAATCAGGTTAAATTGTTTTATAACAGAAAATACGTGAGTAATATTGGAAATCTATTAAGAAATATTAAATTAATCGTCGTGACCGAAGCTTTAGGTACCGATATCTTCAAGTTATAAGTTGCTGACGAGCCCTATTTATGACGAATATCTGTTCACTACCGACCCACCGGCCTATCACGCCAATTAAGGCTGCGGTCTCCTATAAACGATATTGGTCGCATATAGTGTTATATGTTACACCATATAGCAATGCACTCTAAAATAAAACACTTTACGGTTTAAAACACGATGTATACTAGTTAAACTTATTTGACAATTATTTTTAACTACGGCCCGACGTTTCGGATGCTTTGCAGCAGCCGTGGTCACGGGGGGACTAAAGATGGAGAATGTCTCTGACTACAAAGTAAAAAACTGCTACTCTAGCGCCTTCGAATCTGTTCCGTCGGATTTGGCGAAACTGGCCTGGACATTGCTAGGCGACTACAATTGCCAACAGAGGGCTTTTGCGCATGCGATGTACTGACAAATGCTACAGCTTAACGCTGCGTAATCCGTGACGTTGTATGCTTTTTTAGGAGACCACAGACTGTGCTATTGTGCAAGTATACAGATTAACATAAGATAACATGTAACTATTTAATCCCGATTAGATATTTACATAATTAGATCGATTATAATTTTTTTTATCGTTCATTTTCAGTCTATACTAATATTATAAAGCTGAGTTTGTTTGTTTGAACGCGTTAATCTCATAAACTAGTGCCTCTAATTAAAAATTATTTTTGTATTAGAGAATTTATCGAGGCAGGCTTTAAGGCTATGAAATGTCACGCTTCAGCCAATATATTCATCTTTGAGGGTTTCCATTGCGTGTGTTGCAAACACGATTATAAAATTTCTATTTGTCTTCAAATGATCTAAAAAAGGCCGCAATAATGTGTCTGTTGTTTAAGATCAACTTGCAATGACGTGACGCAACCGACGTCGCGGGTAAAGGCTATAATTTATAAAAATAGTCCAAAAACAAATTTGTATAGCCAATATAACCTCTCTGCGGACAAAGTCGCTGGTGTTGAGATATATTATATTTTGGTTCATTTTGGCACACGCGCAAAGAATAAATAAACGTGGTTCTGGATTTTTAATAAACATTTTGAATATTCTCAAAAAAATATTTTTTCGATAGAACAGAAAAGCATTGAATTCACTCGATGGTAGGTAATACCCCAGCCTATAAAAAAAGAAATATTTAAATAAAACACTTTAACAGTTTAAAACGCGATATATTAGTTAGACTTATTTGAAAATGATTTTTAACTTCGACCCGACGTGTATCATCCCGTGACCACGCGTTGCAAAGCATCCTAAACATCAGGCCGTAGTAAAAATAACTAATAAATATCTTGTAAAAACCAGTAAAAGTGTTTTATTTCAATGTGTACTACTCGCGTAAACTATAGACAGTATTTTATTCTGAAATATACAGACTGAAGCCGAAACGCGATTAAGCTGCGCGACTTTTTCATCTGTGGACAGTGGTTTGTGGTCCAGTTTAATATCCAGATTTCCAGGCAAAGTGCAATATGTTTCAGAGAAATTATAAATTGAATTAAAAACATGTTGGACCCGCTGGGAATCGAACCCATGGCCCGTTGATTACTAACATCGCTAGCATTAGAACGACGAGCCGTTGACCTAATTTGGCTCCGAGTATCCGGAGCACAATTATTTTTAATTCGAACCAGCAGTTCCTGAGATTAGCGCATTCAAACAAACAAACTCTTCAGCTGTATATATTGGCAAGAAATAAAAAAAGAGCTATTTTTTCCACATTGTTTTTAATCAATTTAAAAATTAACTAAATCTAGTTATTTCCATCACCAACTCTCTGCAGAACGGTGAAGAAAGTGTAGGACGCTTTGATGATCTGAAATTTAGAAAAAAAAACACTTTAAACAGTTTAATAATAATAGAATAAGAAGCAAAGAAATTCGTTTATATTTATAGGTAAAGCTATATTTAGTTATACGCGAGCAGTACACATTCAAATAAAACACTTTTAACGGTTTAAAATGCGAAATTTATTAGTTATTTTAACAACGGCCCCACGTTTCGGACGTTGCAGCAGCCGTGTCCACGGGGCGACTCAAGATGTAGAGTATGTCTAATTTGTAAAAAAGTTTGAACAATATATTCCGCAATTTAAACCGTTAAAGTATTTTACATAAATGCGCACTACTCGCGTTAACTGCGGACAGTATTTTTTCAATTTTGAAATAAAATCTATATACGTACGGCCATGAAAGTAGCGAGAGATAGATCAGCCATGCCCGCTGCAGTAAGGCGGACCGCTCGCTGCGACCGGCACATGACAGTTAAAAGAGCTTTGCTAACTCGAGCACGGCACTTGTACCATGGACACTCGTAACTCGCCCTTGACACCGCCTCGCTCTGCTTATGAAAACGCGACATGACTCTTAAATTTCGCGGCCTCGTTATAAATATTCATATAAGAAAAATAGGCGACGGATGGACGGAATTCTATAAAAGCGTATAGTTTTCATTTCCAGTATTAAATAAAACACTTTCAACTGTTTCAAACTGTAAATATATGATTTAAAATAAATCAAGTAAATTTTTTCCCGTGAAAAACCCCTGGAAATGTTTTTATTTTATACCAACTTAGTAAGTGACAATTTAAATTATGAAATTACTATAGACTAGAGAATTCGTATAATATATATTTTAATATTTTTTTACATATGAAATATTCAAATTCACATAATGTCATGCACACGATGACATTATACGAATTAATAATCTATTTAGATTGAAAAAAATATGACACGAGCGGGACTTGAGCCGGCATCCATAGCGTGCCACAAGACGCTGTAGCTCAATTGTTTACTACACCCGCCATGTCGTTCATTTTTTAAATTTCTTAAATATTAAAGATAGCTGTGCCCGCGACTTCGTCCACGTGGAGTAACTTTGGGTAGAATTTAGGCTGTTTGTTTTATAAATTTTTTGAGACACATGTGTACACAATAAGGTACAGTCTCACTGCAAAGATCTTCTTAAGGTATTAATTATAAGTATATCCATCGTATAGTGTATTTTTATATGCTTATTTCAGTACACTTTTATACTTACTTTCGCACTTTTAATATTAGTAAGTTCTATAAAAATAAATTACGATACATCCACACAACTTTTTATACCTTAATCGACCCCCACTACCTTTTTTTCGTACAGCAGAAGGTTTTAAATGCAAAGGCGCATTCAAGGCAGCCAATCTGTGTTGTAAGTGCTATTTTGCCGCAACACTCCCCCTCTCACTTCTACACTCACTCCCACTCTCACTCCCATTCCCAAAAAGCCAAAGAAGAAAGTTTCATTGTTCTAGCCTCAAAAATCGCGAATTTCCATCCCGTTTTGCAAACCCCTAACACAACCCTTTTTTGGTAGCCTGTGTCCTTTCTCGTGCTCTCGAATATCTGTATATTAAATTTCACACACAGACAGACAGAGTTACTTTCGCAAATTAGGATAGATTTCTTGATGATAAGACTAGGAGCAGCTGGTGTTCATAACGAAACAGCGTTTTTGTCCCACACACCAATCATGCCTTGTCCATTCAAGATAAACGTTTAGATAAAAGTTAATACGATAAGCGACACCGATGTAATCTTGTCTCCTATATCTTTAAGATTATTTATCTGTTTTCATCGGCTAATATTATTAACTAGCTGCCCCCGCGACTTTGTCCGCGTGAAATAATTATTTTAGGCATTAAACATTTTTTTTTGCAAACCTCCTTTATAAATTAGTCAGCTTCTTCCGGGGGTATCGTTATTTGGCCATCTAAATTTGATTTTAAAAACCACTTAATATTTATAATCTTAAGCTGCTACCCACGACGTCGGTCGCTCCCTTCCCGTCGTTCTTTATTTTTCAATTCGAACCCGTAGTTCCCGAGGTCAGCGTGTTCATACAAACAAAAACACTCCCCAGCTTTATAGATCACTATAGATCTCCGTTACCCATAACGTCGTCCGCATCCAGTCGTTTATTTAAAAGATAGTTAATTTTAAAGGATAAACATATTATACTGTTTTTTTTTTTAGATAATTTAAAGACGTATTATTATTTTATAGGTATTTGTTGGTTGCTTAATATTATAAAGGTAAAAAGTTTGATTGTTTGTTGGCTCTGGTCCCAAGTCAAATAGCGACAAATGATTCCTCTTTAAATTATCTAAAGAAACATCTACCACAGTATATGTCTATCTATCGGGATTTAGTTTAGCGGCTATAACTCATAAAGATGAGGAGTTTGCAAAAACTAAATTTGACGCCCAAAATAACTAATTAACGCGGCCGGAGTCGCTTACACGGCTAGTAATCAATAGTAATAATTCTGTTTAACTTGGGTTTAACATGCGTATGCGCAGAGTGGCTCTTAGTCTATACATACCTCAAGCAACAATTGGTTTCCATGGTAACAATACACGAACACCTCAAACATCATCACAGCAAGATAACAAACCAATGATAGCGTTTGGATGAATGTAGTAGCTTCCTTCAACAAGAATTGAATTACTTACTTATTTTAACGGTTTTAAACGCGAAATATATTAGTTAACTTATTAAGAATCGATTTGTACATGAACCCGCTTTCACAGTGTTCCGCGCTGCTGCTCTAACCAATTGAGCTACCATGTCCTAAACGCCATCGTCGAATTTTAAGCTATTGATACATGCACTTGTAGCGCAATGTAATTTCAACCATAACCCTATACAATAAGATAGTCAATATTTACATTTTTTTACGGTTCGACGATTCGGATTATTATATATTTCGCGTTTTAAACCGCTAAAAGAATTAACTATACCACAGAGAAACTGAAAATGTTAGTGTACCTACCCTAGTTTATTCCATTCTGATTTAAGTGGGTATGTCTGAGTACCTAGAAGATTATTTATAAGTTAGGTTACATAAGGGGGGTATATCCTCCATTTTAAAAATGTACATAACTCACAAAAGCCAATTGATACGCCGTCACACAGATAATAAACATGGAAACGGTGAACTGCGCAAGAATGGGAACTGAGAAGCAGGCTTGAATCATCGCTGCAGACTCCAACACAGCCTGGTGTTCTACCACGTACATACGGAGACGCGACAGCACCATCTCCTCGTCTCCATAACTTATCAGACCCTGGTAATTTTAATTAATTGTAAACAGTTAAAATAAATATAAACTTGATGTAATTTGGGTTCCGGTATGTAAATTTAAAAATTCCGGTTAAAATTTGAATAGAACACATTTAACGGCTTTAATCGCGAAAGGTATAAGTTGACTTATTTTTTACTACGACCAGACGTAAAGTTAATGTGGTATCAAAATTCGTGATTGCAAAACTTTGTTAATAAAATGCTCGGAGGTTCAGCATTTCAACTTCCATGAACTGAACGCAAAGCTCGTTCGTCCCTTGTAAGTCTAAAATTTGTATATTACATACAGTTTTGTCCTCATAAAAGCCATCCATCAGAGTTCTCAAAGACAGCGCTAAGAGCTGCAGACGACAGCTGCAAAGCGCGACTAGTGACGTCACTAAATTATCGATGCTAATATTGACACATGCTGCGATAGATAGTGCTGCCACCTGCATTTAAATATTTTCATTAGTTTAATTCCATTCTCCTTCCTCATGGAAGCGATGGCTTAAGACACCCGACGGGTTTTCTTCGGTCTTAAGAACATTCAAATTTGATTTATAATCATTATTAATTATAAAAATGTGGTTTAGATCAGTTATTTATGTCCGGAAGTTTTACAATATCACTATAGATAAAACTCTTGTTTCTTTTACTTATTTTTGACAGGGTAACAGAAGTAGTATGTGGCTTATATACAACGGGTCGTGGGATTTTTTAATCACTTTGTAGTTTTGACAAGTACACGATTGGAAATCAGGATATTAAATGGGTTCTTGGAATATCGGAAATTCCTTCCAGATCACGAACCACCGTCCACAGATGCAAATGAATGAAGTTTAGTCGTATTTCAGTCACTGTCTATGGATTTTCGAATAACTTTATAAAAAACATCAAATCTTGAAAACAAATATTTTTCTTTAATTGCACATAGTTACATTTTAAAAATTAAAAATCTGCTTAAATTTTTTTCTAAGGCAGGATATAATAGCTTAAATATTGTAATTACATTGCGCAAGAGGTGCATGTGTCAATGACGTGTAGGACACGGTAGCTCAATTGGTAAGAGCACGGAACCCTGTGGATGCCGGATCCAATCTCACTCGTATCGTCAATTTCTTTTCCATCAAAATATATTTATTTAATTTAACATAAAATTCTATTTAAGTGCGTATATGAAAAGACAAAACCATTACCTGATGTACGTATGTGATTTGATAAGCCGGTGTTTTCATTTCATCATATGGATACCTAAACAATAAATTATAAATTTTGCTTTAGATTCGAACAAAACACTTCAACGGTTTAATACGCGATATATATTAGTTAAGCTTATTTGAATGATTTTAACTACGGCCCGACGTTTCGGATGCTTTGCAGCAGCCGTGGTCACGGGGAAACGTCGATTGTTTGTTATAATAGATCCGGCATACATTGTTTCGCTGTTTGCAAGATTATTGATATTTTATGAAGTGTAGGACACGGTAGCTCAATTGGTTATAGCAACAGCACGGAACGCTGTTCAAGTTCTGCCCGTGTTGTCTTTTTCACCTAAAGCTTTCCTCAATAAATGGTCTATTCAATAAAATTGTTCCAAACAGTGTTCCAGAGATTAACTTAACTTTTAAATAAACAGACAAACAAACTCATCATCACTGTAGTTTACGAAAGTTTACACATTTCAATTAAACACTTTATACAGATTTATATTAGGCAAGACGTTCGAAAGAAGCATCTGAAACGTCGGGCCGTAGTTACATTACACTGTAAATAAATTTACTAATACATTTCGCGTTTTAAACGGCTAAACATGTTTAATTTAAAAACCCACTTAATTGCTAAACGATGTTACGTAATCTATATTAAATGCAAGTAGTATTTAAAACTACTTTAGATTCGTTTAGATCACGCGTGTTAAATTCATAAATATAACCCTAGTTTCAACCCGTATAAATACGTTTCATTTGACCTATATTTGCGTATTTGCTTTTTTAAAAATAAGAAGATATTTTTACCATGCTCTGAGAGGCAGCTGGCCTTTCTCCGCTCCAAGACCGAAGCCCATGATAGTGGAGTACGCCAGAAAGAAAAATAGGCACAGCTGGTAACGACCCTCTCTATTGAAACTGAAAAAAAATTAAATACATACATTTAAATAAAACACGCGCCTCCCCGTGACTACGGCTGCTGCAAAGCACCCGAAACTTCGGGCAGTAGTCAAAATTAATTTCAAATATGTTTAACTAGTACATATCTCGTTTTAAACCGTTTAAGTGTTTTATTAAAAAAATGTAAACTTCATCCTATTTTAGTTACGTAAATGGTTTGTTTAAGTATTGCTTCCGATAATTTTTGTTTTGTAATTCTGAAAATTAGTGTCCGTAATTTTCACGAATAACATTAAAATAAAACATTTTTAACGGTTTCAAAACTTCTTTATATTCGATTTCATCCATGTCGCATTCAATATAAGTAAAAAATAGATAAAAAACATTTAAATTAAACACTTGAACGGTTTAAAACGTGCTATATATTAGTTTGAAAATTGAAAATCGTTATACTACCTTAAACCGTTTACATCGCGTTTTAAACCGTTAAAGTGTTACATTGAAATGTGCACAACTCGCGCAAACTACTGACAGTATTTTGATAAAAACCAATTTTATTTGCCATCATAAAGTACACGATTTTACGTTTTATAGCCTAAAGCCTTCCTCGATAAATGCTCTAACCAACACAAAAACATTTTTTCAATTCGAACCAGTAGTTCCTGAGGTTAGCGCGTTCAAACAAACACTTCAGCTTCACAATATTAGTATAACAATACTCACCTGTCGATGATCTCTATTCCAAGGCTTCTATCTTCACCTCTCAATTGGCGATCGGACTCACGAACTATTTTTTTCAACATTCTTTAATTTTATTACCATGTACAATATCTGAAATGTATTTTTATGGCAGATCATAAACGTGGGATTCTCTAGAGAAGGTGATATAACCCCCCCCCCCCATCACTATAACAATGGTTATTTGGTATATGGACTAGGGACAGATATTCGGAAATCCATAGGCTGAAATCGAAACGCGGAACTTCACGGCTTCTTCATCAGTGGACGGTGGTTCACCCGGACGGAATATTCCTACCACCTATTCACATTTTTAGACTGCGTCCAACGTGTTTCGGAAAAATTATAAATTGATAAGAAACAATTTGGAGCCGATGGAAATCAAACCGACGACCCATGACATGAAATTATTCAGAAAAATATGACGTGTTAGACCCAACGGGAATCGAACCCACGGTCCGTTGGTTGTTAGCCATACATTGTTATTTTTAATGACAAAGGCGGAGATAGGTGTGGGGTTCGCTTAATGGGAGGCCGAATACCAAGCCACATAACGTCTACACAAGATGCGCAGTCGGCCTTTGTTGGCTTTGGATATTTTTACTGTATCGTGCCCGTCAGTACAGTATATGCCACGATGCTACATATATTTAATCACAGTATCCATAGCTATCTATTAGGTAGTAGTAAAAATGAAATCCCGTTTCCCCCTTTTGGGGCGTGGGGCGGACACATTTCTATGTCCGTTATAATCCGTTCTTTAATAGGCAAGTAGTTGATCAGACTTCTGTGTCCTGCCCGACCGAAACAATTTTTTGTTGCCCTGTGATTCGAACCCAGGACCTCTCGCGCATAACGCAATGCCAGGCAATACGTTTAACCATTTGGCTACAGAGGCGGTCTGGCTGCAGAGGTAGTAGTAGTCAGTGTAAAAAAACGACTTTGTTACCGTTTTAAATATAAGACTCACTTTAATAGACAGACAACTGTTTGTAAGCAACATGAAAAATGCTGCTGTCATCAACGAAATATCTCCCCACACATGGACCAAGTCACCAGCTTGTACAAACACATAGGTACCTATAATATTTAAAAACACCTAACGTACGTAAAACATATATTATAATTTTAATAAAACTCTTTAACGGTTTAAAACGCGATATATTTTAATTTTGTTTAATAATTATTTAATTTGTTTTACTTTGTCGTCAGAGACGCCCTCCATCTTTAGCCTTCCCGTGACCACGGCTGCTGCAAAGCGTCCGAAACGTCGGGCCGTAGTTAAAAATAATTTCCAAACAATTTTAACTAAAATATATTGCGTTTTAAGCCGTTAAAGTGTTTTATTTAAATGTGTACTACTCGCGTAAACTACATACAGTATATATTATATTTCTTTATTTAAATAAAACACCGATTTAAAAGTATCGACTTTTAAACCGTTAAAATATTATTATATATTATAAGTATTTTATTTCAACGATTTAAAACGTTTATGATAAAAACTTTTATTACATGTACTTACCATTGATTAACATATAAAAAATAAAAAAATATACACTATACAAAATCCTACCGAATCTTGTCAAGCACTTCGGTGGATACATGCCGGACAAGACAAACACATTGAGAGTGAATTTTACGGCGAAATTAACGCTATCTACAAAGATTTCCATCTTGAAGATTAGCTGTGAAATTGGTTTAACGCTAATATTTTAGATTTGAGCTACTTACTGGTCTTACTATGTCATTATGTCAGAAGTGTCGTTTTCAGGAGCTACTAACATTTCACATTCGTTTACATGCTTTTTAGACCCGGTTTTCAGAAATATAATCGCAATTAGTGTAGCATAATATAAAAACAAACCGACAGCATAAACACTGGCAGGACTTCACATCCACAGCGTTCCGTGCTGTTTTGTGTCGTAGAGCCTTTGGCTTGTTTTTCCGTGTTGGCTAGACCCCCTACTTACCCGACATTGATTTCCTCAGTGTCAGAGTGGATGCCTCAAATAAATTAATTCCATAGACAACTGTCTTTTGTCCATCTAATTTATTATTACACAATTAATAAACAGAAAATCTTATATCTAAGCAATAGTTTAATAGACAATAAAACACTTTAACGGTTTAAAACGCGATATATATAAGATAAACTTATTTTAACTACGGCCAGACGTTGTAAATGCCTTGCAGCAGCCGTGGCCACGGGGGGACTAAAGATGGAGGGTGTCTCTGACGTCAAAGTAGATATGTCACGCTAGCGCCATCTGTCCCGTCGAAGTTGGATTTGGCGAAGCTAGCCGCTTGTTGTGTTCCAGACATTCTAAACAAAGATTACACATCCAAACGCTTTCTACAAAAGGTTGAGAACTCCTGCCTTCTTTAATTGCAATTTATTTTAGCTGCCAACATGTAATCTACATCTATAATTATCAGTTCTAACATGACATTATATTGACGTGAAACAAATTTGAAATTACATACATCGTAACTGCTTTTTATTTAGTGTTTTAGGTAATTATTGTCTATAGATAACGCGAGTATTACACGTTTAAATACAACATTTTCAACGGCTTAATACGCAGGATATATTACTTACCTTATTTTTATTATACTTTAGCTTCAGCCCGATCTGTGGTTACGTGGGGACTACGGGGAAAGTCTGGCAGTAGTTCGAATGAGTTAAATAATACAATTTGCGTTTTAAACCGTTAAAAGTGTTTTATTTAACTACTACTACTCGCGTAAACTACAAAAATACATTGCGCAAAGATATTAGAAATAAATAATAATATTCTCTCTAGTTTACGCGAGTAGTACACATATATAATAAAACGCTTTTAACGGTTTAAAACGTAAAGTGTGTTAGTTAACTTATTTCAAATTTATTTGCCTACGGCCTGACGTTTTGAATGCTTTGCTGAAATCGTGGTCCCCGTGACTATATACCTAGTTAAATATGTAAATCTTTTAAATAAAACACTTTAACGGTTTAAAACGCGATATATTAGTTAAACTGTGTAAATCTGTTAACTAATACATTTCGCGGTTTAAACCGTTAATATCGTTTTATTTACATGTGTACTACTCGCATAAATTACAGACAATTCTTAACGACTTGAATCAATATATTGTTAAATAAGAGATGTCATATTTATTTCTCTTCATCCATCTGTTTGAGAACTGTGAAGAAGGAATATGACGCTTTGCAAATCTGAAATTAAAATAGTTATTTAAAATTACGTACTAATCTATACTAATATATAAAGCTGAAGAGTTTGGTTATGCGCGCTAATCTCAGTAACTACTTGTTCGTATTGTAACATTAATTTTGTTTTCGTTCCAATTGTCAAGGAAGGCTCTGGTCTATAAATCATTGTATGGTTTAAATCGATACTTACGCCCATAAAAGAAGCGAGTGACAAAGTGGTAAATCCTGCTGCTGTAAGCTTGGCTGTTCGGCGGCACCTCGTCATCATGATGAGGGCTGAACGACGCACTGGTAGTGGACATTGGTACCACGGAAACTCATACGCAGAGCTCGATACTTTCTCACTCTGAAAACAAAAGTAAAATTAATCCCACACACAGTCTGTAGTTAACGCGTGTAGTACGCATGTAAATAAGACAATATCAACGGTTTAAAACGCGAAATGTATTAGTTAAACTTATTTGGAAATTTATATTTAACTTCCCCGTCTCCCCGTGGCCACGGCCGCTGCAAAGCGACCGAAACGTCGGACCGAAGTTTTCAAGTAAGTTTAACTAATATATATCGCGTTTTAAACCGTCAAGGTCTTTTATTAAAAAGAAACTTAATTTTTTTTAATTCACCGCTTAGATACCTACGTACGTCAAGCAAGAGTGGTATCAGATTCGAACCCCGGGTCAGTGGAGCCAGTCGGGCTGTCCAGAGGTGGAAAAGCCGTGAAGTGTGATTGCGTTTGTACTTCAGACTGAGATAGGTAATTCCCCTATAGCTATAGAATAAGCTTGGGCCACTTGATGGTAGGTGAAATACCCCAGCCTATAGCATCTAAGAAAGATGCGCTGTCGGCCCTTTGGCTTTGGATAATCGGAAATCCACTGCCTGAAACCGAAACGCGATCAAACTTGACGATTTCTCCTTTTAATATTCAGATGTTTCACATATTTCAGCGAGATAAAAAATTGATTAGAAACATGTGGACCCGGTGGGAATCGAACCCAAGACCCGTCACCGATTTCACCAATACACCGGTCAGCTTATGAGAAAATAACCTCTCAAAAATTTTAAAATTCCATATTTAAAAATCTTCGAGAGGTTATTTTAACCTTTGTAAACTTACAGTTTGTATTTAAATTTCTCTGTAGTTTACGTTTAAACACTTTTAACGGTTTAAAACGCGAAATATATTAGTTAATTTTATTTTAAAGCACTTGATTGGTATTAGACCAACGAGATCTTCAAGTGGATTCCATGTTTGTTCTTCTGATGTTAGACAAGAAATATCACCTCTAGAGACAACTCGTTTCCTTCTCGGCAGTAAATATATACTTGCCCCACCATGTTCAGCAAATAGAAGGTCATGGACAGCATTCTTACTGGCTTACCAGTTTGCTGAAATAAAATATTTTCAATCAGATATTCACAGTGCTGCCATGTAGTCAAGTTAATACTGTTTGTAGTTTGCGCGAGTAGTACACATTTAAATAAAACACTTTAACGGTTTAAAACGCGATATGTATTTAATAATTTTAACTACGACCCGAGCAGCCGCGGTCTAAAAAGCGTCCGAAACGTCAGGCCGTAGTTAAAATAATTGACAAAAAAGTTTAATTATAGTTTTTTATTTTAAAACGTCAAGTGACTCTTGTTACATGAGTATAGTCGATATAGTGGCATTGACAGACAGTCATTGACAGATGACAGATGTTTGAAAACTTATTTTGACATAATGTCGGGGAAAGGATGTTTGGTGATGAGACGAGAGTCATGCCCACAGGATACTCTGGTTCAAAATTTGTTTTTCCTACGAGAGTAATGAGATTATAACATTGGGATTAGTGGGATTCTACGATTTGAAAAGATATTTAAAAAATGGCGGTAACTTTAAGAAGGTTTTTTGGATCTCTTTCTTACTTGTCGGACAGCGCCATCTGTTCCGTCGAAGTTGGTATTTGGCGAAACTGGCCGGGTCCTTCCAGAATCGACTAAAGGTCTTTTCGCGTTTGCTAGAATGCTGTTTTTTTGGAAACCAGAGTTTTTAATATGGGATCCCAGGTGATTGATATATAGGGAGGACCTCAAGTTATCTGTTAGATCATTACATTTATCCACTACCGGTGTAAACTCGGCGCGCGCGAGAAACGAACCCAGTCAGTTGCAAAAGAACTGCCATATTGAACGCGCGTGTCCTTGACTTCATTTAAACGTCTCTGACGTATTAACATTAGTGCCGTGCATCTTTCTACTGAGTCGAGGAGCTGAAGCGAGCGTCTGGAAGACCAGGTTAGTGGGTTCGATCCTTTTGCCTGCTTCTGCGCAGCAGTGATCGCAACTCAAAGGAAACCGTGTTTCCACTTAATATATAACATTATCAAACACCTTGGCTCCCATATTAAAAATTCTGGATTCCAAAAAACAGCATACCAGAACTAGAACATAATGCCATCATTATGGTTAATTTAAATAAATCTTGGGTTAGTACTTACAAAGACGAGTTGAAAGGCCGTTACACAAATTATAACAAGAGATACTGTGAACTGGGCGAAGGTTGGCTCCGAAAAGCAGTTCTGCAACTCGGAAACTGTTGCCAGCGTGTTCTGGTGTTCTTGGACACATTCTTTCAGGCGTAGATTTACGATATCCCCTTGACCTTGAGTCAAACGCTAAAAAAATGATGTGTAACAATGAAAAATGTACTAACTTAGTTCACGTGATGGAAGTTGACTCCAGTTATATGACATCGACATAAGGTGCGTTGTTGGCCTATACAGATTGTAAATCCAGCCAAATAACGTCTTGACAAGACGTGCTGTCGACTTATTTAGATTATGAATCCAACCATATAATACCTTAATAAGATACGCCGTCGACCTATTTGGATTCTGACTCCAGCCATGTAAAATCTCACAGTTTTAACCCGTTCAAAAGTGTATAAGTTAATTTTTTTTTTCGATAGTAGTCCTTCTTAAAAAATACCTGTTCGAAACGCGACATTTATATTTTATTCTTCACTTTACAACAATAAGTTACATTCCCCGGTCTAACCTGTTTAAACTTTACGCTAGTAGTAAAAATAACGGTTTGAAACGAGTAAGAAGCTTTAATTTTCACTACTTGCAATTAGCTATATTTCCCGTTTTAAACCGTTAAATCTGTTTTTATTTGAAACGTAAAAACTTACATTATTTTCAATATGCATATCCTGGCATAAACTTTTTAGAGCCGTACTGATGAGTTGCAGTCTACACCTGCACTGAGCTATCAGCGTGGTCACCAGGATATCCTTGCTGGCGTTCATGCTCGCTGAAAGGAACAGTGCCACCGCCTGGTGAGTGTATGCGAGCTCATAAAGTGGGGACTTGGTGGTGTTGAAGGGGTACCTGGTTAAAAAATGATTAAATAACATTGAGTTTGAAAATAATCGACGATGACGTGTAGGACACGGTAGCTTACGGTAGCGGAGCAATAAATGTAATAGCTTAAAATATTATTGTTTTTTATATGATACTATAGTTTACCCAAATAGTCATTTAAATAAAACATTTTTAACGGTATAAAATGTATTAGTTAATTCACATACAGTTTATTGGAACTACGGTCCGATGTTTGGGATGCTTTGCAGCAGGCTGCTGCATACATACACGCATTATATTTCGTATTTTAAACCGTTAAATGAGCTGAAATGGTTTGGTTTTTATTTCACATCATCCTAACCACCTCACCACCATCGAATGATAACTTCGAGTGTTAAAAACCATTAAAAATGTTTTATTTAGTTATTCTTTTGTTAATTAAAAATTGATTATAATATAATGATTGCTGTAACCAATGCTAGCGTGTCCTACACGACATCGTCTATATATGTGCAGTAACGTGTGAAGAATAATAAAGTTTTCATTTAAATGAAACACTTTAACGGTTTAAAACGCGATATATTAGTTAAATTTATTTGAAAATGTCGAAAATGAAACGTCGGGTCGAAGTTAAAAATCATTTTCAAATAAGTTTAATTAATATATCGCGTTTTAAACCGTTAAAGTGTTTTATTTAAATGTGTACTACTCGCGTAAACTATAGACAGTATTTAAAGTTTTCATTTTTTATTTTTTACATTGCCAAAAAGAATATAATAACAATTTAAATAAAACACTTTAACGGTTTAAAACGCGATATGATAGTTAAACTTATTTAAAAATTCGGATGCTTCGCTGAGGTCATGGTCTTCCAGTCTCCCAGTGACCCAGTAAAGTTTAACTAATATATCGCGTTTTAAACCGTCAAAGTGTTTTATTTAAATGTGTACTACTCGCGTAATCTATAGACAGTATTTAAATAATAACAATATTTAATTTTTTGGGACTACTTGTTATCTGAAAGGGATCGACTGAAAATCAGCGCTTACCCTAGCTGAGCACATGCTGAGTCTTAACGCTTTTGCACAAAGTAAAAATTGTACTTTTTTGTATTCTCTTAATTGTAAGTTTTTTTTATTACTTACTAGCTGTGCCCGCGACTTCGTTCGCGTGGAATAGTGACTTGGGGTAGAATTTTTTATTTAGGCTGTTTATTAATTTATGTCATTGCGCATTTATCGCAGCCAATCTATGTTGTAAGTGCTACTTTGCCGCAACACTCTCACCTCACATCACTCCTACTCTAACTCCCACTCTCACTTCTATTCCCAAAAAGCCAAAGAAGAGAGTCCGATTGTTCTAGCTTCAAACACGACGAATTTCCATACAAACTTTCACCCCCCCTTTTAACCCCTTACAACCCCCTTTTCGCAATAAAAAGTCTAGCCTAAAAAGCCTATGTTCTTTCTCAGGATCTAGACCATCTGTGTACCAAATTTCATTCAAATGCGTTCAGTAGTTTTGGCTGAAAGAGTAACAGACAGACAGAGTTACTTTCGTATTTATAATATTAGTAAGGATTTTCGTTACTAAATTATGTACTTCGTGATAACCAACGAATCATTTATGCAAAACGAACCAAGCTCTCATAGGCAGTTGTTTATCCTGAGCTTCAAGTGCAGCAGCGAACAGCCAGAGCAATATCGTGAAGAGTGTCACCAAACCATACACCAGGAAGTAAAAATTGGATTCCGAAACAGAACTGAAAAGAAATGACTGCACAGTTTTTAATGATAGGGTAGGACAGATTGGCGTGGGGTGCACTTCGTGATAGGTACCCCAGCCATAACATCTAAACAAAATGCGCTGTCGGCCTATATTGGCTTCGAAATCCACAGACGCAAGTTAAATGCGTTTTTATTTGACGGCTCTTTTATCTGTGGACGGTGGTTCGTGATAACGCAAACTTCGTGTTTCCTACCATACATTTAATTTTCAGATATGCAACCGAACACTTTTTTTTATTTATTAGAAATATGTACCTTTAGTAAATTATATTTAAATAAAACACTTTTAACGGTTTAAAACGTCAAACGTATTAGTGAAACGGGGCGACGACATGACTCGAACTGCTGCAAAGCATCCGATACGTCGGGCTGTAGTACACATTTGAATAAAACACTTTAACGGTTTAAAACGCGATATATTAGTTAAACTGATTTGAAAATGATTTTTAACTTCGGCCCGACGTTTCGGATGCAGCAGCCGTGGTCACGGGGAGACTGGAGACGGAATCATTTTCAAATAAGTTTAACTAATATATCGCGTTTTAAACCGTTAAAGTGTTTTATTTAAATAAATTGTTATTAAGTTAACACATACAATTCGCGTAACAATACATTTCGCGTTTTAAACCGTTTTAAAAGCTGAAACCGTTTAGTTTTTATATCAAATCATACTAACTGATAACTTTGAGACTGTGATTTAAAACCGTTTAAATTGTAAATAAGTTAAATAATTCATTTCGCGCTTTAAATCGTTAAAAAACTGAAAACTTTTTGGTTTACACCATGCTAACCACCATCATGTACAACTGATTAATTCCAGTGTGTAATTTAAAACCGTTTAAACTGCGAATAACACAACTAATATATTTCGCTTTAAACCGTTAAAATTACTGAAAAGGTTTGGTTTTTACTTTACATCACGCTTACCACCATAACGCTCAACAACTTTTTTGAACGTTTGATTCTTGCTTTTTATAGTATATTGTAACCTCAACACTCTACATAGCTCACCATCATGAAAAACTGATTAATTCGTAGTTTAAAACCGTTTAAATTGTAAAAAAGGTACGTATTATATTTCACACTTTAAACCGCTAAAAAAAAACGGCCGGATTTTAATTTACATCATGCTACCATCACGCTCTACAACTTATGGGGCTGGTTTAAAACAGTCAAAAATGTTTCATTTCGTAATAACTAACCTTTTGACAACATTCTTGCTTTTCACAGTATCTTGTAACCTCAACACTCGATCATTGTTCCTCACGATGTCTTTAATGCGATCAGCTCTCACCACCAGGTTCAGGATCTTGGTGCTGTGCGTCAGGTTCGTGAACAGCACGAAGGCAGATGCCGTCATCAGTTGAATATCACCCCAGATGGTATACAAATCGACAGCTTGGATCACAATAAAAGTGCCTAAATACAGATATATTTGAATGAAACTCTTGTGACAGTTTAAAACGCGAAATGGTGATACGGTAATGTAATTGAATTTTTAAATTGACGTTTCGGTTATAATAAATTAAAAATATATCAATTGATATATTTCGCGTTTTAAACCGTTAAAAATGTTTTATTTAAATCGATATTTCATATATTAAACGAGGTGAGGTAACATGTTTACACACACTTTGTTTAAGATTGTTCTTATATTTTGAGATGGTGAAAGTTAATCTCTACTTGTATTTGAGTACTGTCTGTAGTTTACGGGAGTACTGCACATTTAAATAAAACACTTTTAAACGGTTTTAAACGTAAAATTTTCTAGTTGAACTGATTTACTTTTAACGTACCAATGTTTACTTTGCGGCAACCGTAATCGCGGTAACGACGTCTAACTAATACTCGGTTTAAACCGTTAAAAATTGTATTATTTTTAATATACTTAAATTTACATTCTTAGTGTCTTTAAGATACTTTTAAAAGAAGTATTTATAATAGAAACATACCAACGACAAACATATATATAAACATAGTATGACATCCATATAGTATCTTCTTCCATCCCCTCACTAGATCTGGAGACCACAGACCCATCAGTCTTAACCAAGTCAAGGACATACGAAGGGAAAGGTATGTATTGTTTATTACAAATCTCATTTTGAAAGACGTGTGTAGTACAGTTGAAAAAGTGGGTAGATTACAAAAAACTTACAATACAGTGATTTTATACTCACTGTCGGGTGTTGTCAACCAATTTTAACGTTGCAATAATTTTCGATGACTAAGGATTGTAAGGTCAGTAATAATAATAATCAACGGGTCGTGGATTCGATTCCCAATTTTCTAATCAGTTTATAACTATTAATATTGACGATTGGTGCATTTATTTATAAATAATGTTTTATCGCTACATAGAAAGCTGGTATTTATTATTTAAGTATTGTCTGTAGTTAATGTGTTCAGTACATATTTAAGTAAAACCTTTTTAACGGTTCTAAACGCAAAAAAATTACTTAAATTTACATAAAATATAGACGTAGTAAATAAAGTTAAGATAAGTAAATTAATATTTTTCACGTTTGAAACCATTACAAATACTTTATTTAAATTACATATTGTATTATTTCCATTTAGATATATGTTGCTGAATTACTAAAAAATTTGGTATCAACCAAAAATCATATTTATAATTTCTGTAAAAAATGTTACTAACCTCTGAATGAAAACATTTTCAGTAATTATCGACTTCTCTATTATGTGTGTTTATTCACAATTATGTTATTATTGTAAATACTACCCTGTCTTCAACGAAGGCAAACATCGACATTAATTTAATTTACACGTTTTATATAATTTTGACTACCTCTGTAGCTAAATGGTTAAAGCATTGTTCCTAGCATTGGGTTAAACCCAGAGAGATCGTGGGTTTGAATTTCGGGGAAACCGAAAGACCGATCGCAAGGCACAGAAGACTACTTGCCTGTAAACAAACGCGGAACGGGATAAATTCTCACTCTGGAAATGATTTATAACCAATATTAATTAAAATAAAACCTGAGCTCCTTGTAACATTATTTTAACACGATTTAGAATATAAAAAAAAAAAAAAAAAAAAAAAAAAACCCAAAAAAAAAACCCAAAAAAAAAAAAAAAGGGGCCCCCGGCAAAAAAATTTTGGGGGAAAGGGGGAGGCTTATTTGTGAAAATATTATATGTATAAAATCCGTAATTATAAGAATTTATTCGAATCGCTTATCTATAATATCGGATACTCCTTCCACTTGGTGCCTTAAGATCCAAATCTGGATTTAACTTGAAATACTTTGAATACTAATAATAATAATTTTGATCCATTTGCATTTTTAAATGTTATCAAATATTGTATTTATGGACGTACAATCGAATGTGAAATATATGTTTTATTAATTTATTTTTTATTTAAAAAAATAATATCTTGAACACTTGCTCTCTTACTAAACGAAGACTAACTTAAACCAACACTCCACAGGCCTAACTTTATACGATAGCTGTGCCCGCGACTTCGCGTGGATTAGTTATTTTGGGCATCATATTATATACTTTTGCAAACAATCTCTTCGTCGTTAGAGACATAGTAGCCTAACCGCTATTTTACGACTTGTGTTTATATTGTCATAGTCTAAAAATATTAATCACAAGAGCCCAGTGACCGAAAATTGTTAACACGATTCTTACACAAATAATAGTTACTTTTATTTTCCTTCCTATTGAAAATCATGTTTTTGTTATTAGGCCACTCTGCCTCTAGCGGCCTTAATTATAGCTGCTATCTACGACATTCACGTTCCGTCGTTCTTGATAATTAATCTTAAAAGATAAACAAAAAAGTGATGTCCGCGACAGACATTTTTTTAGATCATTTATAGAGTCTATATTCTTTCAAACTTACATATCCTTGGGTATCTCTAACCATTTTTTTTTAATTATTATTTATTAGTAATTTCCTCCAAATTTTCCAAATTGTAATTTCCTCCATCCCACATTTTCCACCACCCACGAACGTTCAAACAAACTCATCAGCTTTATAATGTTAGTATAGGTAAGACACGGTTTGAAGGTCTAATCCGATAGCCATGGCGACCCCTACTTGATTCGACATGTTTCTTAAGATTTCATTTTGAAGTTCGTATGGAAATCTGGATATCAAATGGGTGGTAGGAATACCGAAATGTCGCCATTGTATCACGAACCATCTTCACAGATGAAAATACCGTTATCCAATCCCTGCCTCTGTAGCCAAATGGTAAAACGTATTGCCCACATTGCGTTAGTGGTTCAATCTCAGGAAACAAAACATTTGTGTTAGAAGACCAAGTACTTGCCTATTAAAGAACGGATCAGTGATAGGGACACAGAAATGTGTTCGCCCCCATTCCCCACGAGGGGGGAAACGGGATTCCACACACACATTTACACATTTGTAGATTTAAACCCAAAATTGGCACTGCATCGTGTCCTCTATCATGAGTACTAAAGAAGGTAGTTGTAAAAATAAAATACATTTATTTACATAAGATTCTATGAAGCCAATTTACTAATATCTTCGTACTGCACGTTCTTCACTATTCTTCCGGTGAGTGGACCCTCTGCGACCTGCAAAAATAATTACTAAGTCATCTAAAAAAAAAAAAAAAAAAAAAAAAAAAAAAAAAAAAAAAAAAAAAAAAAAAAAAAAAAAAAAAAAAAAAAAAAAAACAAAAAAAAAAACCAACCCCCCCAAAAAAAAAAACAAAAAAAAAAAAAGGGGGAAAAAAAAAAAAAAAAAAAAAAAAGAAGGGGGGTGGGGAAAAACAAAAAAAAAAAACCCCCCCCCCCCCAGAGGGGGGGGGGGGGGAAATGGTGGGCAGACAACACAACCCACCCGCCCCCCTATGGGTGTCCCCCATGGAAAGAAAAAATGAAGGTTACCCCTTCATGGGCACAGAAGTTATATAAATTTACTTAATATTGAACTAATAAGTGTAAACATGGTGGGGGAGGGGTAACAGGTCTTAAAAAACTTTTGCGGTTCACTAACAAAATATTGATTTATTAAAACTATTTCACAAGAAGAAAAAATACAAACGAGACTTATAAGAATATGGAGTGCAATGGGCGGCCTTATCGCTAAAAAGCGATCTCTTCCAGGCGCCAAGGTGAAATAGAAAGTTTATGAGAAAACAACAAAACGTTCACACAATATAGCTGGCCTAAGAGTCCAAGAACGTGTTATTTGGAAGAAGCTTTGTTTAAGAATCCCATAACGCGACGTCACAGAGACATAAGTCTCGATTTTTTTTGTCTATTGTGCAATAAAAAGATCTTGTCTAAGTTGACATACTAGATTGAATCGACGTTGGCTACCGTTATTTTTTTTATCATTGCCAATGTTTCACAGTGCAGTTGGACCTACCTCAACGTGGCAGCAAAAGTTGTCCGTGTCTATGTCTTGCAATGTGCCACGGAGACCTCGGTACGCGCCGTTAACGAAGCGAACAGTACGACCGGCGCTGGGTATTACCGTTTCCAAGTGGTTCTGGAAGCAAATTAATCTTAAATACTGTCTATAGTTTAACGGTTTAAAACGCGATATATTGAGTTGAACCAATATATCGCGTTTTAAACCGTTAAAGTGTTTTATCTAAACATATTAATCTTGTCTAAAGTATTATAATGCGAAATATATTAGTTAACTTATTTCAATTTAAGGCCCGACGTTTCGGAGGCGCTGTAACAGCCGTGGTCACGGCGACAGAAGAGAAGGGTGTCCCTAATGTCAAAGTCACAACTGCTAAATTAAAAATGTAGTATCTAATCTATTTAGCGTTTTAAACCGTTCAAAAAAGAGAAGTCCCATTTGTGTGGGGCATGGGGCGAATACGTAACTGTCTACATTTCACTCATCAATCATATTTACAGGCATGATCAAATACTGTTCGTAGTTCATGCGAGTTGAACAAAACACTTTAAAAGTTTAAACTCTAACCTGGTCCAATTTCAACTTGACGTTCTCATCGATAAGTCTTATCTGAGCGCCATATTTGTCTATGACTTTCTCAATAACTCCCTTCCTCTTATAAAACTTGTCACCGAGTGATTTTGTGACTATTTTCACAATTATACCTTCTGTCAGCCAATAGTCTTTTCTGAAATATGTAAATATAAAATTAATTGTTTATATAAAACAGTTTTAACTGTTAAAATGTGCAGCATCTATTACATTTTAATTATTTTTATTTATCGTCTTAAACCCTCCATATTAATTTATTTAAATCAGTACTGCTCATAACACAATACAGACAAGCTCTAGAGATTGATAACTGCAATGTAAACTGTTTGTTTTCATGTCTGGGTTTACGATATTATATCACTCACACGGGTAACTCCTCACCTGTTAGCCCTTTCCTTCTGTTTTTCCTGCATTTCCATAATTTCATCTAAGGCATTCGATTTGCTGTCAGATTTTTGTCTCTTACTAGACGATTCCTTGCTTGTTTCTTTCTTAGTCAACAACAGTGCCGATTTTGGTAACTCTATTTTCTTTTCTATAAATAGGATAGCATTATTTAGTAGCACTTGTTAAATATTTTTTGGTTAAGAACATCATGATAGGAATGTGGTTTAGGTAAAACAGCAAACACAAGTTCCTTTCATCTGGTTGATCAAAAGTATGTGTGTATTTGAGCCTTTTACTATTAAAAGGATCGACCAACTTTAATAAAATTTTGTAGTACAGCTGCATAAGCCATTTCCTATTATGCTTCTATTTCCACCAATCAAAGGTAACTGACAATTTAATTTTGTACTTGCCGATTACATAGTTATTAAAAGCAATTTATACTTTATCTTGGAATCAATTGCGATAGGAAAATAATTATTTCAGCTAAGTAGAGTAAACACCTACTCACCATCTGTTTTTCTCTTCAAGTTGAGATTGAGAGTCAGTCTCTCCTGACTACTCTCCCGTTTAAACTCTGTATATTTGGGCTCATTTTCTGTTTCTTTCTTCCCTCTTTCAACTTGCTTTTGAATGAACTCTAACATTCGCTCCTAAAATAATAACAATATATATTAAAAATGGTGTAATGTGCATAGGATCCCATTCCAATATGTAGCCTTTTTACGCGTCATGACTAATTTGAATATAATCTTCTTCCCATTCTTGGGATACATATGGTTCTCTGTTTGTATTGAACAAACGTAAATAACTAAATAATTTATATAAGGGCTCTAAAGGCAGAGTAGTCTAACTGCAATTTTATGACTTGTCTGTCATATTTTTATAGTCTAAAAATGCTAATCTAGCATCTAGGACGAGCACAGTGACAGAAAATTGTTAACATTTTTTACACAAAAAATAGTACAAATTCATTTTTCTCTAAGTAATTAGCTTAAGTTAAAGTTTTTTGTTATTAGGCCACTCTGCCTCTAGCAGCCTCATATACTACGACAATTCGTTTTAAGACTAGAATATTATTTTGATGAACAAAGAGGATAAAAAGAAATGTGTCTATGTCTCCTAACCTAATATTATTAGGGATGTATGTAATACCTGGTCATCTTTATCCATTTTATCCTTTTTTGCTTTAGCCTCTTGAGCTGCAATAGTAGCAGGATCTCGGTCAATATATGCAACAAACCAACCCTTCTCCGTTTCGTCTACAACACATTTCCCCTCACGTCCGAGCCATTTCACAAAATCTGTGAGCGTTTCCCATTGTGTTGCATTCATGTGAAGATGTTCCCTAGAATATAAAAAGTACGACATAGTAAAAAGAATATTCTTCAATTAATTTAATTTTTAATCATAAAAGTGTGTCTTCTGTTTTTTCCTGCTTAGTAATATTGTTTCAACTGATTAATTGAATTCATTTATAATAATATATTTTTGTGTTTATTGATGTGTAGGAAACTGTAGCTCAATTGATTGGCCCAGATGCGTGGAAGATGTATCAGCTGGTTAAAGTCCACCCCCAATGTATTTCTCTTTCAATCTATATAGATTTTTATTTTATATAATGCTATCATGTGTACATGTGAAAAATATTGCAGTTTTTAATAATAATGGTAATTATATGCAAAACTGTTTATCTAACTTTATTCAACCCATCTAAGGTAACTAACACATCTTTACTTAGTTCTGTTAACGATACTATATGGTTGGTCTTAAACTTTTTCAATCAACCAAACCCGGAAGAAACCACCACCGTGTAGAAATAAGCAAGGCTATACTAACCGATTAGATATATAATCCTGATAGACCTTATTTGCATTCACTCGCTTCGTACCAAATTGGCGGCGCAATAACTCCAAGTAGCCATCAGCAAACTCCTTAGAAAACTCATCTATATATTTAGAAGCATTATCAGCGAACAACAAGAGCTGCCTTTGATGAGATTCAGACATGGTGTGGCATTTAAACCCATTTTCATCACGGCATTGTTTCTGGCACATTTGACAGTACCATCGCAGTTTCTGGAGCCCTTTGGCTTTTATCTTGTTTGCTATGTACTTCGGTGTACCTTTTTCCGCTTTTCCACCCATTTTGAGATGGTGTAGTTTGTCTTAATCGTCAATACACTGATACTTTTAAGCAAACAGATCGATGCAACTGTTTCGTCTCACACGAATTGCAACACAAGTTTAATTTTAGATTTGCTGTTCTAGCACTGGTTTTAGTTTAACATGATTAATTAAAAATACAAAGGAAAATAATAATATTTGACGAGATAACATCACTCGATCACATCGAAATTAACCTTTGACACATCTTTGACAGTTGACTGCGTTTGACGTTACACTTTAGACACGAAAAATACAACCGATATTTTTAATCTGTATATCATAATATTATCACTAACAAAATTGTAATCCAAAAGGAAACGTTAAAAAAATATATGCAGTAATAATAAATAATAATAATAAAAAAGCTTTTAGTAACAATATCAATAATATTATTTTCAAATCAAAACTTTAAACCACATAGTGACTAAATCGAATAATAATCGAGCAGATTTCGATTCTGAGATTAGTGTTGCCATGTTATATATTTTTTAAGGATTCACGATTTTTGCGTATAAAACTAACAGGATGTTGCCATTTCAAGATTAGCATCGGTTATAAAATTTTTTAAATGATTGATTGTGTCAATACATCGATCGAGTTCTGATAATCGCATCAGCGTTTATTAAATACAACTGAAAAGTTTTCTTATTTTGGTATTGTGGCATATTATATAAATTACGTAAATAGCAAATTATATCTCAATTGTTTTTCTTTAAGTTCCGGGTCTGGCAAACGTTATTTGAAACTAACAGGAATCCCCTCAACGTATATTGGCTTTTAGCTCAGTGAGATTAGCTCAAGCTAATATTTAAGCTTTATCTCTTTTGGAGAGAGGGAAACTATAATCAGTTATAAGCTATTATTTAAGTCAGTTAATCCATTATGCTTTATTAATTATAAGTCGATTAAATAGCTCATCCAGTTAAGTGGATAATGTATATAGCGCATTGTATATACGACCCAAAACAATCACCTAATGGTCGACGAGGTTAACAGTACTATTTTAGGCTCAGAGGGAATCTAAATAAAGCGTACGGAATGTACAACTTTGAGTCATTTGTTAATTACCTTAGTGCGGTGCGTACATCAAAATATGTTCATAAAATTCATGTAGTTAACAACGGATTATCCTGGTCGATGGCGTTATTATGGATTTGGTTATTTTTAATCTGTAAGCGTGATTACATGATTGATTAAAAATATTTTTAATCGACAATATATAATATCGTGAAGTGTATGTAATAATAAATTGTTGTTTTTAGCGGCTTCAATATCAGACGCTGTAAAAGAAACAGTAAGTACATTGCATAATTTCAAAATACATTAATATATCTAGCTCGTTTGCGCGCCAAACTTGATTTTAGTTGCTTACGAAAATTAATTCTTAACTCTAGTCATGAAAGTTGTTATGTGAAATCAAATATTGACGCATACTTTATTAGATTTTACGGTGTCTGTAAATCGTCCCCTCCATAAGTATTTGACAGACACATTTTTGTGTCTGTTTCATTAATAAGTTGAATTTACGGCCCGTTTGAAAGTCATGTAATAAGTATAATGTCTTCTCACGAACCCAGTACTTCAAGCTGGATCGTGTCTCACTCTTTTATATAGCCTTATTATTTTTTTATTCTTCATATTAAATAAACAAGTTAATATTGGATTATTTATATACATACAACTAAACAAAGCGTATAATTTTTCTAGGATAGTGTATCATCAACATGTGGAGAACTTGGTGACTGCATCACGAATCTTGATGAATGTGATGAAAAATGTGGATGCGACACGTTTTCTATGTAAGTAGTATTTTAAGTTCTAACTTATTTAAATTAAAAGTATTAAATCGAAAACCTTTGATAAAACTGATGGGACTCGAACCCACGACCACGTACCGGGTTGTTAAGTAGCTTTAAAAATTAAATTCTTGCGAGGCGTTTTACAAAAGAAAATTGAGATGGGATTTAACTTGTCACAAAATAGTTATTAATTTAAATATATATTTTTTTCAATACAAGCTTTGAATCCAATAACTATTTTCATATCTTCAAGAAGTTGAGGTCCATGTTTTTTCCTTATGTTTCTTGGGATTCGAACCTAACACCACTATTAACTCGATTTACAGAAACACCAAAAGATGAATTAATTTCAAATGATGAAAATATTAAAATTCCTTCTACATAACAATTAGTGTCAATCTTATTTTACATTTTTCATTTGTAGGGTTTACTTTTACAACGAAACCACACAGGAGTGTGAAATGAATATAAAACGGTTCTTACAAACATTACAGGAAAGGGACGACACGCAAGGTACCGAAAATATACTATTTGTCTCTCTCTAACAAATTGTAAGTTGAAGAATCAGGTATAATATTAAATTATTATTTAAATAAAATTCTTTAACGGTTTAAAACGCGATAGGTATATTTTCATTAAACTTTTTTTAAAATTATTATTAATCCCGACGTTTCGGATGCTTTGCAGCAGCCGTGGTCACGGGGACATTAATAAAAAGTTTCAAAAAAGTTTAACGAAAATATACCTATCTCGTTTTAAACCGTTAAAGTGTTTTACTTAAATGTGTACTACCCGCGTAAAATACAGACAGAATTAAATTAAATAAAAAAACCACTGCAACTGAGCTACGTGTCATCGTCGAAATTGTTCAATCCATTTTTAAATGCGCATGCGCAGTGTCAACAATAATTCTTACGAATTGAGGTTCAATGTCGTGGATGCCACGCGTAGGACTTGTACCGGAAACCACAGCGTTTCGAAGTAACAAATTGAGCTACCATGACACATTTATGTGTCAATTGGTGACAGCAGTAGCACGGAATGCTGTGGATGTGGAAGTCTCGCATGTGCCATCAATTTTTTCGTAGTTAAAAACAAGGGTTTGATTTGTTGTTTGATTGGGTATCTGAATTATAGGTATTTTGTTTAAGCCAAATGTATTATGTATACGTTAGTATACATAATAGTTTTTATTCCAAACTAAGTTAAAAAAATTATAGATACACAAGTATTTTCAAGCCTTCTGAAACCTTAAAATATTGTTTTATATGTTATGGGAATAGTTAAAAGTTATATAATTATTTTTTTCAGCGAAAATAATTTATGAAGCTGAGCACGTGTTCCAAAGGATTATATTGTCTGTGATAATCGTCGCTGCTTGTTCGGTTCTGTGCGTCTTGTCAGCTTGTTTCTATTGCTGTCGAATCAATTACACGTAAGAAACTCCTCTTCTTAACAGCATTTCGTTTAAATAAAACACCTTAACGGTTTAAAACGCGATATATTAGTTAAACTTATTTAAAAATGATTTTTAACTTCGGCCCGACGTTTCGGATGCTTTGCAGCAGCCGTGGTCACGGGGTGACAGGGGAGTGTGTGTATTTTTCAAATAAGTTCAACTAATATATCGCGTTTTAAACCGTTAAAGTGTTTTATTTAAATGTGTACTACTCGCGTAAACTAAGGACAGTATTTAGCATTTCGTTTTTTTAAACCTAAACTCAATAGTTACCTAATTATACGTAGTGGCACGGATCTTCAGCGCTGAACGAAGCACCTACCATCAAAGGAACCCCATATCATAAAAAAATATATACGAAGTTTATACTGCTGGTGTTCTCGAAACTTCTGTAATCTACAGCCTATTGGATATAGGCAAACGAGTTGTAATTAGATATTATATATGTATTATTATTAAATATTGTATTAGATATTATATATATTAAGTACTTTTAGAACATAAGGGATATTTAAATAAACACCTTAACGGTTTAAAACGCGATATATTCGTTAAACTGATTTGAAAATGATTTTTAACTTCGGCCCTTGCTTTGCAGCAGCCGTGGTCACAGGGGGAACCCCGTGTCTCACTGTGACCCCGTGGCAACTAATATATCGCGTTTTAAACCGTTAAAGTGTTTATTTAAATATCCCTTATGTTCTAAAAGTACGTAATATATATAATATCTAATACAATATATAATAATAATATATTATTATTTAAATGTGTACTACTCGCGTTAACTATAGACAGTATTATATAAGGGATATTTCCATTGCACCTCCCATCAAGTGAACCGAGTGGTTCTCTTCTGTTTTTAAAAATATTGGTTCTTCTGTGAGTTTCATTTCTCTTTTCAGGGATAACCGTCTGAAAAATGAAGTGGACGCTTTAGCTGCTAAGTTGAAAAGAGAGACGCGTTACAAGAAAATCAAAGAAGTAAGAAAAACGCCCGAGAACGCGGAGAGTTGTAATATTATCGTTGGCGACGCGGGAGTTTACTGTGTGTGATTTATTATTGTTGTCTTAATAAATTATTACTAATTTGAGTAGTTTTTTAATTATTAATAAACTACTAACCTAACCCTAAAGGTCTGTAGTTTTCGCGATATATATTTAGTTAAACTTGTTTGAAAATTATTTTAACTACAATCAGTTTCCCCGTGACCACGGCTGCTGCAAAGCATCCGAAACGTCGGGCCGTAACTAAAATAATTTTCAAACAAGTTTAACTAATATATATCGCGGTTTTAAACCGTTAAAGTGTTTTATTTAAATGTTAAGACCGTCTCTTTGCCGGTCGCCTTGTTGACTTAAGAATCAAGAACCACAATAGCTACTTAAAATTGCCATAAATTTATTATTGTAAATCTATCCTCGTGGGTCATTAATTATCATTTAAATTTTCAGGCAAGTTAATCAGAATTCTGTGCCTTACCCGACCGAAACAATTCATTTTTTTTCCGGGATTCGAACCGAGGACGTCTCGCGCTTAACGCAATTCTAGGCAACACGTGTTATCATTTAGATACAGAAGCGGTTATACTAAAATAAATGAAGAGAAAATGTTTGCTTTACAATTATTAAATTTGACATAGTGGAGCAATTGAGCTACAATGAATTGTTGAGTTGCAGCACAGATCGTTGTGGATGAAGGTTCAAGTCCCGTCCGTGTCATCGATTGTTTTTCACCTTTTTAGATTTTTTATTTTTATAATAAAAAAATGTTTTTTGCATGATGAATTAATTGGATGTTAAAACTAATCACTGTCTATTTGTCACGTAAAAAAAAATATAGTAAAATAGTTTAGTTTTAATTTAAATATAAATTTTTAACATTTGTAACGCGTTACCTAAGATGTTGTGCTAAGCCCTACAAGCCAAATCGATGCCTGCCAAGCCAGCCATGCCAGCCGTGCCAGCCAAGCCAACCATGCCAGCCATGCCAGCCATGCCCAGCTATGCCCAGCCATGACAGCCGCTAACCATCATGTTAGCAAACAAAGCCAATCACAAACCGAGCCGTAGACTGTGATATAGTCTGTGATGTGATACAGTCTGTGGTGTGATATAGTCTGTAGTGACAAAGATCGTTCACTCCCGAGATGAGATGGTGCATTCACGTATCGGGAAAAAACGCGCGAAAGCGCGTGCACGACATTTGGTTAGGCATTCTAATTGTTGGACTAATCAAAGCGAAAGCTCTGTTACGGTCATAGTGGATAAAAATTAAAGTCTTTAATCGGTCAAGTTGTTTATTTAAACTACCTCGTTACACATTATTAGAAAAATTGTGTAATTTAAATTAAGACTTGCCATACAATATCTACTGTTATCCACTATCTCACTATCAAATATTTAAATTTGCTACGCTTAGCGATTTGATTTGTTTTAAGATTTATAAAGAAATAGCTATGAAGATTAAATTAATATTGTATATCCGCCTGTTATCGCCAACGAACAAAAACTTTTTCGTAAAAAAGAAAAAATGACAACTTCGCTTTTGACATTTCTGTCAAAAACGATTTTAATGTCGTCCTTGGGCGGGCGACACTGTCGTGTTTAATTTAAAACCGTTTGGAGAAACATATACATAACAGAACATGGACGTTTTATGGACAAAAGACAAATTGCAAAAGATATTTAGTAAAGTAAGAATGTAATTCATAATCAAGAAGTATTTATTGTTGATTTTAAAAAAAAGAAAATTTTTGTCCTAACTAAACATGGTTTGTGAACGCTTATGTTAGTAACTAGCTAGTCCAGTAGATTAATACAAAAGTATTTAGTACACGGAACGGTTCAAGTCCTGCCCTAGATTTTTTTCCGAACTAAAGTCAATTTTTAATTGAGTAAAACCAATTAAAACGACTTGCATTTTAAATTCACGTTAATAGTACAAAATAAACTGCTTGGTTGTGATTAGTTTTACTGAACAATCCCGAATTCGAATCTTGTATGTGACGGAATGTTACTTCGGTATTTGAATTAAAAAAAACTCTAAGACCAATTTACCAATCCGCTTGGGTTTGGCTTTGAACACTAAAGGAAGAAACACGGATTGCTTTTGAATGAAGTCCCGCCTATGTCATCGATTTTTTGTATATTATATAGTCTATGTGTTTTAATACTTCAGAGTTCAATACGTTTATCTGTGACGCACGCGTCAGGTGATGGCGGAGTACCAAATCGATGTTGTAGACTCTGTGGTGGTGAGAGTAACCTTCGTTGCTTCTGTACGTCGTATCTGTGTGAAGGAGTGGAGGAGAGATATGATCAGATGCTGTCGAACTGTTTCGGTATACGGGTATGTGTTTAGAGTATTTTTTCTTAATTGACATTTTTGGTTAACAAACTCACAAATAACACGAGATCCTGATTTTCTTACAAGCATTACGCTAAAAACACGCTGCAAATAGAACCCCAGGATCGAAAGTCGGCTTGGTGTTTTTTTTTTGTCAGACTTGGCAAATGACCACAACAAATATGGCCGATTTCTAACTATAGAGAAATAGTGATGGCCTTTTATAGAGTGAAGTTGTTGCCACAGATGCCACATGTGTTGAGATACCGATTAAATATAGCCTAAACGGCCCTATTTTCAAAATCATCCTTATGACAACAATTTTTTTTTCAATTATTGCGTTATTATTATTTAACTCAGTGTTTGTAACGCTTTTAAGCGAGCGTGCATGAGTGGGACTTCTAATTTCTATTGTTGCTGAGTTTGCTTACATATTTACATATTTTAATCTGTCTCTTTACATTAGTTTAATACATAACACGCACTATTAAAATGAATATTTTCAGGTTTCGCCGTCCGATAGTATGGTTTGCGAGAGTTGCATTAGACAATTGCGCAACATTTATCGTTTCCGGAGTTTGGTTCTGGCTGCTTTTGCGAGAGCTCCTAGTGAATGTTCGTATTCAATTCAACGTATTATAGAGCCTAAACATTTTTATATGACATATTTTTAAGATGTGGGTTTGTACCTGATTAAAGAATTATTATTATTATTATTATTTATTTTTTGACGGCCCCGTTGGTGTAATGGCAACAACGGGTACGTGGGTTCGATTCCCACAGGGTCCTACATGTTTTTAAGCATTCAATAATCTTTCTGAAACATGTGGGACTTCGTCTGGAAGTCGAAATATTAAAAGGGTGGTAGGAATCGAAATTCCGTCCGGGTCTCGAACTACAGTCCACAGGAGAAGAGGCCGTGAGGTTTAATCACATTTTGGGTGCAGTCTGATGGATTTCCGAACATCCAATGCACAATAGGTCTACAGCTTACCTTGTGGAGATGCAGAAAAAACAGGTTCCTCTTGCCCGTGACGCTGTGGCCGTGGATTCAAATCCCGCCCAACAAAAAAACATATAATAATAATAATTTATAAGTCAGACCATAAATCCATACATTTCTTAAAATGAATTAAATCTAATGCGTGTTAGTTGGGTTAGTAACAATTCTGTAAAAGTAAAGAGTAAACAATATTTGAAGCTAATTATCATAACACATAGATTCGACGCGTATGTCGTTGCAAAGTGGAAAGGGGAGCTACAAGCGTAAAAATAGAAGCAAAAAGAAATCAAACCCAGAGTTGCTGAAGAGGGAATCCAAAGCGACCATAAACAAACGGCGCGGCAGCTCAAGGAGGTCCTTAGTCAATCCTAACGTTCAGCTCAAAAGGACGAATGTCGCCTGTTCTGTTTGCAGACAACGGTGAGTGGAGTATGGTAGTTTACGCGATAGTCCAAATTAAAATAAAATACTTTTAACGGTTTAAAACGCGAAATATATTATCACCGCCTTTAATCTTTCTTTTTGTTTTCCCTTCACATTTGGTTGCCTGCAAGAGATGGCTGTTTAGCGATAAGACCGCCTTTTATAATTTAGTTCATAAGTTATTGTTAACTTAATGTAAACCATTAAGGTACGTTTAATTTTGTTAAATAAATATATTAGTTTACTTATTTTATTGTTTTGGGTGCTTTGCAGCCGCGGTCACGGGGGAAAGAGTTAAAATAAATTGTAAATACCTTAACTAAAGTTTCGCGTTTTAAAATGTTGAAAGTGTTTTCTTTCAGCGGTAAGTCGTTGTTTTATAATACGTCGAAGAGTAAATGATAATCTCAGAATCAACGAATCATTCGTTACGCAACGCGTTACGGTAGTAGTTTTAATAAAAACTAATCTGAAACGCAATTAAATTTCACCGCTTAATCTGTGGACGGTGGTTCGTTACCCGGGCAGAATTTTCGATTTTCCTACCATTACCATTAATATCCAAATTTCCCGAAGAAGTCCAACATGTTTCAGAAAAAATATAAATTGAAAAATTGGCGATCACTTTGGACCCGTTACGAATGGTACCCACGACCCGTTGATTATTTGCCATATGTCTATGCCTATCTGTCTTCCATAAAAACATTTTAGGTTAACAAACTTTAACGGTTTAAAACGCAATATATATTGTGTGTGTACTACTCGCGTAAACTATAGACTATCCACCAAGGACCCGGCCAGTCTCGCCAAAAAAACCAACTTCGACGGAACAGATGGCGCTAGCGTAGCAATTTTTTATTCTGACGTCAGAGACACCCTCCATTTTCAGTCTCTGCGTGGCCACGGCTGCTGCAAAGCATCCGAAACGTCGCGCCGTAGTTAAATTACATTTCGAATAAGTTTAACTAAAATATATCGCGTTAAAGTGTTTTACTTAAACATTTTAGGTACCCAATGCTCCTTCCAACGAACGGTACGAAGGTCTTCGTCTGCTCGAGATGTAAGAAGAAGAACCAGCCCCGGAACGCGACCTGCAGGCAGTGCAACGTCATCATGCCAGCTAATATGTTACGCGAGCACTTGGAACTGCATTCGAGGAACGAGCTCAGACGGAGGAGCAGGTAATTAAATCGGCAACAACACAACATACAAAAGGCAAGCTACGTCTTTTATATGTAAAGCAGTGGTGTGTCGCGTTTTTGTTACAGTCTGTGGATTACCTGATATCAAACCGAAATGAAAGGTTTTACACCTCTCGAAGTAAAGACCTTATTCTTTTATAAGCTAGCTGTGCCTGCGACTTTGTCGGCGTTGAATTTTGGCCAAATTATTATATTATTATATACTAGCTGTGACCGCGACTTCGTTCGCGTGGAATAGTGACTTGGGGTAGAATTTTTAATTATTTAGGCTGTTTATTAAATAATGTTATTGCGTATTTATCGCAGCCTATCTATGTTGTAAGTGCTACTTTGCCGCCACACACTCACCTCACATCACTCCTACTCTGACTTCCACTCTCACTCTCACTCCCACGCCCACTCCCACTCCTAACCCCACTCCTATTCTCAAATAGCCCAAGAAGAAAGTTTCAATGTTCTATCCTCAAAAACCACGAATTTCCATACAAACTTTCATCCCCTCTTTTAACCCCTTACAACCCCATTTTCGCAATTAAAAGTAGCCTATGTTCTTCTCAGGGTCTAGACTCTAGACCATCTGTGTACCAAATTTCATTCAAATCCGTTCAGTTGTTTTGGCGTGAAAGAGTAACACACAGACAGAGTTACTTTCGCATTTATAATATTAGTAAGGATTTATTATATTTATTTTGGCAAACTACCTCCTGTATTAGATCTAGCGACGTTGACAGCGTCCTGTTGCGTCGGTTTCGCGACTTAATCTTAAAAGATAGACATATACACTGTCGTGGATATTTGTTTAGTAGTGGGTATCTTGAATCGTCTTCGCAGAGCACGCAATCCGAAGCCCTCGAAGATGAATAACTTTCCCCGCTTTCTTCACATTTCCCGCTGTTTCGCTCCTATTGGTCGCAGCGAAATCTTTGATAGCCTTTCTCGAAAAATGCTCTAACCAATACAAGAGTGATTTTTCAATTCGAGCCAGTAGTTCCCGAGATTAGTGTGTTGTAACAAACAAACAGGCTCTATAATATAAGCATAGATTGCCATTCACTCTGCTATCTGTGGCCGAAATGATTTTTGTTAATTCGGAAAAAAATCCACCGCCTAATCAACTAGACCGATTTTAATGTGATTTTGCAACCTCACTTACACCTTCCAAGCCGCGTTATATAAAAATGGATTTTATGACGGCCTGTATATACATAGATAGCTTAGTTGTGTCTAATTTTAACATTTCAGAATGTGTATACCACAAAGGAACCGCAACCCATCGAGGACGGACAGCCGCATGTCGCAACTGAGACATTTCTACTGTGCCCAATGTCCGAAGAAGTTTACCGCCGCGCACCATCTGGCAACACATATACAGACTGAGCACAAAAACGGCACGGACTGCCTCTGCGCCATCTGTGGTAAGGATTTGAAGACGCGGGAAATGTTGGACCGTCATATGCGCATGCACACAGGTCAACCAATATACCAATGCGACGTGTGTTTGCGGTACTTTAAAGGCAAAAGAAGTTTTCAGCTTCACTATTTAACGCACGGCAAGTGATTGAATATTAAAAAAACAGTTTAAAACGCGCGGCAAACGAAACATCGGGCCGTAGTTAAAGTTTAATTAGTATATGTCGCGTTTTAAACAGTTATTTTTTTATACTCGTGTAAACTAAAGACCGTTGAGTGATTAAACGGTTTGAAATGTGGAATAATAATATTAACTACGACCCGACATAACAGCAAAGCGTCGGGTGGCTGTTGAAAATGCATTGACAATATTTCGCTTTTTGAACCGTTATTTGTTTCGTCGTGAATAGGATATAAAATTATATCAAATGTCGTCGGGCTCGTGTGTTTGAAATTATTAAATTGTCGTGTTTATTTCTTGCAATATTATAAGCTGTAACGTCTTTACTTTTTCTAGTGAAATAAAAGCCCTTTTGCTGTCAACTGTTATTTTATTTACACTGTCCATTATTTAAATTCATAATATTAGCACGTTAGAGGCAGAGTAGCCTAACTGCAATTTTATGACTCGACTTTATATTTTTATAAAATGGTTATCTACAAGAGCGCAGTGACCGAAAATTGTTTACATAATTCTTGTACAAATAATAGTGCAAATTTATTTTCGCCTAAGTTAATTAGTTAATTTCCTCCTTATTGACAATCATACTTTTTGTTATTAGGCCACTCTGGCTCTAGCAGCCTCATTAGTGTCAACTTGAAAGCGTATCTTGACTAAGCTCGTAAACACAAGTATATTAGTTACTAGCTGTGTCAGCGGCTTCGTCCGCGTAAAGTAGTTAATGCCCAATGCAATATATTTGTTTTTACCAATTTCCTCCATATCTTTATTTATTTCAAAGAGGCTTATCAACTAAATCAAGGCTAATATTATAAATGTGAATGTCTGTCTGTCTGTCCGGCTTCAACGCAGAAACGACAGAACTGATTTAAATGAAATTTGGTGCACGGATATTCTAGAGCCTCTAATAGAAAGAACATAGACTACTTCTTCATGGCCAAAGCCAAAAATGAGTTGTTAAGGGCTGAAAAGGGGGATGAAAGTTTGTTTGGATATTCGTGATTTTCGAAGCTATAAACAACTTGAATATACAATAATATAAAAAACAAGTTACATATAATTTACGTAAATACTGTCTATAGTTTACGCGACTAGTGTACATTTAAATAAAACTCTTTAACGGTTGAAAACGCGATATATTGGTTAAACTTATTTGAAAAATTGAAAATGATTTTAACTTCGGCGCGACGTTTCGGATGCTTTGCAGCAGCCGTGGTCACGGGGAGACTCCCCGAAGTTAAAAATAATTTTCAAATAAGTTTAACTAACATATCGCGTTTTAAACCGTTAAAGTGTTTTATTTAAATATAATTTATGTGTTGCTGTATTATAACAGAAACATACAATATATGGAAGTGCTTTGGCAGAATCTTTTTAAACTTTAGTTGTTGTCCCATCAATCTTGTAAGTTAATCCTAAAAGATAGACATATACTATCGTAGACATTAGATCATTAAAAGAGGAACCATTATTTCATACATATCACCGCTTTCTCCATATATCTCGCTGATTCTTCGCTTTTATTAATCGCAACATGATATTTTAAAGCCTTTACTCAATTCCCACCGTAGTTTCTGAGATTATCGCGTTCAAACAAACAAACACTTCAGCTTCATATATTAGTATAGATATTTATATTGTGTGGCTTACATATAACGTAAGCAAATAAAGAATGAACAAACTATGACGATTAATACAAGGGGTATCATACACGTGCGATCTTAAAGTAATATAGATTAGGCGAATTTCACACACGTCTTCTTTTGTTGGGGCGCGGGCAACAGACGCAGCGACGCGATGTTGCTCTTCGAAGTAGATAGCTCTTTCCTTAGTCGCACAATGTCGACCTCAACCTGCCGTTTACGCTGGAAATACACTGCGAATTTATTTTTTATCACGTTCACAATTAAGCAAATAGTGAAAAAAATACATTTCGCGTTTTAAACCGTTAATCCTTACAGGACTGAGGCTGCGACTAAATATGCTAATACAACAAAATATTTTAGCCATTTTAATAAGTAAGAGAATATCACAAGAATAGGAGGTTGTATAGATTTCCTATAATTTCATACGCTTTTAAAAGTAGCGGCACAGATCTTTAGCGCTAAACGAATTCTGCGCAGAAGCCAAAAATCAGGTATCGAAGGGACGGAAGCGGGCGCGGGGCGAATGAACGTCATGTGCGCAGTGCGCTAGCGTCGATTGGTTCCCCAGTCGTGTTGTCTTTCTCGGACCAATACGACGCTCCGCTTGCTTCTCGAGTACAGTCACGTTTTCCAATCAGTTACGTGCGCGATTGTTTAGATGCGCAACTATCCCCTCTATACTTCGTTCAGCGCTAAACATCCGTGCCGCTTATATATTCATTAAAAAAATATCGATTCAATAACAATTGAATAATCGATAACGATGTCTGTTGAAGGGAAAAATATTTCCCTTAAGCGTGCAGGGTTAAATTTTTTTCTTATTGTGAACTGGCGTCAACTACAGACAGTAATTATTTACTGCGCGTAATCTTTTTTCTTACTGTAACCCAGAATTATGTAAATTGATATTATCAATTTTGTTAATTTTTAAAAATGACAGATAGATACAAACAGACAAAATGGTCATGTTTCAATTTATTTAAATAAAACACTTTAACGGTTTAAAACGCGATATATTAGTTAAACTTATTTAAAAATGATTTTTATCTTCGGCCGGACGTTTCGGATGCTTTGCAGCAGCCGTGGTCACGGGGAGACTGCAAAGCATCCGAAACGTCGGGCCGAAGTCAAAAATCATTTTCAAATAAGTTTAACTAATAGATCGCGTTTTAAACCGTTAAAGTGTTTTATTTAAATGTGTACTACTCGCGTAAACTATAGACAGTATTTTATGTTTCAATTTAATTCATAATTTCTCTGAAACATTTTGACTTCGAAAGATGTGCATATTGAATGGTTAAAAAGGCCGTGAAGTTCAACGCGTTTGCGTTTGGATATATGGATTTCCAAATATCCAAAGCCAAAGGTCGACAGCGCATTTTATATAGAAAACTCATGCTTGTCTGTCCTCCTCTATCATCAAAAATCTATATTCCGTTTTTAAAAAAGCCACTAGCGGTATCGTTTTGTTTTGTTTGAGTTCTACTTGCGTTATTTTTTTCTGTTTAACATACTTAATAAGCTTGTGTTAAGAAATAACATTGCTCGAGATTCGCATGTATCAATAGATTGTAAAATATTTAATAAATTAAATTAATTTGTTAGACTTTAGACAGCACGGAACGCTGAGGATGCCGCTTCAAGTCCTGTCCGATTCGTAAATTTTCCCAATTTGTGATCGATTTTTAATTTACTTTTGATTAGTTTATATAGAGACAGATTTAAAGCTTTATAATATAAACTAGTATTTTATACATTAGTGTAATTAAGTGTGTAGATCCAGTTTGAAAGTAAAATACCTTTAATTCATTTGCTAGTTTAGCTTCGACGTGCGCGAGCCGTTGTCTCAAGTCCACGATATCGCGCATAAGTCGCGCGGCCGTTAGTTTGTAATCTGCCTAAAAAAAATTAACTTGGTATATAGCCTTATTGCTATGATATTAAAATATAAATAAGAGGTAATAATAATAATAATAAAACACTTTATTGCACAAACACATAAAAATCAAATGTAGTAATACTATATTATTTACATGTAAGAGTTAGTGCAAAGGCGGCCTTATCGCCTTTGACGACTTCTTCCAGGCAACCTTTGTATAAAGAAAAGGAAAACAAAATAACAATAAATGAATAAAAGCCAACGAGAATGAGAGAAAATGCAATAAGTTGTAAATTACAAACACAACAGAAAACTAAAGACAGTATACAACATACAAACGTTAACACACTAAACTGTAAAAACTTAAGATCTCACTAAGATGCAACTTTTTAAATAATTAAAGTATTATAAGCTAATAAAATCACGACTGAACAATACTTTGAAGAAAACATTGTTCGACTTTGGCTTTGAAGTTAAGACTTGTGAGAGTCTAATCGCGTATTACAGATATATTACAGAGACGTAAGTTTGGCGAGTTCGTTGGTGTCATAGCAATGTATGGCTAAAAATCGAGTCATGGGTTCGATTCCCACCTAATCAATATATAATTTTTCTGAACAATGTTGGTCTTAGTTTGGTGGTAGGAATATCGAAGTTCCTTCCGGGTCATAGATGAAAAAGCCGTCAGGTTTTATCGAGTTTCCAAAGCCGAAATAGGCCGACAATGCATCTTGTTCAGATGTTATATTGTTGTGGTATTTCACCTACCATCAAATGAACTCCAGGCTTTTCTGGAATAATAGTCTCTAGAATTAAAGGTGACTGTAGTAGGAAGAAAAAGAAGAAGTTACTTACAACTTTAGAAGGAGCATTCCTTGCCACATTCCTACTGACTATATCCGGGAGCTGTGACACGGAACACGGCGTGAAGAGATCCGAAGGTGACTTGGTCACACCCTGGATCGCCTGCATCAGTGGACGTGGAGATTACTTTTTAAGTCCTAATAAGTACACACTTAACGGTTTAAAACGCGAAGTAAAATATTACTCCTTTTTAATTTTAATTTAGTAATATATTTGGCGTTTTAAACCGTTTAAAGTGTTTTATTTAAACGTGTACGCGTAAACTACAGACATTATTTAAGTTTTTCCAGTTAAGCATAGTCTATAGTTTACGCGAGTAGTACACATTTAAATGCCTTTAACAGTTTAAAACGCAAAATATATTAGGAATACAGAATTAAAAATGAGTTAACTTACATTTTCCGTTTTAAACCGTTAAAAGTGTTTTATTTAAACATTTTTAATTTTTATAACATGGTAGCGTAAAATCTCGTTTTTCTCTGTTGGGCTTGGGGCGAACTTATTTCCGTGTCCTTTTCACTTTTTCCATTACATTGTAGACTTTAGATTACAGATTACTTAGTTTTTAAGCCTTGTAAGTACATAAGATATTTAGAGACAGGCCCGTTGGTCTTATAGTAGCAATGTATGTTTCTAATCAAATTTCTTAAACGTGTTTTTTTTGAGAATTTGAAAAGTCTGTGTATTTAAATAAAACACTTTAACGGTTTAAAACGCGATATATTAGTTAAACTTATTTGAAAAAAAAATTATTTTTCATTTTCAAATAAGTTTAACTAATATATCGCGTTTTAAACCGTTAAAGTGTTTTATTTAAATGTGTACTACTCGCGTAAACTATAGACAGTATTTAAATCTGTATATTATTTATTTGGAGAATCTATTTATTCTCGAAATTCCGCCCAGGCCACAAACCACCGACCACAGATGAAAACGCCGTGAAGATTAATCGTGTCAGTCTGTGGATTTCCGAATGTCCAAAATAGGTCAACATCGTGTTTACATAACTACTGTCTGTAGTTTACGTCAGTAGTACATATAAAAAAATCACTTTAACGCTTTAAAACGCGATATTTTTTAGTTAAACTTGTTTGTCAACAACAACAGTCTCCCCGTGACCACGGCTGCTGCAAAGCATCCCAAACGTCGGGCCGTAGTTAAAAATAATTTTCAAAGAAATTTTACTGAAATATATCGCGTTTTAAACCGTTAAAATGTTTTATTCAAATCTTGTTTAGATGTTATATAAGATCAAGTGATGCCATGTTTGTTGAGTAGACAGCGCGTCTTATTTATTGTGATTTCAACTTCCTTTAACTGAATTCTACGCTTGTCTCATCCCTTCTGTTATATAAGAGGCCGCTGGAGGCAAAGTAGCCTAACTTCAATTTTACGACTTTTAATGAGTTACCATAATTGTTACACAAATAATAGTACAAATTCATTCTCGCTTAACTTAATTGCGCATTTTATTCACCTCCTAATTGAAAATCATGTTTATGTTATTAGGCCACTTTGCCTCTAGCTTTATATACTGACTTGGGCGACTGCTGTCCTCGCGTGTTGGACGTGATGAGCCTCCTCCTTCTCCAGATGACGTTTGAGATGAGATATCTCTGTCACGATGCTGAATTTTTCCTTCTCCAAACGCTGGTTTGCGTGTTTCAATGCCTGTGTAAGATACAAAGATAGTGGTTTAAGCGACTAGTACACCTTTAATTAAAACACTTTTAACGGTTTAAACTAAATAAAATATATGTTAATTAATATATTTCACTTTTTAAACCGTTCAAGTGTTTTAATTAAATGTGTACGCGGAAACTACAGTCAGTATTTAAGTACTTTCAGAAAAGCCTAGTCTGTAGTTTAGGCAATTTAAATAAAACACTTTTAAATGGCTTAAAACGAGAAATATATTAGTTATAAACACATCTGCGTTCGGAACACTAAACGTTTTTATTTACAGGCAAGGAGAGACTTCCGTGCTCTGCCCGAGTAAAATATGTTATTGTTTGCCGGGATTCGAACCCCAGGACCTCTCGCGCTTAGCTCAATGCTGGGCAGCATGTTGGAGCATTTAGCTATAGATGCGGCCCAATGGCTAGCAGATTTGTCTTGGACATTAGTGACACCCTCCGTCTTCAATCCCCCCTTGACCACGACTGATAAAATATCTGATACGCCAGGCTGTCGTTAAGACGAATTAAAAATCACTTAACTAATATATTTTGCGTTGTAAACCGTTAAAAGTGTTTTATTTAAAAATATGTATAAGTGAACTTGATTTGATAAACTTTGATAAGTTAACTTGTAAATTACATGTACAAGTGACCTCTGAGCTTGTCTGTACTCCTGTATACAAAATAAAAAAAAAAAATATAACTATATTATTTTAAAATAACTTTGTTATCTTGTCAGTCATGTACTTGGTCATGTAATTTACAGCAATGGACATGGTGTCAGTATGTAGGTTAAGTCCTTTTTCTGCTGTCACGCAATCTTTTTTTATTACTGAATTTTCATTTCTATCAGGGTTGCTTGAAAGAGATAGCTATTTAGCTATAAAGTCGCCGTTTGTCCTTAATTGCCATCAATTTTTTTTTTGTTTTGTGACAATAAAGAATATATGTATTTACCTTCATCTTATCTCGTTTCTCTAAATGACACTCTTCGACTCTCCTCTTCAACTTCCTCCTCAGCTCATCGAGGAGAGACGAGAGCGTCAGCCGGTTTGATTCCAATTCGGCGCGCTGCTGTACTATCTGATTTATCGCTGTTAAGAGTTTGATGCCTGGGAAGACAAGCCACCAGTATGTTTCAAAAATGAGTCATAATAATATTTTTTCCTCGAAATTATTATTCAAAGATTTACCTTCTACATATTATGGTAATAGTAATACCTAGGAAAACGGTTATTTTTAAATATAAATTATCATTATACTGTTAAGTAATATTGTACTTACGCTGTTCGTTGAGCCTGTATCTCTGAGCAGCTGGTTGAAAGGGGAAAGATTCAGGACTTGGTGCACCTGAATCTGTTCCTGGGAACGACTGCGGTCCACCGAAGTCAGGCAGGGTTGTTTCCGATGGATCCTATAATATAATTGATGATAGACTTTTCATTTCTTAAAAACTTTAATATTTTTCACATGTTATTGCATACCTAATATAAATTATAAATGAAAAATCGATTTTGGACCGACAAAAATTTACGATACGGGCAGGAATGGAACCGGCATTCACAGTCATGCCGTACCTACATGCACCTCTCGCGCGTTTTATTTTTAACCTCAACACTTGCATGTCGGTTTAAGTCTTGCCAGAGTCGTAATTTTTGTCAATTTATAATGGATTTTGTATTCATACAACAATTACACAGGCTGTCGAAAGAATGCATATAAAACCTTATTTATATTAAAATAATATTTTACATTGAACTAATTGATGTTACAGGGATTCGAATCCACGACCAACAGCGTACCGTATCAGTAATACCGCTACGGCGCCACTTTAAACATTTTCGATAAAAGCCATTGTTCCTATCGACAATTTACTGGTCTACCTACTGTTGAAAACTGTATTTATAACGGTAAAACCATTTTGGAGACAAAAAAGATTTCCTTTGTGATTTCGGGTTGCCAGAGAGATGTCGCTCGAGAGAAAAGATAAGATATGTTTAGAAAATGCGTCAAAAGTGTTAAATAAAGACATATGTGGTCGGCTGCTGTAGATCACTCGACACGTCGAGTTTTAGTTTAAAATAAGCTAATTAAACCGTTAAAAATGTTTTATTCTGCACTAGGTGAATAATAGTTAATATTTTGTTTGTAATTTGTAATGTTATAATAATATTAACTGTCCGACCTGGCAAAAGTAGTTTTAAGTTATTACGAGGAAATTTGATTGCCATATAAAGATAGAAATATGTTATCGTGGACATTGTTTTAGATTGTTTTAAGAATACAGTAATACCCCGGACTTACGCGATAGGTCAGTCCGAGCGGTTGCCACGTAAGTCGAATTCGCGTAAGTCGTTCAACGTTGCATATAAATACATATAAAGTTTGTTTAATCGGGACCAGAGTTTAAAGAAAACGATAATTTACAAAGAAAAATGTTTAATAAAGTGTAGGTTAATAAAAAAATATTACATTGTTATGAATAAAGTAAGCTAAAGTAGTAATTTTTTATCCCTCGTTTTGTAGTAGAAACGCGTTCTTCATTAATTTTTTTTTAATTTGTAAACCCTTTTCAATTGTATTAAGCCCTTCTGTTAAATTTTCAATTGTCATCTGATTTACCGACTCAACTGGGTCTAGTTATATTCAGTTTACACTCCAAAGACAGTGTTTTTCTTTTCTTGTTAGGCTCAAATGACTCATTTTTCGTTCTTTTAGATGACATAATTAGAAATTATACGTAAAACGCACTGCGCACCCTGAAGACTTGTCGCGAATTGAACACTGAGAGGGCGGAGCGAGAGAGCCGATGCGCGCGGCAATCAAAATAAAAAACCGCGTATCTTCGAATTCGCGTAAATTTTTTATACATGTATATGCGTTCGCCGTGCATGCAACGGAAGCCCTAAAGATTATTAATATATTTTCCCCATTCGTTCCACATTTTTCCTCTGTTTTTTCCATCGTATTGGTCGCTGCCAGATGTTTTAGAGGCCTTCCTTGATATATGGCAAACTAACACAAAAATATTTTTTGAACCCGTAGTTCCTGGGATTAGCGCGTTCGATAAACAGACATAATCTCCAGCTTTATATAATGTTATGTATATAATACTACAGATTAAAAATAATTTTCTGTACGATACGTAGGTATATAGATTTTTAATCTGTTGCAGTGTACGACATCTGTAATTTTTAACGCACTTACCAAAGACTTGTATCTTGGCAGTTCATCGTTCGAGAACCGGACGCTGTGGTGACGTAGCTTATGAGAGTGCGGTTGTAGAATTTTCAGCGACATTTTTCACTGAAAGAAGAATTAAATACTGTTAAATAAAACACGTTAACAGTTTAAAACGCGAAATATGTTGGTTAAACTTATTTAAAAATTATTTTAACTATGGCCCAACGTTTCAGATGGTTCGCAGCAGCCGTGGTCTCGGGGAGAATCAAGATGGAGGCTGTCTCTAATGTCAAAGTGAAGACTGCTTCGCCGACGACGTCTGTACCGTCGTAGTTGGCATGACCACGGCTGCTGCGAAGCATCCGAAACGTCGGACCGTGGTAAAGTGAGTTTAACTAATATATTTCGCGTTTTAAACAATTTAAGTGTTTTATGTAAATGGAAGAAGAATTAAATACTGTCTGTAGTTTACGCGAGTATTACACATTTAAATAAAACACTTTAGCAGTCTCCCTGTGACCGCGGCTGCTGTAAAGCATCCGAAACGTCGGGTCCTGACGCTCTTCCCCAAATTTGGTTGAAAAACAAATAGCTCAGTAATAAATAATACAAAGCCAAAATAGACCGACACCTTATATCAAATGAACAATATGCTCGTCTGTCCTCTAACATAAAAAAGTTATAAATTAAAAATCTTTTTACATTGAAAACAATTACGCGAACGGGACTTGAAGCGGCATCCGCAGCGATCTGTGCTCTATTTAAGTAGAATTATAATCCAGGACTCGAACCCGGGATCTTGTGATTTCTAGTCGAGTGTATTAACTAGAACAATGAGTATGATACAATATAAAAAGCTAAAGTTTGTTTATAGTTATCTGTCACCCCAAAGCTCTTTCAAATCTAGTGTTTAATTGTTTTTAATATGAACAATTAGTCTTCTACCTATTTCTAATACCAACAAGAAGTTTGGTAGCCAATGGTGTAGCTATCGTAGGGCCAGGTGGTCCAATGCACCAGGGCTCCGAAACTTGGGGGCCCTCTAACCTCTTTGAAATTATATAAGCGTAGAAGGAAAGGTTTTATTGCCATTTATAATTTTGGGGGTTAATTGAATTCAAACTAGGCTGAAAGAGGGGATGAGCGCCAGATTCTTTCTTAGACCCTAGGATTGGGTAGACCGGGGCCCTTGTCGACCTAGCAACGCTACTGTTCATAGCAGTAGTCAGTTTTAGCCCACCAAGCAGGAATATAACCGCGTGGTGGGTCTAGGTGTAGGGCCCTCTCCCATTGGACTTGCCCAGTCGTGAGATCTACCTATTATTGATATTTTTTGTTGTTATGATAAAGATATTTACTAAAATCTAAGTATATTTTTAATTCCAGACATTTTTTGGATTATATAGATTTCACTGTTTTATTTATGACGTCATATATAAATAGATTAAAATTCCTTACCGCTTGTAGTCTTCGTTCCGTCGTTCAGTAGATTTTTGCATGATATTTCGTACATTCGAAGCGAAACCAATAATCGTGATACAGGCTGCTCCGTTTTGTTATTTCAATTGATCGTAGAAATGTATTTATGTCATACAATATTGTTTTAATATAATGAATGTAAATAAAAAACTTTAATGTTTCTTTGGAAGTATCGATAGGTCTGTACAAGGTTTATATCGATACTAGCTGTGGCCGCGACTTCGACTGCGTTTATTCGTTCCCTTTGTTCACAGCCTTAAGATTTATATGATAAATTATGTTTCTATTTCAACCCGTAGTTCCTGAGATTAGCACGTATAAACAAATGAATATATGAATGTAATAAAAAAATAAGGTCTACTTAACATTTTGTATTTGAAAATATAGATCAATACGATTACACGATTGGACATGACTTATTTAAACTTGACAACAGTAATGAGATCTCTCTTCAACGTTTTCTATTAGCATAAAATATCTAATCCACGCGTACGAAGTCGTGGGCATACTTGTATAAATTACTAGCTGTGCCAGCGATTTCGTCCGCGAGAATCGTTATTTTCGGCATCCAAATTAGTTTTTGCAAACCCCGTCATCTTCATAAACTTAAGCTGCTAGCCACGACGTCGATCGTGTCCCTTCCCGTCGTTCTAGCAAGTTATTCTAAAAGATAGACATATATCGTCGCGGACTTTTTTAAAAATCATTTAAAGAGGAATCATTATTTCATACACATTCTTTTCGGTATCTGGATCACTTTTAGCAGCGTACGCATCTGAAACCCATAGAGATAAAACAATTCCCCCGCATTTTTACATTTCTCGCTGTATCTTCGCTTCTATTAGTCACAGCGAGATGTTCATTAAATGTAAATAAATGCTCTAATCAACACAAAAAATAATTTTTCAATTCGAACCCGTAGTTCCAGAGATTAGCACGTTCAAACAAAAAAACTCTTAAGCTTTATATATTAGTATTGATGTTGAAACCTATGAGGACAACCTGTATACAACTCTAACAAGCCGTACTTGGTACGAGCTCGTGCATCGTAAAAAATATCATAACATTGCCGATGAGCATTTTCCATACCATTTTGCGAGTGATCTTCTGTTTGGATCGCGTTATCCAACATGAAGAAACGACTAGAATAAAAATATTTGTGACTAGCTGTGCCCGTTACTTTGTCCGCGTGGAATAGTGACTTAGTGATTTTTAATTATTTAGGCTGTTTATTAATTTATGTAAGAGCACATTTAAGACAATCTATGTCGTAAGTGCTACTTTGCCGCAACATTCTCACCTCACATCACTCCTACTCTCATTCCCACTCCCACTCCTATTCCCAAAAAGCCAAAGAAGAAAGTTTCAATGTTCTAGCTTCAAAAACCACAAATTTCTAAACAAACTTTCATCCCCTTTTTTGGCATTAACCACAGGCAAAAGCCTGTGGTTTCTTCAAAAACAACTACGAAGATGACGACTTTATGGATGACCCCTTAAGTAACATTATCTTTCGCGGTTTAAACCGTTAAGTGTGTTATTGAAGTAATGACACTCGCGTCGTGTTTTGTTTGTTCCTTTTGATACAATGATTTTGTATTTGAGAACTTTGGCATAAAACCATCCACAATTTGACAGAAGTTCGGTAAAGCTTAAATTATTTCGGAGCAGCACGCGATTAGATCACGCAGCTTGTTTATGTATTACATATGCTAAGGTTTTAAGCTATATGCTTATAATTCGTTTAATATTTATTTTCAATTGCAATAACTGCCTTTACAGCTAATCGGTTGTGTTTCTAGCATTGCATTAAACGCTAGAGATATTGGATTCGAATCCCGGGAAAACATAGATGTTGCGGTCAGTTAGGGTGCACTCTGATCAACTACTTGCCTGTAAAGTAATCGAAGAGTAAAATGTACATGAAAATGTGTTCCCCCCATGTCTCACGAATAACGGAATCTTAGCTGATGTCCCGTTAATTTTGAGGCAAAAATTTACCCTGAAAGTTAGGTATTCATATTGTGGTTGCCTCTCTAAATATCAATTTACATATTTTAATTGGTACATCTATAACGATACTAATATTTTAAATTTGACGTTTGTTTGAATGCACTAATCTCAAAAACTACTAAAATATGCAAGAACGATTGATAAAACAATCCGTGTCAGTTTCTAGTTTCAAGATTAACTCTCAATAACGACGACGGGGGTGGGGGGGTAACAACTATAATCTACTTAGTTTAGGTTGTATACAATAATATAATGAAATACTGTCTATAGTTTACGCGAGTAGTACACATTTAAATAAAACACTTTAACGGTTTAAAACGCGATATATTAGTTAAACTTATTTGCAATTGATTTTTAACTTCGGCCCGACGTTTCGGATGCTCTGACCACGGCTGCTGCAAAGCATCCGAAACGTCGGGCCGAAGTTTAAAATCATTTTTAAATAAGTTTAACTAATATATCGCGTTTTAAACCGTTAGTGTTTTATTTAAATAATATAATGCCCAAAATAACTATTCCACGTAGGTGAAATCGCCTAAATGCTAATCTTGTATGTATGTTTGTTTATCTTTCTACCCAAAAGGACTAAGCAAGATCATATATTTTTTTTGACGTGGCCTTTATGTATTTTGGGCCGCTAACATCAACCCTAGGTTACACTGTATAAATAAGCTTTCTATAGGCAGTTGTAGAAATGGGTTGAAAATAAAAAGCATAAACGTTTTTTTCATATATTCTATAAAACTTATTCATTCTCTTGGCTGCGGAGGCGGGCTGCTGCGTTGGTTACCCTCACACTGAGTTGTTGGGCGCGCTCAACGATCGCCTTCCGTTTCTTCGAGGACACACCGTGGGCGATTTCTGCGCAGTACTTCCTGTTCTGCATCATCAGGATCTCTAGCTCTTTGACGTTGTGTACGAGGACCTGCAATGGATATAATCAACATGAGAAAAAAACTAACACGGAACTCTCTACCTATGTCAGTCTCCGAGCAGATATGAAGCTGCTAGAGGCAGAGTGGCCTAATAACAAAAAACACAAGGTGAAAAATAAAAATGCGCAATTAACTTAGGCGAAAGTGAATTTGTACTATTATTCATAAAATTAAAAAAAGTCATAAAATTGCAGTTAGGCTTCTCTGTCTCTAGCGGCCTCATATAATCTGGACTAATTCAAAGTAAATATTATGTTACAACTTTGGCTGTGCTTCCACTTAACTTCAAGTGGTGTACAGGCAAACATTTACTCTTTCACAATAAAAAAAACTTTAACGCCTTTATACGCCAAACATATTCGTTAAACTTATTTATATGTATATGCCCGACGTTTCGGCTGCTTTGCGTTTTGCTTTACGTTGCAGCAGCCCCCGTGGTCACGGGGAGACTAGTTATAGTGTCTCTAATGTCAAAGTCAAAACTGCTACTGCTAAAATAACTAAAATATTTCACGTTTTAAACCTATAAAGTGGTTTAATTAAATTTGTACTACTCGCGTAGACTAGACAGTTTTAAATTAACATTTAAAGGCCAGCAACGCATCTCCATCTGTTAGACGCCTATGGGCGACGGAAATCACTTTTCATCAGGTGATCCATCTTGTTTGCTCCCTATTTTTATACATATGTAAAATCTTCTGAGTTACGACATTAGACTTCAAAAAAACATTGACTACTATTAAACTAATGAAATTAAATGGAAATGGTCTTCAAATGATGTGGACTAATCACCAGGCCTTTTATCCATGTCCCCAAAGGAAATAATAATAACTAATGAAATTACATTGTTTTGTTGCATGATAGCTTTTTGTTGTGGGTTTTGACTTCTAATTAATATATTAATTCAAACATATAAAATAGTCATATTTAATAAAAAATACATTTATAGTTCACAAACAATATTATATATAGTTAGATACCTAACATAACATACATATGTAATAGTTATGATATAAGTGCGGTTGAAAATTACAGCCGAGGCGATATTACTATAAGAAAGCAAAGGCTGTAATTTTTGAAAGCGCACGTATGTCATACAACGTTTTATAATATATTTACGAGGAAATTAATAAAACTCTTAATTAGTTAGACGAATAAAAACGCGCGGAATTATTTTTACTTGACCACAAATAAGCGATGCGCGCGCATCAACGTTTTTTTTTGTAGGCAAAGGTACAAAAACAGCTAGTATTACTAATAAAGTAAATTAATATTTTTGTGTTTTTGTTACAATCTGTAACAAAAACACAAAAATATTAATTTGTACTAATTGTAGTAATTTATTGCCAAAATTAATTAAATTAAAGAATTAAATGTTTATTTGTTATATTTTATTTCACAAAGGTAATTTTAGTCATAAAATATTGACCACTTTCTTGACTTGACTTGATAAAACCTCTTTGCTAAGAAAAAAAAAACACGTGCCTTTTTCATTACATTATCGCACAAGTACGTAACGAGATACATTACGATATTTAAATTGGTGTAATTACAACCACTTTACGAGCAAATATGTTAGAAAAATATTATGGAACTACTTACTTAATAAGTGAAAATTTATTGTTAGAACAAGAGCGCCACTATCGCCAAGAAGCTGTCCAGCTGTTTGGCGATTTTGATATAAATGTACGTATGTATTTTTTATAGTAAATTAATTATAAAAAAAGTTTACGTTTTAAAATCTTTCTTATTTAGCAGCCTATAGCTGACAATGGACTGAAAGTCACTGAGGGCAAAGTTGCAATTCCTTTTAGACTTTATGAAGTCTTGTATAGTTTTATAACATGTCTATATGTTAAAAAAACTATATATATTATAAATTATAAGGGTTGTGATTAAAAATAATATAATTTATTTGCATATAAACAGACTTGAAGATATGTGGGTTACTAATATTAAAAAAATGTATCTACTAATATGACCAAGCTACCATGTGTGAGCTGCTCGGAATAGGGTTTAGTAGTTCTACTATAGCAAGGTAACAAATTGTGAGTAACATATTAAAGATGTGTAACACAGAGTGCCCTTGCATAACATTACTTAATGTTAAATAAATAAATGCACTAAAGTTAGGCGAAAAATAAATTTCTATTTTTTGTGCTCTTGTAGATCTACATTTTTAGACTATAGGAATATAAATATGTCAAGTCATAAAATTTAGAACTATAACTTCTAATGTGACCAAGACGGTTTTTTTTTTGAACAAAGCCAAAGCTTCAGTCAATACACCATTATAACTCAGTTAAACTTTAGTCACCCTTCATGCACAAAATATTGGCTTTTGTGTTGTTCTAATAAATAGCTGCTTTGTTACATACCTTACGGAAACCATTGGGTAACATGTGGCGGGTCTTCTTGTTTGAACCGTAACCGATGCTTGGCATCAAGTACTGTCCCTTGAAACGCCTGCGGACTCTGTTGTCAATACCTGAATACAAAGTTATTGTTAACCATTATATTCTTCAACTATGTTGTAATAAGACTGTGATGACTAGAACTGCAAAGATGATCATAATAATTTTCAAGCAGAAAACAAGTCTACAGAATTTATTTATTATTAATATGAAAGTTAAGTCATAGAAATGTTAATACTTTTGTTTCTACTAATATGACCAAACAACCATGTATAAGTTGTTCGGAATAGGGTTTAGTAGAATTTTTATAGCAAGTTGACAAGTTGTGAGAATCATAATAATTATGTAATAACACAGAATGCCCTTGCAAAACTGTAAATGACAATAATTCATAAAATAAGGCACGGTATAAAAAATACACCATAACCTATAAGACATAGAATATAAATAAATGTTATGTTGATCTATAACCCATCAAGGATCGTTTGAAAGTTATTATTCCCTATGCTATGGCATCCTAAATTAGACATTTAGTGTAATTTTCCAGGGCAAATAAAAAATGTGCTCAAGATATCAATAAGTAATAACACACTACCTTACCTCTAGGTTTACGCCAGTTACGTTTGAGTTTGTCATAGCGATCAGATTGATGTCTGATGAATCTTTTCGTCCTCTTTTTGACGATTGTTGGCCTATATACTGGTCTGATAGCCATTTTGAGTTTGTTTCTTTTACGAAACGCGGCTGTGAACCACGCGGTGACACGGTCGCACAAAAAGAAAGAAGAATAATAGACAATACAAATCCTAGAGTGCGAGTGTGTTTTCTCTTGACAGTTTTAGTAAAATCTTCCAATCTCTATGGATGTTAATATAAAACAAAGTTGTTATATTGGCAAAAGTGGGCGAAAGAATTATAATTTATTAATTCATTAAAAAATAAACATTTGTGCGACAATAATTTCGCTTGTATTTTTAATTAAACTAAAAATTTAAAAATTAAATTTTTATTATCAAAAGTAATAAATTTTAAAGGATCAATAATTTTACAGTGTAGGACAATAAACTTAAACGTAATAGTGTTTTCTATAACTACAAATAATGCTCAGAACTATAAGTAAAAGTACCAGTACCGACAATATAACCTTAGTTTACAATCTGTGGACGGGTTTTAAAGTCTGTACACAGACATAGACAATATTTTATGACATAACAATAGTGTACAGTTGGAAATAGAAAACAATCCGATTTCTCTATGCCACAGACGCCAAATGTCGCCATCGATCAATGACATTTTGTGAAGTTGAATTTATTGATATTAAGCGTTAATGTAAATAATAAACAATTTTAACATAAACGTCGGCTTCCAGTCGATATGTATGCCAAGGGCAAAGGCTCTACGGTACCTTCGGACGCTCAGGCACGCGAGAAGTTGGCCCTCTATGTTTACGAATACTTACTGCATGTTGGGGCACAGAAAGCGGCACAAACTTTCCTCTCAGAAATACGATGGGAGAAGAATATAACGCTCGGCGAGCCCCCCGGGTTTCTCCACTCGTGGTGGTGTGTGTTTTGGGACCTATACTGCGCAGCGCCAGAACGACGGGACACATGCGAACACTCATCAGAGGCGAAGGCTTTCCACGATTATGGCTTCGTGAATTCAGGCTACGGTGTTAACGGTATCGGTCACAATGCAGGCCCGGCGCCTCCCAATGACGGTGAGTGGGCTATTTTTAAAATAAACCCACTAAGAATTAGGTTGTAACCAAGTTTACACCTGTTTTCTAGGGCATTATGTTTCTTATCTTCTTGTTCAAATAGTGTTGTATTTTCGACATATTTTATTGAGTTCAAATTCGTCAAGCTTGTCCATTTGTATATTTAAGTATAAAATTTTGAATTAATACCAAATCAGTTTTAATTTAATGTAATCCATCTTGCATCCTATGCCATTATATATCTTAAAATGAATAACACAAATTAAGACACTTGTTTGAGTATTACATGTATATCAAACATATATTTCATGTTTATGTACTAAGCAGAACATTTTGTGCTCAAATAAAAGATATCTTTTTATAACATAAAATAAAAGACAATACTTATATATGTATCTATGTTAACGTTTAAAAATCTTTATCGAAGGTGACTTAATTAATTTTATATTTTTTAAGCACATCTAAATCTAACTCACGTTAGCATATACATTTAATTTGTAATATATGATACTGTAAATAAAGTAATGTTTCATATACAACCTAAAACAACTAGAAAGTTCATTAACTTTACTAATAATTAATTACCATAAAAGGCATGTTTATTATCATAAAAGGCATGCTACGTGTCAAATAGAAATGAGGTTAATATATTTTTGGCAGCATTTTTTATTTATTAAAATGATGTATTTGCTGATTGAAATGTAATTTATGAATATATAGACATATTAATACCAAATCTATTATGTTTAACTGAGATTCGAAGTTGTCAATGCTTATAGACTTGTAACAGGACACTGAGTATGCCTAACTAAATACAAAGTCTAAGAGTGACCACGCTTACTAAATAATTATGTCTTTATTTTATTAATTAATTTCAGGCATGGGTGGAGGTGGTATGCCGCCTGGTTTCTTCCCCAATTCTTCACTTCGGCCTTCACCGCCAGCACCACATCCAGGGTCACAACCGTCGCCACATGGACCCCAACCACAGTTGATGGGTTCAGGACAACCATTTATAGGGCCTTGGTATTCAGGGGGACCTAGATCAGCTGTAAGGATGGGCATGGGCAATGATTTCAACGGACCTCCAGGTAACATCCATTTGTTTAGTACAACAGTCACTGAGGCCGCTAGAGTGGCTTAATAACTAGAGACATGATTATAAATAAGGAGGAAAATAAATATGTGCAATTATCTTAGGCGAAAACAAATTGGTACTATTTTTTTTGGTTACTGTGATCTTGAAGATAAACATTTTTAGACTATAAAAATATAAGTCAAGTCATAAAATTGCAGTTAGGCTACTCTGGCTCTAGCAGCCTCAATTGTAGTGTTATCTTTCAAATACTCATTTTTCAAACTGTTTGCTTAGGTCAAGGTATGATGGGCAATTCGTTAGAAAGAGGGGGAGCAGGAGGGGCGGGGATGCTTGGTGGGCCGCGCATGACCCCGCCACGACCCGGGATGGGACCCATGAGTCCTGGAGCGTATGCAGCGGGTATGAGAGGACCACCGCCACAGGGTGCAGGTAAGACATATTTTTGAGTTGTATTTTAATGCAACCAATGCAAAAAAGCAAAACATCTATTTTACACCATCCTGTAGTTTAAGTCAATAGTACACATTTAAACAAGACACTTTAACAGTGGTGACGTCTGAGACATCCTTCAGCTTTAGTCTCCCTGTGACCATGGCTGCTGCAAAGCATTCAAGTATTCTATTGATATCTATTATTATTTTTCTCATAGTTGACCTTGACAATGTTTTATAATTTAAAAATTGTTAATATAGATTCAATGTGTAAGAACTGAGAACACACTTGTAGGGGAATTAAGGAATAACATTGTGATATTTAAAACTCACTCAGAATTAGTATATTTAATACCCAAGTGTTCAAGTTGAAATTACATTGCGGGAGAGGTTCATGTATCAAAGTTCAAAACAAATTGACGATGACGTGTAGGACCCGGTAGCTCAATTAGTTAGACAAACGGTCTGGAAAGCTGAGGATCCGGCATCCTCAGCGTTCCAGACCGTTTCAAGTTAAGTTTTTCAATCTAAAAATTATTTTTAATTTAAATAAGAAGTTAACAAACATGTCTATAATATTGATTTGGGAACTGATTGTTGTAAAGATAGTCGTCTATTTTTAAATAAGAATTTGTTTTTTCAAATGATTATAGTGCCATCATGTGCAACATTTTATTTTAAAGTTTATAATCGTCTTATACTGTGTCAAAATGAACAGGTATGCCACCAATGGGTATGGGTCCGCGAGGTGCATGGGCTGGCGGTAGCGGCTCGGCTGGTGGTTCAGCGCCTCTCAATTACAGTGGGGGGTCCCCGGGAGCGTACGGGGCACCCCCGGGGTCGAATGGCCCGCCCGGACCACCAACGCCGATAATGCCAAGCCCACAAGACTCTTCTAACTCAGGTTAGTACTTTTTTAAGCTATGGTGCTGGAATTACGTAAAATTCAAATTTTACAGGACTATTTCGATAACTCAAAAAAGAAGATGATTTAGTAAATAATATGTTGTCACTATCAAAAAAAAAAGTGATATTCTTTGATAATCTTCATACCGTGAACCAGAAATGTTTTTCTTTACTTTCCGCTTGCTTCATTCTCGCTTAATCACGTCCACAGACACGCTTGGGTCGTTCCTGTATACCGCTTTTTTCTTTTTCTACACGTATTTCACCTTTTTTTTACGTTCAATGTTAAGTTTAAGGGTCAGTTTTCCAACTAGATTATTTTCAATGTTGCCATGAAAGAAATTGTCTATGGGCACTTATTCATGGATTTAATTCATAATTGCGGTGAACAAAGTATGAGCTCTAGTTGGGAACCTATGTTATACAACCCCGGTTAGAAGTCATAAAACTAGACAGTATATTTATTGCTTTACTATATCCATTTAATGCCTAGTTATTGTAGTTTTTTGTCTATGATTTCTATTATTTGTAGTTGCAACCCCACTCATCAAATTATTAATAACTACGTAGAAAGAAAATGGCGCGTGCGTAGGATTTATCACAATTTAAATTTTGTGTTTTATGACTTCTAATTGTGGAAGGAAATAGGCGGGATTATAGTCCATGTGGCCTTTTTTTATCTGTGGTTCTAAAAGTATTTTCGAGGCAAAGGACTATAGTCCGAAGCCCATAAAAAAATATCGTCTATGGCACATGTGACTCTGTGATGTGAAATGTCAAATGCTGACGCGTTTTGCGCGGCAGGCGGCGACAACATGTACACGATGATGAAGCCTGTGACGGGAGCCCTAGGCGCCGAGTTCCCACTCTCGGGCGAGCACGGGCCACCGTCGCAGCACCACAACCAACCGCCAACGAGCGAAGGTGCCACAGATTAAATATTTCATAATCTGTATTTTAAATTCAATTCGCAGACCATTTCTTTCTACGTAATTATTATATTTAAATAAGACACTAGCGGTTTAAACGCGATATATATTAGTTAAACTTATTTGAAAGAGTAAAAACTTCTACGCTAGCGCCATCTTTGACCTCAGAGACACACTTCATCTTACGTCTCCCCGTGACCACGGCTGCAAAGCGTCCGAAACGTCGGGCCTTAGTAAAGCAAAAATTTTCAAATAAGTATAATTTATATGTATCGCGTTTTAAACCGTTAAAGTGTATTATTTAAACGTGTACTACTCGCGTAAACTACAGACAGTGTGTATATATTATATTCGCAATTAGTCAAAGTGTTGATGATGTTAAATTATTAAGAGAAATCAACAGTAACAAGACCCCATTATAACTAGAAATAAACACGCAGATAAAAGTTAACTCGACCGTCAAAGCGTGAAATTGGGCGAAAGAGAATGAAGCAAATTGGACGATCTCAACATAATCTGTGTTTTTGTAGACACTTTTGCATATACTATAACATTCGTTTCAGGATTAGGCGGTGTAGACGGAATGAAATCATCTCCAGGCGGCGTCGGGGGCGGAGGCCCAGGCACGCCCCGCGAAGACTCCGCCTCGGGGATGGGGGATTACAACTTAAGTAAGTGTTTTATGAAGTTTTAGATTCGTACATCATCTGTTGTGTTTTATACGTCCATTTCTCGAATAACATAGCCACATAAGATTGAAAAGCAATAGACTTAATAAAAAAATAATAAAACAATATTCAATCTGTATCAAGAACAAGCTTAAATTAAAAGTTGTAATAACTCTATTCTTTCTTATCTAATTGAAATGTATTATATTCAAATGTATTGATTAAATTAATTATTATGATTTTTATTTGTTTTATTTAATTGGTAAAATTAAATTTGAAAAAAAAGAATTATAAATGTCACAAGGAACCAAGTAAATTAGCTTTTGAGATTAAAAGTTATTAAAGGTTATCCATTTTGTAATAATAAAAGTCACATTCGCTTAAATATTAGTCCAGTATACACCAATGATAACATTCGCAGCATCAGATGATAAAATTAAAACAGGTGCCGTTGTTGATTTCTGATTGAAAGGTTTCGGTGGGCCCGGCGGGGATCAGAATGACCAGACGGAATCGGCCGCCATTTTGAAAATTAAAGAGAGCATGCAAGAGGAGGCCAAACGATTCGAGAAGGACCCAGATCACCCAGACTACTTCATGCAGTGAGCGCGCACGACGCCGACGCACCGGGAAAATATAAATTGTCTATGACTCGCGGGAGTGGCGCCAACTTTCAACTGTCAGATTTAATGGCGCCAACTGTCAACGTTAAAATGGCGCCCGGGATTAGCGTGGGCAGCAAGTTTTTCTTAGTTAAATACACTCGGTTTCAACGTTGCAAAATTCAAGAAAGATATATGAAAAACTTTGGAAGATTAAGGGGTACATACAGACAGACTTGTATTTTTGAGAACGCCTACAAAATTGCCCGCAAAATGTTGGTTCGTTGTATTAAATGTACCGACTACTACTAGTCTAAATTGTAATTTCTGACAACTAGGGATCGGACAGTGATCCAGACTAATAAAAAATTGATATAATATATTATTATTAAAAAGGTTTTTAAAGACAGATGGACATTTGGCGCCATTGTCTATCGGGTCTCATTGCATTGATCTCAGAAATGGGTGAACGGTGTGTTGGCAGCACTGCGCGTTCTTAATTCAAATTTCCGTGCTACACACAATTTCACCAAGCGATAATGCCGTTGAGAATTCTTTTAACAAAAGGTTTATAAATGACGTTATTCCTTGGTGACATTAGGTGTTAATCGTAATATAACGTTTTTTTAGCGCACCGTTCTATTTTTGAATTTTGACAGATTGACATCCAATGCATAAACGAGCTTCCGTTATGATTTATACGTGCGCCATTTTGAATTGGGGTTCTGATTTCCAAGCTACCTCCATAACGCGATGTTATTTTGTCTAGATAATTTATTAACAATTATCTATTGTTTTAAGCTGTGTCGTACCCCCATTTAGAATGGCAAACGACATTTTATACAAAATCCGATGCAACATAGAACAATCTGTCCGAATTCAACGAGCACTGTAGATGAAAATAGTTTTTTGTGTAATTTAATTCCAGCACGTAACACCGGATAAGGTTAGAATGACTATTTAAATAACTTAGTTAAGAAACCGCTTGTGAAAACCGAGGCCACAGAATCCACTCACTCTCAGTTGTGAGAAATGAATTGAAAGTGGGACTGTGGCCTCGACTTCATAATGGCGCATGATATATTTGTTTAATTTTATAATTTGATACGGCAACACTGTGCAAACATTGTCAAAAATGTTTTTTGTATGTGATTTTTGAAATCATTTAATAGGTGGATTAGTTAAAGCGATACGAGTGTAAGCTACTTCCAACATGAAATTTTACCGTGTCCGGATTTTTCGCGAAACGCGTACCAACGATAAAACTAGTGATGTCCGTTTTATCGATATATCGAGATATTTTCAAACAATATTAATTTATGTAATCGATTATACATAACCGTTTATTTATATTTTCTGAAATATTACTATTTATATTTTTAATGATTTTATAATACTTAATGTTTTAGGATCATAATGGACAACGGTTTGTTGCCGGCTATTTTAATAGCCAAGGTTACTTAATCAAGGATAAAATGTGTAAGCTTATTTTTTAATGTACGCATACGGAAAAATTAATTTTAATCAAATAAAACTTTTTTTAAAAATATAATGCTGAAAAAATATGATAGGAAACACAATTCAGTGTTTCTTATTATCTCATTATTTTGAATGACTAGCACACCAGAAGCAAAAAAAATGGGTGGAGCCTTGTCAATAGCAATTTCAGCAGCCATCAGAACCATTCTCTAATTTAAAACCCGGTGTTTAACTGTGCGGTGTTCATGATGTTTGGTACATCGTTGAAGATATTATAAAATGGCGGTCGAATGAGGTGAAAATATCGTGCGATATGTATACTTCTTCCATTTTACTATAAATTATTATTATTTTAGTTTTTGTTTTAAGCTGTAATGTTCCTAGATTTGTATTTTTATTCGTAAGATCCGTTTTATGTATTGCCCGATTGGAAAAATGCTTCGTGGCGTATGATTTTTTTTCACTCGTATGTAAATATGGCGTGTGATATTTGTATAAGTCACTCACGTGTTTTTTATTATTATTTAGACTTTGATGCTGACTTACGCGGCTTTATTGATCTTATACAGAAAATACCGGTCGTGTTTTTCCCAATTTGACAAAAAAATTATAGCTTGCCTATATCATTTTCGGTGTATTTTTTTTACACGAGCATTTTTCCAATACAGTTTAAAGTCCGAATGTACGATCGATTTTGTCGATAAAATCCTCTTATATTCGAAAACGCATTTATCCATAATAAATTATTATTATTCATTTTGTATTTATCATTAAAACTTGTAGGAGTAGCGTGCGGACTGCCAGAAGTACCACGGAATTGATCAAGTTGTGTCCAATTTTTGGTGGTCCGCGGATAAAAAAAATATGTAAGTAATTTTGTACTAAATAATATTATAACTAGATTTGTTTTCGATCCGGTATTTAAATAGTATAGTTTTCTTTCTCGGGTGTATGGAAATTTGTATAAAATAGGTTATTATAGCGAGATTTTTCGGTGAGGTAGCGTCTAAGTTAGGGCTTCGCCCTGTCCATAGTTATGCGCAAGTTTTGGGTCCTCGGTTACAAAATCTTAAATATGCATACGTGTGGTTATGCCACGAACATTGTAATAATACAGAGCGCTTATCGATATTTTACAAAAATGTGGGACATCACTATTCGGTATTGTGACGCAATATTGTAAATAAATGCAAAATTTTCAGTTCAATTTGCTACTAGGACCGAAAATTTGAAACGTGCAGTGTTTATAGTTAAGAATTAGTATAAAATTATAAAAAAAATAGATTGATAAAAATGCAACGCGGACATTGCAAGAAGTTTTTTAATGAATTTTATTTTATTTTCTTTATTTAAATAACAATATGTGTAGTGTGGTTGTATGTTTTAAGGTATAGTAGCGTAGGTGGGTTTCCTAAATACGTGGCTACAACGGATTTTAGTGAAAAAAAAAAAACAAATTACTTAATACAAAGTCGTTTTAATTTTTTTTGACAGATCTGATATTTTGAGAAATTAAACAACATATTTAATAATAATTTTCAATCTATGTTCTATCGTCCACGTTTCTAGTTTACCCGCCCTCCTAACAGTTTTGCTGTATAAAAATTATGTTTAATTTTTTCGATTTAGGTAAATGAATTATTTTTTCTTATCGATGTACTGTTTATATACTTACATAAATAGTTATTATATATTGATTGGTCGTTTTATTTTTTTAATACACCCACAAATAGTGTCATGTAATCTCTAATACATGAGGCTGCTAGAGGCAGAGTGGCCTAATCAATAGTTTATACTGTGGAGTGCCGTAAAAGGCAGACATATTGAGGCTACCGTGCGAGTTCTAAAGAGATCCCGGGATGATTCACATTTGTGTCGGAGGTTTTTATTGTGGGTTTAACATAACCCATTTGCTCCTTCTGGTGCGGTGGGTATCCGAAAGGATTTCCCCACGTAAAAAAAAGAGTGCCCTAATTACAAAAAAAACATGATTCAAGTACTTCCTTCTTCTTCTTTCTTGTGAGACGGAGAAAATACTGTTCCCACTACTTACACTATGCGGATGGACATATATTTGTGTCTGATTCATATCAGTAATCGAACCTTTAGGTTCTGTTTGCGTTTAACAAGGAAGGTGTGTGTGAAATCCTATTTGCCCCTCGTGGGGCATGAGGCGAACACCTTTCTGTCCGTTTCACTAATCCGTTCTACCGGCAAGTTGATCAGACTTGCCCTGCCCGACGGAAACAATTGTATGTTTCCCCGGGATTCGAACCCAGGACTTCTAGCGCTTAACGCAATGCTAGACAATTTAACCATTTCGCTACAGAGGCGGTCAGAGTACGGAAGGTAGTATTATTTACTGCTTTATGAATCGAGAACAAGCTGCGCCGTTCACACGGTTGTTTACAAAATTGTAGTTACGTCAAAGACGACTTGAATAAGATATATGTACAGTCATCTACAAAGTGGAATATGGAATTGGTGTTTTATCATACTGGTCACGGTTTGAAAACTCTTCAACTTTTAAATAAAACACTAACGGTTCAAAACGCGATATATTGGTTTTTTTAACTTTGGTCCGACGTTTCGGATGCTTGCAGCAGCCGTGGTCACAGGGAGACTGACTGTTTTATTTAAATGTGTTCTACTCGCGTAAACTATAGACAGTATTTAACAATTCATTCATCATACCTTTTTCTTGTAGTACCCCTTACTACTAATACTAGAGTGGGTATCCGTTCAACTCTTCAAGCTTCCACCTACATAAGAGTCCGAGCTGGGTCGATGTTATCCTTGGGCCACCATTGGCCTCTCTGTGGCTATCAATACAAACGGACATTTTGTCAAGTGTTAGCGGCTAGAGCTATGCCCCGAAGACATCGGTTTGGCTTCTACCACCGCATTCTGCGTGGGTGTTTGTGGGGCAACTTGACACTATTAAGATAACATTTTATAAGAAAACAATAATCAAAATAATTACATTACAGTACATTATTTACTCGCTACTTCTTTAAGTGAAATTCCGTTTTACACGCGTCGATCGTGACGTAGACAGACACGTTTTTGTCTCTTTCACTTTCTTTCTTTTCCCTTTCGTTTTCTAGAACAATAAAAGTAACTGACAGATTTTTCGTTTTAAACCGTCAAGTGGCCGACCTGTGCCATGCCGACCGAAGCCTTTACTACTTTCTAGTGCTTGAACGCAGAAGTAATTTATAATACACTGTTTCTCTTAAGTAATAGCTTATGGGAGTGTCTGCCGTTTGGTTACGTAACGCATTACCGTTACTCATGTAAGTACCCATTTGGTTGGTTTATAATTTCAAATGTAGTAAATATGTATTTATTTAATATATTGGAAAACTTTAACATTTTACATACATATTATGATATGATACATTTTAAAAATTTATTAGGATTTAAAAAAATTACGACTCAGGTGGATCTTGAACAGGCATTTTAATTTATTTATTTATTTACACTTTATTGCACAAAAAAAAATAACAAAAATATAAACTTATATACTAAACATATGGAGTGCAATGGGCGGCCTTATCGCTAACGAGCGATCTCTTCCAGGCAACCCAACAATTTATATCTATACTAATATAAAAAGTAAAAGAGTTTGATTGTTTGTTTGAACGCGCTAATCTCAGGAACAACGGGTTCGAATTGAAAAATCGTTTTGTGTTGGCTACAGCGATACAGCGAGAAATGTGAAAAAATTGGGGAAATAATTCACCATTATAACGACGGGACGCGAATAAAGCCGTGTAGGTAAAAGCTTAAATGTATAGAATTGCCCAAAATAACTGTTCAACGCGGACGAAGTCGTTGACTCAGCTAGTTTTATATAATTTTAGTTCATTAAACACTTCTGCACACGACTATACACATCACTAATGTATCAAAATCACTGTTGTCTTTGTTTAGCGGAGGTAACCCTTCAATATAAATATATTATAAGCCTGCCCCATCGGTACTGGATTGAATATTCTTAAGTCTTTAAATAGAGCTTTGAAGTCCATTGTAAACAGTCATGGCGTAGAGATGTTTGAGAAGTTACGGATAGTTTTCTATCTGTTTTTGACTTTGTTGATACCGTATTTGTTGCAAGAGTACATATCGGCGATACTTATCAACAAAATCGGGTATAACAAATGTCGATCTAGTCGGTATTAAACAAAATGGATTCTCTACTGTTCTTGTTGATATTTCTAATTAACTTCGGTTGTATCGTTTCTGAAGCCAGTTTAAGATATGGTAAGGGCGTTATATTGTTTTCAATTTAAGTATGGTTTTAAGTTTAGAACAAAAGTGGGGGGTTGCAAAACATGTATTTTTAAAAATACTGTCTATACATTTTATCACGCGAGTAGTACACATTTAAAGAAAATACTTTAACGGTTTAAAACGCGATATCTTTCAATAGGGCCCGGCCTCAAATTATCAAACACCTGGGATCCCATAATAAAAGCTCTGGATTCCAATATACAGCTAGTTTCGCCAAATACCAACTTCGACGAAACAGATGGCGCTAGCGCAGCAGTTTTTATTGACGTCAAAACCACCCTCCATCCTTAGTCTCCCCGTGACCGCGGCAGCTGCAAAGCATCCGAAACGTCGGACCGAAGTTAAAAATCATTTTCAAATATGTTTAACTAATATATCGTGTTTTAAACCGTTTTATTAAAATGTATTTTTTATGAAAGAGGAGGACAGACAGGCACATGGTTCACTTCGTAATAGGTAAAATACCTACTTCAGCCAACAAGTTCGGCTTATCCACAGAATGTAACCAAAACGCTATTAAACTTCACGGCTTTTTTGATATTCCTACCACTCATTGGTGTATCCAAATTTCATAGAGTCCAACAATTTTCAGAAAAATTATAAATCGATACTAAAATATGGGACCCGGTGGCTATCGAACCCTTATTATTAGACTAACGAACCCGTCAGTATTATATAAGGACGTTTGGATATTAAAAAATTAATATTTTTAAATTCTCAAATATCCAAAAAAAATTGCAGATTGAATTTCATTATTGCGTTAATTATTTTCTGAAAAAAAAAACACTTTTAACAGTTTAAAACGCGAAATGTATTTTAACCACATACTTCGCATGATTTGCGGCCGTTCGTTACCTGTGTTTTATCTAAATGGTATATATAGTTATATACTATATGTAGTTTACGCGAGTAGTACACATTTAAATAAAACACTGTAAATGTTTAATGCGATATATTTTAGTTGAACTTGTTTGAAAATTATTTTTAACTACGGCCCGACGTTTTAATTACGGCCATAGTTAAAAATAATTTTCAAACAAGTTTAACTAATATATCGCGTTTTAAACCGTTAAAGAGTTTTATTTAAATTAGTATATAGTCATTCAAATATATGGTCACGCGCTGTTGCATTTAGCCATTAGGAAACTTAAATTATTGATTACTTGTTACAGTTTTTGTACTTGAGAAACACGATTTAGATGTCCCGGAACAGATAAGCAAGGCGATACGAACCACAGAAGAGGCGAAACCTGGAATCAGGATTAGTGATGATGTGATTTATTTGGACCGTGAAAACGAAGACGACGCGTATAACCAACGTAATTTTATAATTCTAATATTTTTCACATGTTATTGCACATGATGACCACGTCTGTAGCCAAATGGTTAAACGTATTGCCTAGCATTGTATTAGCGCGAGAGGCCCTGCGTTCGAAAACCGAGAAACAAAAAATTGTTTCGCTCGAGCAGATCTTGCCCCATGCCCCACGAGGAGGAAACGGGCTCTCACACTTTTTTATTGCACATCATGGCATTATATAAATAAAAAAATCTCTACAGTGTCTATAGTTTACGCGAGTAGTACACATTTAAATAAAACCTATTTAACGGTTTAAAACGCGTTATATTAGCCGTGGTCACGGGTCAGTCTCCCCGTGACCACGGCTGCTGCAAAGCATCCGAAATGTCGGGCCGAAGTTAAAAATCATTTTCGAATAAGTTTAACTAATATATCGCGTTTAAAACCGTTAAATGGGTTTTATTTAAATCTCTACAGATACAAAAAAAAACTCGGGAGGGACTGGACTGGCATTTACGTTGTATCGATCTAATAAACCGCTTAAGTTTTTTTTTTAAATTTAACTTATCTACATTTTATTTTACGGCTCCATGTTTCAGATGCCTTGCAGAAGCCGTAAACCTAAACCAGGGTTTAAACCTAGTTTAAATCCTGGTTTATTTGAAATCCGTATTACAAAACGAAGTTTAACGTTCGTACTGAACTAAGTATGCTACTAACTTAGATTTATTTAGACCATAGTTTAAGAGTTAAACGAGGACTCTGCAGTTCTTGTTTAAATATTTTATTAAGTCCCTAGTACGATACAGCTTGTGTTTTTAAAGGAATCACACAACCGTTTAATTGTAATGCAACTAAACCATTTGTCTATTTTAAACACGGTTTAAAACGCGATATATTAGTTAACTAAATAACTAATATATTGCGTTTTAAATCGTTAAAGTGTTATACTTAAATGTGTAGTATTTGCGTAAACTATAGACAGTGTTTCATGTGTCTATACTAATATATAAAGCTGAGTTTGTTTGTTTGTTTAAACGCGCTAATCTCAGGAACTACGGGTTCTTTCGAATTTGGATGTCTCAAATAAAGATTCTCGCGGACGAAGTCGCAGACACAGTTAGTTGTTTTATAAAGCGTTAATTTATGTTTTAGTGTGTTCCTCGCTTTCGAAGGGTACGTCCGCCGTCATCGATCTAACCTGGATAACCTGGGATAGGCTCATGGAATTGAATCTTCCTGTAATAAGGATATCGTTAGACTCTCAACCATTTGTCAAAGCTATAAACGGTTATTTGGAATCCAGGAACGCTACGGATGCATCGATACTTGTGCAGAGTGAGAGCGGTTGGTATCGTGTTAACTATATCCCACTGCTGGGCTTACATCCACCATGCTACTCCAGGATTAACAATTACGATACCAGAATATTGTCGTAGATAAATATTCTTATCGAGCAAAAACGTTGTCTAAATAAAACACTTTATCGGTTTAAAACGCGACATATTAGTTAAACTTATTTGAAAATGATTTTTAACTTCGGCCCGACGTTTCGGATGCTTTGCAGCAGCCGTCTTCCCGTTTCTAACTAATATATCGCGTTTTAAACCGTTAAAGTGTGTTATTTAAATGTGCACTACTCGCGTATACTAAAGACAGTATTTAAAAAACGTTGTTTTTCTGTTTTGTATGACAATCGGACAAGCATGCGACTTACTTGATGTTATGTGACATACCTTAGCCATCTTGACAATATCGCGCTGTCGACCAATTTCGGCTTTGAATATTCGGACTGTAGCCGAAACGCGATTAAACTTCACGGCTTTTTCGTCTGTGATCAGTGGTTCGGCACTTGGACGGAATTACATATCACATAGTCCTACCAGCAATTTACTGTCCAGATTTCCAGACAGATATAAATAAATTTGATACATAATGGATCTGGCGGCGATCGAACCTAGAGCTCGGTGATTATTAACCATGTTACCATTGGACTTGATTGGATTGATTATGATGCCTTATTATCGCCATCATAATATGGCTTATATAAATAAAAAAACGATTTTAGATAAAAAAAAAAAATCGACACGGGCAGTAAGTACGTTTATAGATACATGCATTACAGAAAAATATACCTTATTCTCTTTAAATTTTTTTTTTTTTAATTATTTAGATTCGTCAAAATTTTTTCGTTTGCCTGTCTATTTGTCGTGATCCTAGAGAGCGTTCAAAAGACCATCATAACTGAGAAGAACACCCAACAAACTCAGTCCGGCTGTTTTTAGCATGTCTTATAAACTATAACATTTTTGTGAATCTACTAACCTAGAGAGCGATTCATATAACTGCCAGGCGGTCTTGTCATTAAAGAAATCGTTCAGACAACAATATGCCTTTTGAGACAATCTAAATTTTTTTTCAAATTTATTTATGGATAAATTTTGAATTTCAAATGTGTTTGCTTTTTCAGATGTCGATAGAACCTTGTACACACTACTGGGTAACTCTAATGTAAGAGTTTGGGTCCACCCTGGCCTCACACGGGAGTCTGCCAAGTCCCTAAACAGCATGAGACCGGAGCCGAGTTTCCACATCATTTTGGGAGACCATGATTTTGTCACTACAACATACAAGCGGGTAATAACTTCTTTCTTGTTATTTTTTCTGTTTACATTTATAAACAGCTTTAGTAATGATGTCTTAGTAACAAATTTCATAAAACTAGTGATGGTAAAAATATAGAAATTATATTAACTTAAAAAAAATAGAAATAGCTTCGCGGGTACCTAACATTCATTCACCATTATATGTTGACTTCGACTTGGAAAAATACATTTTATCGAATTCTGTCAAGCCATTTCATAGTAAATTTGTAACAAACATCCAGAAGACACGTTTAAATACATATCGTAGTGTACTATAACATGAAATAAAGTATTTTAAGTATGCGGTTCTATTTGATCTTTTGAGTGTTGCTAAATAACTTTCTGCGGAGTACTATATTTTTTGGACGTGCAACTACGATACAATGTATTTCACCGAAATAATGTTGGGAATGTTATTAAATTAAATTTTTAGAAATAAATTATTCCAATAAAAATGAGAATTATTAAAACAATGCACAAATACTGTCTTTAGTTTACGCGAGAAGTACACATTTAAATGAAACACTAACGGTTTAAAACGCGATATATTAGTTAAACTTATTTTTAACTTCGGCCCGACGTTTCAAATGCTTTCCGTATCATCCGAATTTAATTTTTTTATTTAATTTAACACTTTAACGGTTGAAAACGCGATATATTAGTTGAGTTATTTGAAAATCGTTTCTAATTTCGGCCAGACGTGAGACTGACTCCCCGTGACCACGGCTGCTGGCAAGCATCCGAAACGTCGGGCCGAAGTTAAAAATCATTTTCAAAAAAGTTTAACTAATATATCGCGTTTTAAACCGTTAAAGTGTTTTATTTAAATCTAAAATTAATGTTTAATTCATCTTTTGCTCGTCGAACAGGCTATAAAGGAGAAACTAGTGAAGCGGGACTTTCGCTGGAACGTAGTGGTGACGGATTACGAGCCATTCGATCCAGCGTTCTTGGTGTTACCATCTGTATTATTGCAGTTGGATTTGAGCGAGTGTTGTAAGCTATTGGGTGTAAGCGAGTGTACCTGTTCTCCAAATGTACCGGTAAGCTGCCTTCTATCTTATGCCAGAATAAGTTAGTCTTTTTACATGTTATATCATTTTTTTTAATGATAGAGCAGTACAGACAAGCACGGAGTTCACTTGACGGTAGGTGATATAGCCTTTGGCATCTAAACAAGATGCGCTATCGATTTTTAATTGGTTATATTTAAATACTTTGGTTATTGGGAAAACCACAGACGGAAACCAAAAACGCGATGGCGCTTAACGGCTTTTTTATCTGTGGTTTGTGACGGATGGATTTAATGTTCAGATGTTGCTGTGACCCACGACGTCGTCGGTTGCGTCCCGTTGTACTTGCAAGTTAAGTTTAAAAGGTAGACATAGCGTTGGGGACTTTTTTAGATCATTTAAAGAGGAATCATTCTTTCATACATATTTTTTGGGTATCTTGAACCGTTTTTGTAGCGTACGCCTCGGAAGCCCATAATGATTTTCTCCACATTTCCCCTCGTATCTTCGCTTGTATTAGTCACAGGGCGACGTTTTATAGCCTATAGCCTTCCTCGGTAAATGCTCTAACCGACACAAAAATAATTTCTCGATTAATAGTTCCTGATTAGCGCGTTCAAACGAACACTACAGCTTTATATATTAGTAAAGATAAAATCAAACCTGTACTGTGTTAATAGTCAAGACTCGATACCTTTTTTATTTTCAGAGAAAACAATTGATTTTAAACAACCTTCTCCGGTATATAACTGAAGTTCTTTTAAAATTCGACTCGGGAACTACAAAGATACTATGCGATGATATACAGTATGATAATAGTTCAAGGGAGATGTTGTACAGGGTGTTCCGAGAAGACAGCACTAATAACGAGAGTCTTTTCTTTTGGAACGACGAAGAGTGAGTTTTTTATGAGTTTTGACTAAAGATGAACAGCCCTTGACTATCTAGACAAGGCCAAAATAATACTATCTATACTAATATTATAAATGCGAAAGTAACACTGTCTGTCTGTCCGGCTTTAACTCCGAAACTACTGAACTGATTTAAATGAAATTTGGTACACAGATATTCTAAAGCCTGAGAAAGGACATAGGCTTAAATAAAACACTTTAACGGTTTAAAACGCGATATATTAGTTAAACTTACGGTCTCCTCGTGACCACGGCTGCTGCAAAGCATCCGAAACGTCGGGCCGAAGTAAAAAATCTTTTCCAAATAAGTTTAAATAATATATCGCGTTTTAAACCGTTAAAGTGTTTTATTTAAACGTGTACTACTCGCGTAAACTATAGACAATATTTAAGGACATATGCTACTTTTTGATGACAAAAAAGGGTTATTTAGGGGTTGAAAAGGGGGATGAAAGTTTGTATGGAAATTCGTGATTTTTGAAGCTAGAACAATGAAACTTTCTTCTTTAACTTTTAGGTAGTGAGAGTAAGAACGAGTGAGTTGCGGCTAAGTAGCACTTACGGCATACATTGGCTGCCTTAAATGCGCCCTTACATAAATATATACACAGCCTAAAAAATTAATAATTCAACCCAAAGTCACTATTCCCCGCGGACGAAGTCGTGGGTACAGCTAGTATTCAATAAGTAACTGTTAAGGTTCAAATTAATTATTAAACTATAATTATATAGAAGTACATAGTTATTTTTACTTTGACGAGCTCACTGGTGTAATGATAGCAATAATGGGTAATAATAACGAGCTCAACATGTTTCTAATCAAATTGTAATTTAATACTGTCTATAGTTTACGCGAGTAGTGGACATTTTAATAAAGCACTTTAACGGTTTAAAACGCGATATATTAGTTAAACTTATTTGGTCACGGGGAGATCCCCGTCCACACCACCAAACGGCTGCTGCAAAGCATCCGAAACGTCGGACCGAAGTTAAAAATCATTTCCAAATAAGTTTAACTAATATATCGCGTTTTAAACCGTTAAAGTGTTTTATTTAAATTGTAATTTTTGAAACACGTTGGATTACGTTTGGATATTAAATGGGTGGTTGGAATATCGACGACCGCCTCTGTAGCTAAATCGTTAAACGTGCTGCCTAGGATTGCGTTAATCTCGATAGGTCCTGGGTTCGAATCCCGGGGAAACAATAAATTGTTTCGGTCGGGCAGAGCACAGAAGTCTTATCAACTACTTGCCTTTAAATAAAAACCGATCAGTGAAACGGACATAGAAATCTGTTCGCCCCATGCCCCACGAGGGGAAACGGGATTTCAAGATAGAATTAGAAATTTCGCCCGGGCCTCGAACCGCCTTCCACAAATGAAAAATCCGCCAAGTTTAATCGCGTTTCGGTTTCAGTCTGTGGATTTCCGAATATCCAAAGGCAAAACAGGTCAACAGCGCACCTTGTTTAGATGTTATATGGCTGGAATATCACCTACCATTAATGAATCTAATGATTTTCTGTCTTTCTCTTACTTAATTATTATTTTTATTAACCTAACCTCTCTAACCTGGAATTCTACTCTCGAAACTTCAAATATTTTTTTCATTTTCGACCAGCATATAACATTTATCGGTTTCACGGTTGTGGTTCACAAAACCCATGAATCCAAATTTTGTTCCATTCCAGATCCACTTTAAATTTACGTACTCAGTTCATTCTATCCACGTTCACACGAGATGTGGGTCTCCAACGGGCGGCCGTGTGGTCTGCTGCTGAGGACTACAAAACTCTACCAGGATTCAAATTTGAGTCCCTGAGGGACTTCTTTAGAATCGGAACTTATCCTGCAAGTATTATTATTTCAATAAACTTTTATACTTAGTTGAAAATTAAAAATCGAAAATAATTTGAAAAATTTTACCACCCGCGCAGGACTTGAGCCGGCATAGTGTGCGATCCGTGCTGGTGCTAACCAATTGAGCTACCAAATCCTACACGTCAACGTCGATTTTTTTCAACGATACATCCACCTCTCTTAACTTAACTCACACTTTTTATTTCGTCCTCATTTGATTAATAGAATATAAACAATTGTCTGTGGTACACAATAGTAGGATGGTAGTAGGTAGTAACCAATTCAATAAAATATTTTTGACGGTATGAAACGCGGATAATATTAGTTAAATTATTTTAAACGTGAACTTTGGAAAATGGAGGTAGAGTAAGCGATGTAAACCGGCACATTTCTGTAGGATATCGTAATGAATTACCGTTCTCGTTAAAGTATTTTTGGTAAAGTATATAATTGTTTTAGGCTGTACCCTGGACGTTGCCGAAGTTGGACCCAGTCACAGGAGAAGCGATGGTCGACGAAGACGGTCAGCCGCTGTATGAAGGCTACTGTATAGATCTTATCGATAAAATCGCTGAGGTATAAAAAATATTTCGCAAGCAAAGTGGGGTAGCTGTATTTTTTTTCTACCCGACGACGGCCACAGAAATGGTTTTGTCATGGCTTGGGGGTTGTCCATTAATCACGTGAGGCTTGAAAGGGGGGGCGGAGTTTGATAAAAATCACGAGGGGGGGGGGTGTAGTAAGATATCTCGTGTATTTATTTTTTCGTCAGACGCGCGATTTCTAAACAAATGGTGCAGACGTTTTTATTATAGTCCTTAATTTTAGAATAAAATAAGATTATAGCTGTATTTAAATTATGATAATATTCAAAAAAATTTAAGATTCTTTGTAGGTACTAAAAATACACGTGATGTTGAGAAGGGGGAGGGGGGTGGTCTTAAACCTCACTACGTATCACCAATGGGGGAGGGGGGGGTTAAAAAATGCTAAAAAAAGATCACAATGGACAACCCCTTGAATGTATTAGGCGATTCTTATAACAGAGGATAGACAAACATAGCTCACTTGCTAGGCGATAAATCTCAGTCATATAACATATAAACTCGATGCGATGTCGACGTATTTTGGCTTAGAATATTAAAGAATAATACTGAATCCGAAACGCGATTAAACTACCCACTTCCTAGATGGTCCCATACAATCCAGATTTCTTTGACGAATTCAACATAATTCAAACAAATATAATCGAATCGGAGTTTGAATCCACGACCCGTTGATTGTTATCATATCGACCAAGAACCAACTAGACAAAAAAAAAATTGTACAAATTTTGAAAATTTTCATTAGCATTTTCAGAATTAAGATTTAAAAATTGTATAGTCAAGTAACTCTCTTTTGCCCACTTTCACCAGAAAATGGGTTTCGACTATGAAATCGTGACTCCGAAAACTGGTGACTTCGGTAAGAGATTGGCAAACGGCTCCTGGGATGGTGTCGTTGGTGATCTTATGACTGGGGTCAGTATAATAAATGTCTTGATTGAGAATCTCAATGGGTTCGATTCTCATCGGGTTCTGACTGTTTATGAAAATGTATACTTTTTCTTATATTAGGAACGCTTCTGTAGCTAAATGTGTTGCGAGACCCTGGGTTCGAATCCAGAGAAATCATTAAATCAGTTTTAGTCGGGCAGGGCACAGCAGTCTAAGCATCGTAGAGGGCTGGTAGTGTGTTTAGTGGTTCTTGTCGGCTATTGTCACCCAAGAGGTTGTAGGTGGTACGATTTACCACATTCCCCATGTCACTATTGCCCGACGTGGGCGTGCATTAGGCGTTCACATCATCAGTAAAAAAAGGCCACAGCAGTCTGGTTAAATACATGCTTGTAAATTCAAATTGTAAAATTAAATTCACCAGTTTTGCGAAAATAATACATTTATTACAAAAATGTTGGGACCCACCATCCGTTTATTTCTTCTTTCTTTCTCTTTAGGAAACTGATCTGGCGGTGTCCGCGTTAATAATGACAGCTGAGCGAGAAGAGGTGATCGATTTTGTTGCTCCATATTTTGAACAAACTGGTATACTCATAGGTAAGTTAGTGAAGAGTATTTAAATAAAACACTTTAACGGATTAAAACGCGATATAAATATCGGCCCGAGCTTAAAATAATTTAACTAATATATATCGAGTTTTGAACCGTTAAAGTGTTTTATTTTAATGTGTACGACTCGCGTAAACTACAGACAGGGTTTCAGTAAATAGTAGATAACTATTACACTGTGAGATGCAGAGAGTAAGTGCGAGTTTCTCGCCAGTTCTCCTCGGTCATATTACATCATTTGGTAGTAAATCTATACTAATATTAAAATGCTAAAGAGTTTGTAAGATCGTGGAAATCTTAGGAACCACTAGTTCGAATTGTAAAATTATTATTGAGTTTGGACCATTTATATCACGCTGCGACCAATACGAGAGCAGGAACAGAGGGAATTGTGAAAAATACTGGGAAATTTGCCCTGCAAACCACTTCAAGATATCAAAAAAATATGTATGAAAGAATGGTTCCTCTTTCGACGATCTACAAAAATTTCGCCGACGATATATTATGTCTCGCAGCAGATGCCCTGAACGATGCATATATTTCCCCGTTTTTCCCACATTTCCCTCAATTTCTAAAGTATCCGAGTTGCTGAGATTAGCGCGTTTAAACAAACAAACTCATTAGCTTTATATATTAGTATATATGTGTAAGTATGTGCCATGTGTGTGTTTCAGTAAATGAGTAAAATTTGTAACTTAACAGTTAGCAGTAAGAAGAAGAAGAAGAAGATACACTTATAAACTTCCATACCTCTTTTAGTGATACGAAAGCCAATACGCAAGACATCCCTCTTCAAGTTCATGACCGTGCTAAGAACAGAAGTTTGGCTCAGCATCGTGGGTGCCCTATTGCTGACTGGCTTCATGATATGGCTGTTGGAGAAGTACTCGCCTTATTCAGCGCGGAATAATCCAGAAGCATACCCGTACCCTTGCAGGTATACTTTATCCATACTAATATTATAGCTGAAGAGCTTGTTTGTTGGTTTGAACGCACTAATCTCAGGAACTACTGGTTCGAATGAAACAGTTCTTTTTGCGTGAGTTAGGGCATTTATTGAGGAAGGCTCTAGGATATCGTTGTTACTAATAGGAGCGAAGATACAGCAGAAAAAAGTGGAATGTGTTATATTTATCGCGGAAGGAGTTAGGCTATATAACACCTTGGTGCTACCAGTAGGAGAGAAAAAACAGTGGAAAATGAAAAACGATGGAAATTATTATTTTTTAGGGTTTTCGTTGCGTGCGCTACGAATACGGTGCGATACCAAAAAATATATATCAAAGAATGATAAATGATCTAAAAAATGCCTACTACATTTGTCTATAATATCCTTATTTTATAAACTAAGCAAGAACGACGGGACGCGACCGACGAAGATCGAAGGAAGAGGCTTGCAAAAACAAATTTGGAGGCTTAAAATAACTCTTCTACGCGAACGAAGTCGCTGACACAGCTAGTGGCTTTGTATTTTAAAGTTAATTATATTAATCTTGCAAACAAAACAACTTACATATGTGTATGGTATGACTGGACCAGTTAATTCGAAAGCTCATCTTGGACCGATTAATTTTTCAGGGAGTTTACATTGAAGGAGAGCTTCTGGTTTGCCTTAACGTCCTTTACCCCCCAAGGGGGAGGGGAAGCGCCGAAAGCCTTGTCCGGTAGGACCCTGGTAGCTGCGTATTGGCTGTTCGTCGTTCTCATGCTGGCCACGTTCACAGCAAATTTAGCTGCGTTCCTAACTGTTGAGAGAATGCAGGTACGCTTATGTTACTAATGAAATAGTATGGTAGCACGCAGTAGCTCAATTGGTTATACCAACAAGGTTCAAGTCCTCTAAAAATATATTTTTACTTTCTTTTACTTATAAAGTACTAGCTGTGCTCGCGACTTTGGGTAGAATTTTTAATAATTTAGGCTGTTTATTTATTTATAAAAGGGCACATTCAATCTCTCACCTCACATCACTCCTACTCTAACTCCCACTCACATTCCCAAAAAGCCAAAGAAGAAAGTTTCATTGTTCTACTTTCAAAAATCACGAATTTCCATTCAAACTTTCATCCCCCTTTTCAACCCCTAAAACCCTTTTTGGCATTAAAAGGTAGCCTACATCCTTTCTCAGACTGTGACAGTGAACCAAGTTTCATTGAAATCGGTTCAGTAGTATTGGCGTTAAAGCCGGACAGACAGACAGACAGAATTACTTTCGCATATACAATATTAGTATATTTAAATAAAACACTTTAACGGTTTAAAACGCGATATATTAGTTAAACTTATATACGAAACGTCGGGCCGAAGTTAAAAATCATTTCCAAATAAGTTTAACTAATATATCGCGTTTTAAGCCGTTAAAGTGTTTTATTTAAATGTGCACAACTGGCGTAAACTATAGACAGTATTTATTAGTATAGATTACTTTTAAATACGTTTGACGGGTTCGCTGTAATGGTGGCAATGTATGGTGTATATTATACATTGAATTATATTTTTTCTGAAATATGTTAGACTTGGAAATCTGGACATTAAACGGGTAGTAGGCCACGAACCATAAATGAAGAAGCCGTCGAGCTTAATTGGGTTCGGTTTAACTGTGGTCTTCCGAATATCCAAAGCCAAATCTTCTTTGGATGTTATATGGCTGGGGTATTTCATCCAATAAGTATGGGGTCACTTGTGTTGCCCTCCTTAATTATAAAAGTCAATACTAAAGAACAAAGTCTTTGTGCCATTTGAAAATATTTGAATGACTGAATATGACACGTTAAGCACAGACATGGTGAGGACACTAGTAAAGACTTTTTCGTGATCTATCAAAATTCACGTTTTATAATTACCTAAGTGTTTTACTTGAATTTTTACTACGTAAAGCTAAAATGCATCATTTACAACAGAGTTTGACGGTAACACACACGTTTCAGACGCCAGTCTCGTCTCTGGAACAGCTGGCTCGTCAATCGAGAATCAACTATACCGTGGTGGAAGGTTCAACGGTCCACCAGTACTTCATCAACATGAAATTAGCTGAGGATACACTATACCGGTAATAGTTGAAAACACACACACACACAATGTATCTCTCTCTCTCACACACACACACACACAAACAATCACTCAGCCACACACAAACAGGTACACACGTTTTCATTTCTATAAATTAAGTATTTAATTTAGATCGAAATTCCACTTCACAGGTGGAACTCCAATCCACAACCTGTAGGGGTAGCTTAAGGCGCGGTCACGGCTTTGTAACGAAGACTCGTTCGAGAATAAGTTCATTTCCAGAAATCTGAAATTATTTTCACGTGTAAATGAATATTGAATCTTGATGTAAATTTTAGGCTTAAACACCATGTCACGGGCGGTACTCGAATCCGCGGTCTTTAATGGTAGCTCCATTACTATAAGCTTGTAGTCATGGTGTTACCCATTCATTAGCATATATCACTTTCAAAATTAAAAATCACCACTTTCAACATGTTACTAAACAATTTACACATTTTCAGAACCATACTGTCTATAGTTTTTGCGAGTAGTACACATTTAAATAAAACACTTCAACGGTTTAAAACGCGATATATAAGTTAAACTTATTTGGAAATGATTTTTAGTTTCGGCCCGACGTTTCGGATGCTTTGCAGCAGCCGTGGTCACGGGGAGACACCCATAACTAATATATCGCGTTTTAAACCGTTAAAGTGTTTTATTTAAATTTCTGAACCATGTTGGCTAGATACCAAAAGTATATGTATAGAGAATTATTTTTCATGAAATAGTGTAAAAACTATGTCCGCGACACTATACATATTTCTATCTTTTTTACCTTTGGAATTCTTAGGGTATGGAAGGAAATCACCCTGAACGCCACTTCGGACCAGGCACAATACCGTGTGTGGGACTATCCTATACGGGAACAATACGGGCATATACTTCTAGCTATTAACGCGTCAGGTAAAATGTTATATTCATTAAAAAACAATTAAATTCAAATAGTTTAATCAACACTAAGGAATAATATTGTATCGGTTGTTTCAAAGCATCCGAAGCGTCTGGACCTATTTTAAGTATACTAAACAGAACGCAACTAATATAATTCGTGTTTTAAACAGTTTTTTCAAATTAACCACTTACTGAAAATCTTGGTGGTTCTAGTTGGTAAGTCTATCTATAATGTTTCGTGTTTTAAACAGTTTTTATCAAATTAAACACTTTTAACTGAAAATCTTGGTGGTTCTAGTTGGTAAGTCTATCTATAATTTTTCGTGTTTTGAACAGTTTTTATCAAATTAGCACTTATGTGAAAAACTTCGTAGTTCTATTTCGTAAAATGTATCTAATATGTTTCGCGTTTTAAACAGTTAGACTGTTAGAAACTCCTTTAACTTACCTCTCTCGTTATTCAATAATACTTTTGTTCAATAATACTATTGTTCTTTTATAATTTTACTTTATTTCTCCTTGATAAGAACTTCAATGCCATATTACAGACAAACATATTTCTGTGTCTGATTTACTGTTTCCGTTTATTGAAAGACACAATTGGGATTTTCGATTGAAAGAGTAGCATGCTTTGGAAGTTAAGATATAAAATTGTAAGTAATCCTTCTTCTTCTTCTTATTGAGCTTGGGTGGTTTCAGGTACAGTGCCCGATGCTAAAACCGGGTTTCAACAAGTGAACGAACACTCGGAAGCCGATTTTGCGTTTATACACGATTCGGCGGAAGTAAAGTAATTAGATGACTGTAGTTCATCACCATCACCATCATCTTCTTATTCTTATCATCATCATCGCCTTATTCTATCACATTAAAGGGCACATATAACATTTTAACAAGATACGCTGACCTATTTGTCTTTGGATATTCGCAAATCCACAGACTGACCGAATTGTGATTAAACTTGACGCCTTTTTTATCTGTAGACCCGGACGAAATCTCGATATTCCTACCCATTTAATTTTCAGATTTCCAGACGATGTCATGTGAAATTAAAAATTGAATAATTAGACACATTGTAGAACTAGCGAGAATCGAATCCACGACCCGTTGATCATCCAGCCATACATTGCTACCATTAGGCCAACGTTAAAAGTGTTTTATTTTAATAGCCCTAGAAACAATTACATGAATTTATACTTCAAGGTATGAAGTAACCAGAAATTGCAACATAACTGAGGTCGGCGAAGTATTTGCGGATCAACCGTACGCCATAGCGGTACAACAAGGTAAACTAATTTAAATAAACTACTTTAACGGTTTAAAACGCGATATATTAGTTAAACTTATTTAAAAATGATTTTTAACCTCCCCGTGACCACGGCTGCTGCAAAGCATCCGAAACGTCGGGCCGAAGTTAAAAATCATTTTTAAATAAGTTTAACTAATATATCGCGTTTTAAACCGTTAAAGTGTTTTATTTAAATGTGTACTACTCGCGTAAACTATAGACAGTATTTAAGGTAAACTAATATATAAAGAAGAGTTTGTTTGTTTGTTTGAACGCGCTAATCTCAGGAACTACTGGTTCGGATTCAAAAATCCTCTTAGTGTACTGCTTAGTGCATTTATTGAGGAAGGCTATATAACGTCGCGATGTGACTAATAGGGGCGAAGCAACAGCAGGGAGTGTAGAAAAAAAGGGGAGTAATTCATACTTGTGGTTTGCCGTTGCGTACGCTACTAAAACGGTTCAAAATACCCAAAAAATGATCTATCAAAAAATGGAATCGAATCCGCGACTCGTTTATGTATCAACTGGCTTTACTTGTCGTACGACAGAGGAAGACAGACAAGCATCCGAAACGTCGGGCCGTATTTAAAATAATTTTCAAATAAGTTTATCTAATATATATCGCGTTCTAAACCGTTAAAGTGTTTTATTTAAATGTGTACGACTCGCGTAAAATACAGAGAGTGATGGGGCTCTCTTCAAATTCTTTATCTTTGTTGAAGGTGTATAATACATTAGTAAAATGGCCGGCAAGAGAGGCATTGATGGCATAGGTACATACGTCCATCTGTGCTTAGTTGTAGCAGCCAAGGCTTGTATAGTCATGATAAACCAATGACAGTTGAATACTATCTATAGTTTACGCGTGTAGTACACATTTAAATAAAACACTTTAACGGTTTAAAACGCGATATATTACTACAAAGCCCTATATATATAACTAATATATCGCGTTAAACCGTCAATGACAGTTGACTAAAACTTTGGCGCGTAAAACGATTTAATGTTTTTTTTACCTCACAGCTTTCTGTTTGCAAGCCAGTTCGAAATTTAAACGAAACCTTTGATAAGTTACCTCTTTGGACGCCATGTTGCGCAGTAGATCGTTCTATTTTTAAATTTATTTGGCCTAAACACGACCGAAATGGATTTTCATACAACTGTTGCCGGGCGCTGCTCGACCGGAACAGCGAGTTCTTATCTCGAAGAAGGTCAAAACAATACTTTAACTTCCAAGTATGTTTAAGAAAAAGTTAAAGAAACTATGTTTTGCCTTAGGTTCGAGACTGCAAGAAGATTTGTCCAGGACTCTTTTAATCTTACAAAAGGAACGATTCCTCGAACAGCTGACTGCCAAGTAAGTTGAATTCTTTGTTTTTCTTTAACATATTACACTACTACCCCTTCTTCTATTATAATGTTATTTGTACTTATATATAAACAAAGTGTAATAGAATACGAAAGCCTTAACGACGAAGCAAAATCTGGTCTAGGAGCGACTTTTATGTTACTTGAGTTGTGGTATCGCGATATGTCACGAAGATGAATTATTCGCACAGCGGCGGCATTCACAATTATAGTAAAAAGTTGCGGGTAGATATAAATTTGTACATTGAATGAGATTAATTGTCATAAATTACGAGTTATAGGGCTTTGTAACACTAAATTTAATTACCTAATTTCGAGCAAAAAACATATTTCTTCAAAAGAGGTTTTATCTACTTTTAAAACAATATTTAGGTTGCACACAATGTTACACTCGCGGTGACAGTTGACACTCTTCGTGGTGACAGATGACAGTATACACCCTCCCCTATCCTCTAATATTTTTTATTTGACGTTCGAATGCTCTGCAGCAGCCTTCGAGGTCACAAGAAGTCTCCGCTAAGTTTAAATCATTTTCAAACAAGTTTAACTAATATTTATCGAATTTTAAACAGTGTTTTATTTGAATTTGTACATTATCCAATGTATATAACCAATTATATTACTGGCCATTTATTACAGATACTGGAACGAAACAATTCGCCAATCATGTCCTGATGCTGACGAGTCCGAGGGTATTACGCTAGAGAGCTTGGGTGAGATGATTTGACGTTGAGCATAAACCTATTTTGGCTGAAAATAAACGGATGGCACGGGCGGGACTCGAACCAACGACTTTAAACTTAGTGTTTGATGCGATTGTTATTATTAAATACAACACTGTAACGGCTTAAACGCGAGGACACTATAAGTAAATTCTGCAAGGGCCTGATTAGTTTCGCCAAATACAAACTACGATCGAACAGATGGCGCTAGCGTAGCTGTTACTTTTTTAAAATTAGAGACACCCTCCATTTTAAAGTAAAAACCTCGGGTTGTAGTTAAAATAATTTCTACATTAGTTTATATAACTAATTTCGCGTTTTAAACCGTTGAAGTGTGTTATTTAAATGTGTAACTGCAAACAGTCGATTTAAGTATTTGAAATTACATTGCGCGCGGAGGATGCATGGATAGGTTGAAGACGTTTGAAAATTGTAAATTGAAAAAATAAATTACATAATATGTATAAAAATGGAGTAACATCACGGAACGCTGTGGATGGTTCAAGTCCTGCTCGGGTCGTATTTTTTTTATACTTATAATTAATATCGTTTTTTAATTTATTAGTTAGATAAGTGGGATGCAGGGGTAACGCTATTTTTTTTTATGATGATGGTAGGTGATTTACCCGATATATCTATCATCTTAACAAGACGCCCTATCGTCCGCTTTTAGCTTTGGATATTCGGAAATCCACAGACTGAAACCGCAGCGCGATAAAACTTCACCTGTGGACCACGCATTTAATATCCAGATTTCCGGAAGTCCAATATGTTAAAGAAAAACAATCGAACATCGAACCCACGACCCGTTGATTATTAGCCATACACTGCAACCATTATACCAACGAGCCTGCCGTGAATTCTGGTCATCTTTTGTGTATGATCTATTGTTTCCAGGTGGAGTTTTTATAGCTACCCTCTTCGGACTTGGCTTAGCAATGGTGACCTTAGCTTGGGAGGTGTTCTACTACAAACGGAAGGAGAAAAATAAAGTTGAAGTGCTACCAAGGGACATGGAGAAGGTGGCGTTTGAGAGGAGCCTGCCGAAGAAGATCAAGGATAACGTCAAGAAACTGCGCAAGAGAAAGAATCCTGTTAAGAACGTCACTATCGGGGACTCTTTCAAACCGGTGTCCTTCATAGGCGGTTACGCGAAGAACGACTATTTACCGTAAAACCATAGCGTAGAATGTAGTCTGGACTACTCCAAGTTGGAAGTAGCACGTTAGAGAATAATGTTTAGCACCCACGGCACAGTACGCTGTTCTTAGTATAATTTTGCTGTCAAAGTTTAGTGTATTTTTTCTAACTTGGCATTTTTTGTAAACAAACGCACAATTTACATTGTATTATATATTGATATTAAAAATAAAATAGAAAGCATCCATGTGTTTTACATTTTATTTGACATACTTACTTAACTTATAGAAAGGGGTTTAAACGTGAATATTATTTTTCCCCTATCAGTTGAACGGAACCCTGAGTGCGTAAGTAATACATTATCTTCACAGTTCCCTTTTTATAAGGCAATTGTTTAAATAAAACACCTTTAACGGTTTTAAAACCGAAGTATGGTAATGGTAACTTTTGTTTATTTAACTATGGCCCGGCATCAATTGTTGTCGAAGAAGGATGACCCCTAGTGTCAAAGTCAAATCTGCTACGCTAGCGCCATCTGTTTCTTCATGTTGTTTTATTAACTACATTATACTGGTTCATTAATGTATTTTTTTTTTAAACAGCCTTATTATTTATGACACAAACTACAAGACAAAAAGTGTGAAAGAGAAAAATCGTAATCGTACTTATAAATAAAAGGCGGCCTTATCACTAAACTGCGATCTCTTCTAGGTAACATGAAGAATAGGGCAAAAGTCTTATTACGTGGGTAGGTAGGAAAAATGAACAAAGACTATACACAAAACGAGAGAAACTAATATAAGAGTTCGAAGTTAGGTTGGTTAGTCGTACCTATACTGTCTGTAGTTTACGCGAGTAGTACACATTTAAATAAAACACTTTAACCGTTTAAAACGTAATATATTTTAGTTAAACTTGTTTGAAAATGATTTTTAACTACGGCCCAAAGTTTTCCCTTGACCACGGTTGCAAAGCATTCGAACGTATGGCTGTAGTTAAAAATATTTTTCGAATAATTTTAACTAATTTAATTGGTTTTAAAAAAAAAAAAAGGGTTTAAAAAAAAGGGGGGGGGGGGGTTGGTTTTTTTTGGGGACTAAAAAAAAAAAAAAAAAAAAATTTTTTTTGGCACAAAAAAAAAAAAAAAAAAAAAAAATATACAAAAATTTATGGAAATTAAGGACAAACGGCGACTTTATAGCTAATGTTAGCGACTACTTCCGTTTCCTCGACCGGCCACCCTGGCTACTCCACAAATACCAAATAGTTTACACATAATAATACATCCGGTTCCTTTATTAGTAAAATAAATAGGCAGTGACTTCCGTTTCCACATCATTTGAATTTGTTAGAATTTAGCTTAATATATATTATTTAAGTAATTAACCTTAGTTAAATAATTGAGTTTATATTTTGATTTATTTAAGACAGTGCAGATTTATTTTATTTATAATTGTTTTGATATTACGAATAAACAGCCGCTTAGTTTCCGGTGAAAGTATTAGGATAGGTGGGAGTATTTGTCAGACGGCTATATAACGGCTTGTAACGTTGATTGTGGGACATTCTGTCTTGTATAACATAAGGCGTCACTCTGCTGGAATATACGTGTAAAGTGTCTACAGTGTGTTATTTTACCAACCTAGTCTACGTCTTAACACGTCAGAAGTGGGATAGTTGGAGTCAACATGTCTGGCCCATACATTAGCGGCTTAGGGCAAAGGAAGAGAAGACACAGTGACTCTGATTCCACGACCACCGACGAAGAAGAAATTCCTAACCACCTGCAAGAAAAAAACGCAGATTTTTTTTCTACACCCGACCAGAACGAGGATTATTCGACGTCATGCAAAAAACGTCGTGTCACACCAGCTGACGCCGAATTAATCCCAAAATTCCGGCCAGAAGACAAAAACAACAATGTGTCTGGGTGGTTACATAAGATCGACCAGCTTGGAGACATTTATGATTGGAGCAGCAAGGATCGGCAATTTATTATGCAGCTACGTCTTCGAGGAACGGCTAGAGATTGGTATGACGATTTAGACGACTACAACCTCACGTGGGAACAATGGAAAAACACCTTACAAACCGCTTTTCCTCGATCTACAGACTTTGTAGATAAACTAGAACAAATGTTAGCAAGGACGAAGGGAGATGGTGAGTCAATGACAAAATATTATCACGAAAAATTGTCATTGCTACGTAAGTGCAATATAACTGGAGAGGATGCTATTTCTTGCATCATTCGAGGACTACCGGCCGAATTAAGAAATAATGCAAAGGCCTATAAATGCGAGGCGCCAGAACAGCTTTATTTTGGATACTTGTCGTCGTTGGAAAACTTCAAGCGAGTTGAAGCAGCTAATTCAACACGCAAGTCTCAATGGAAGAGGGGTACTGCGAATACGAACCTATCAACTGGGGGACCGGTGCAGCTGGTTCCAAGGTTGTGCTTCGTGTGCCGGCGACCTGGACACGAGGCCCGAGACTGCAGGATGCAGCGCTGTGAGACCTGTCAACGTCCTGGGCATACGTCGGCGTCCTGCTGGTATGCAACGAGCTCCTCGCGACAACAAGGTCAGCAGGTTAGCAACACTTTACATATTACTTATGACATTTATTTAGACATTTATAAGCGAACTGTGTTTGTAAATGGGGCGCGATTAATTGCTTATATTGATACCGGGAGTAAACTTAACATACTTAAACTTAGTGTGGCAGACGAATTACAACTCGTGATGTATCCGTCGACAGTACAAATGAAAGGATTTGGGGGTAGTTGTTTACAATCTCTAGGGAGAAGTGAAATTGTAGTCTTAATTGACAATGTAGTTTTAAAAGGCAGTGTTGAAATAACAGATTGTAATCTTTCTGACATAGACTTAATAATTGGACAATCTATGATTAACCAAAAAGATATTAGTTTAGTTACTACAGCTTCTTCTGCAAGTTTTGTTAGATCACATGATCTTATGAATCTATTATCGGGTCTTAAACTAAGTAAAGATGAATTTATTACAAAATATTCATTGTTTTTAAAAGACAGAATCACTATACCAAGATATAGTTATGCATTGATTGAGACTTATTCAGACATCGATAGAATTAATCAACAAGAGCACACGTTTCTCACTAATGCAGTGTACTTTGAATTAGGGAATATGTCTTATTTTATCCCAGAAAGCATAATAAGTTCAAAACAGCCATTTTTGAAAATAATTAACGTAGGGAATGAAGATATTAAGTGGGAAAGAGATAGATTGATAGCTAGGGCAGAGCTTGTAGGAGATAGGGACTCCAGCAACACCAGGCTAAATGTTTTTATGGTCGACGAATCCGTAGGAGGTGACAGATCAGATATCACTCAGTCAGACATTGATGTAGGTAATTTGAGTGATGACGACATGAGGCAATTATTAGAGTTGCTGAATAGGTATGCTAATTCATTTGCTAGAGATACTAAGGATTTAGGATGCACAAATTTTATTGAAATGTACATACAAACCAATACCGATCAGCCGGTTTACTGCAAGCCATATAGATTATCTTATAAAGAAAACGAAATTGTTAGTGAAAAAATCAAGGATTTATTAGATGCTGGCATAATTAGAGAGTCTTACTCTGATTATGCAAGTCCGGTTGTTTTAGTAAAAAAAAAAGGGGGCGATTACAGACTTTGCGTCGATTACAGAGCTCTAAATGCGCGAACAGTCAAAGACCGCTATCCGTTACCCCACATCGAAGATCAAGTCACTCGATTGTCGGGTAAAAGCTTTTTCACGACGCTCGATCTAGCTCAGGGCTACTATCAGGTGCCAATAAATCCAGATTCTGTAAGCAAAACTGCGTTCGTTACACCGTCAGGACAATATGAATTTTTGAAAATGCCGTTTGGTTTGGCTAATGCACCTGCAGTTTTCTCGCGACTTATCCAAATGACGCTAGGTAGAGTCAGTAGGGATATAGCGTTATATTTAGATGACGTTATGGTACCTACGGTTAGCGTTTGTGACGGGTTGAAATTGTTAGAACAGGTTTTACAGTTACTGAGTAGAGCAAACTTAAAACTTAACCTAAAGAAGTGTTCCTTTCTGAAACCAACCGCCATATACTTGGGTCATGAAATCACTGCAGGAACAATACAACCAGGTCAAGCTAAAATAAAATGTATTTCAGAATATAAACCACCAAAAAATGTTCATGAGGTTAGGCAATTTATTGGCCTAACGTCGTATTTTAGGAAGTTTATTCGAGGTTTCGCCGAAATCGCTCGTCCCCTTACAGAACTCACAAAGAAAGGAATTGAGTGGCAATGGGGTTCTGATCAAGAAAATGCCTTTCAAACATTAAAAAATAGATTAGTAGAACGACCAGTTTTAGGATTATATGATAAGGATGCTAGAACTGAACTCCATACCGATGCTAGTAGGATAGGTTTAGGTGGAATCCTTTTGCAATACCAAAGAGACGATAGTTTAAAGCCTATTGCATTTTTCAGTAGGGTCACGACTAATGAAGAAAAGAACTATCATAGTTACGAGCTTGAAACACTCGCAGTGGTAGAGTCTCTCAAACGTTTTCGAATTTATCTTACTGGGATACCGGTTAAAATAGTAACAGATTGTGCCGCACTTAGGACTACTTTAGTTAAAAAAGATCTAATTCCCCGTATAGCCCGTTGGTGGCTTACAATACAAGACTTTGATTTGGAAATAGAGTATAGACCTGGGAAACGCATGCAACACGTAGACGCTCTTAGTAGGAATCCTGCTCAGCAATCGATACTCCTGATAGAGGAATCTGATTGGCTGTTGTCTCTACAAATGCAGGATGAGAGCATACAAAGTATTCTATCACAATTGCGCGAGCCACAAGTTAGGCCTGATATTAGTGCTAATTATGTAGAAAGGGACGGGAAATTATTTCGAAATACTTTGGCAGGTGAAAGGTTTATAATCCCAAAACTAGCTAAATATGGGTTATTACAAAAGATGCACGATCAAGTAGGGCACCCGGGTTTCGATAAATGTGA